GCTATACAGCTTCGACGCCGCCGCCACAGCGTTCGACAGCGCTTGTCCATTGGGGGCCACATTCCCGAGATTATAGGACCCCAGGATAATGGCCATCATGATGGTCAGCACATCCCCGGCTTTGATGTTACTGACTCCTTCGACGAGGAAGCGAGACCCCATCCAGAACCCAAGCCCATAGTTGAGGTACATGATGCATAGTAATGCCCCAACCATGATGGCAAAGATTACTTTTGATTTCATTCCGGGCCCTTCGGCATCCTTGAGATGTGATTCGTATTTCTGTGCCAGTGTTTCTTGGGCATTGAACGCTGCGACGGTCCGGATGGAGTCGAGGATATCCTCCGCCATGCTGGCACCATGACCCTGGCATTCCAATGCCTTCTTGCTGAAGATAAGCATGAGGGTGGAGCAGCCGCCCATGGTCAAAAGCAGTGCGAGGAGGCTGGCACTGCAGATTAACGCCAGCTTCCAGTTCTTTACATAGGCGATAATGAACGCCGTAACAAACGTCGACAGCCCGGTCAAGGCCAAGCCAACTTTTTCAGAGATGCCGTCTTGAATCAAGTTTGTATCGGCAGTGATTCTCGTGGTAATCTCGCCGGCCCCAAGAGTGTCGAAGAAGGCAATATTCTGCCTTAAGATAGCCTGGAAGTATTTCACGCGAATCTGCTGCACGACATGGTCGCCGGTGTAGATGAAGCCAACGGTCGCCAGATAGATCGCGACAAACTCAGCCGCACCCAGGTAGATGAAGTAGACCACATTCTTGGTCAACTCGCGATGGAAGTGATCATAGGTGATTTGATGGGTAGCAATGTCTTGAAAGGTAGACGTCAGCCTGCCAAATAGGACCTAGCATAGTTGGTTAGCCTTTGTAATTATGAACTGGCAATGATTCCAAGCCTAGTCCTTACTTACTGTGAAGAGAGGTAGTGCTGCACCGCCTGCGATCGCAGCAAGTGCACTGCCGAAGAGAATAGCAACATCCCACCGAGTCGCATATCGATAGATACCAAAGAAACCGACTTGTGACACCGGCGTACGGAGCTGTCTCTCGAGGACCTCTTCAGCGTGCGAGACAGAGAGACCCGTAGTTGTACTGCCTGTCCCAGGAGACTGATTGGATCAACAAGTCAGTGATGATGACCTGATAGTGAGATGAATGCATAGATTTCACCTTTGGGAGCGGCTTCATCAGGATATCTTTGTCAGATTTCATGGCGCAAATGGCTCCCAGTCTTCACATCTGATGTAATGACAGGCGGCCATTTCCCAGTTTCCAACACCAAACGTATTATTAGCGCAAGCGATTGTTACGCGGGTGCTTTGAGCGTGTCGAAAAAGCTTATGGTAATGGAGCAGCAGCCCCTAGGGTTTTTGCAACCCTCCCCGCGTCTCCAACTTTCGTAGGCACTTGTTAGCCACTCCACCGCTATTGCCAATTAGCGGTCAATTCTGCAAATGGTGCCCTGAGTTGGGATAGTAAGGGGTCCAGGGTCAGAGCGCAGTTCCTGACATTGTCCGTCGGGCTATCTCATCACATCATACCCGGGGTAAGCCCTGAATGCAGTTTCATCGAATCCCGATACGTGCTAACAAGCAACGGAACATCCTCGGGTGAACCGTGCCCTAATCTTGAGTGATCAGATAGATTGCGATTTTCCTTCCTTGCCACCGTAAACATCGCAGACTTTCGTATAAGTAAGACATATCACCAACCTTCCTTGTTCGAAAGCCAGAATTTAGGTAGGTGAATCGGCACGTGGAGCGTCCGGCGTTTCATCGCCCTACAAGTAGCTTTCATGAGTCAGGTGGAGCTCATTATTTGGTGTGATCTGCCATCCTGCGATCCCCTGTTTCAGAGGATGCACAGATCACCCTCGGTGGAAACGACGGCATTGACGCTATGATCGACAGGAACCGGTAGTATAACCAGCCTGCTAATAATGGAAGTGAACTCAATTCCAGGGTAAACAAATCCAGTCATTTCGGCTCAGAGAGTACATCGGGGCTGGAATTTGAGACAGTTTAGGTGTGTTGAGACGCTCAACAGCCAAGTCTCAAATTTGGGTTCGGTAAAGGAATACGTTCATTCCTGCCGTCCGAGGTCTTAAATATAGGACATTCGACTTAGTTCCCATTAGGCTATTCCAATTAGACTCGCGTGAAACATTAATCATAATTTAATCTTATCAGTGGAAAAAGAGCCGTGTACCGAACAATTGGACGATGTATAGACGTGGAGTTCAGGGAATCATGGGACTTGGACTGCCCTAACGGGCGGACTCTGTGGTACAATATATTTGATTTTTACACTAAAACACCAGACATGAATCTGGAACTATGTCAAACATAACAGGAGGTATAACGGGGCCAGGATATATCGTGATAATATGATAAATACGAGAAAAAAAACATAGATAGAGAGAAACAGGGAATAACATTTGAAACTTAGGCCTGCCGGCGTTGACGAAGTTTCACCTTCAGGTCCGGCACTTCCCAGAAAGCATAGCAGCGACTCTCTCGCTGCCAGTCCTTGACGGCTCCCACGTACTCAGCTTCAAAATCCAAAAAGAAACCCGCTAGGGTTATTTGCATCATCTGCTTGGCGAAGTACTTTGCGATACAGGCCCGACTACCCACCAGGAACGGTTGGACAGCCTCCTTATTGTCTGTCGACCCGGGCTCTGTCCACCGCTCGGGGATAAACTCGTAGGGTTCGTTGAAATATTCGGGGTTGTGATGCAGTGCGAACAGTGATGTGCAGATCTCCGTCTGTGATAAATTAAATCCCCGTTGGGTGTTAGTCGCGTCCACACCATACAACGATCTGTCCGAAAACTTACGCCAGCCGGGATGTAGACCCCGTCCACATAGGCCCCAGGTGAAACTCGCGGACCCCCTAGTGGCACAGGAGGGTAGAGTCTCAAAGCCTCCGTGATAACGGCATTGAGGTACGGCAGCTGTTGAACAATATCCCCTGAGATGTCTTCTGCCGAAAGGAAGGCACCCTGTAGTTCACGGACCAACTTGGCGTGGGCTTCAGGGTGGGTCAGAACGAAAAAGATAACGGCACACAATGCGTTCTGGGTGGTGTGAAATCCTGCCAACATGATGGCTGAGAAATTTTCAGCAATCTCAGACTTGGGCAAGCCGCTGGTCTCCGCTCTCTCCATGACTTCGACCATTATGTCGCGGCGGGTGTGTGGCGCTTTCAATTGTCTATCATAGTATAAGACATACGGTGGCAGGGTGGTAGTGTGGGGGAGACTTACTCATGGATCAATCTCATGCGGGCCTCTTCGCTGCGGAGACGAATGCCTTTGCGTAGGAAACGGCGCAGGAGCCATTTCATTACCGTTGGGACTCCTGATCCATCAAATTGATCTCTGACGGTGGCCCAGTAAAAAATGCGAGGCAACTGTGCGGTCCAAAAATACGGCTTGCCTCGTTTTAAGCAGCCGAGGGGCTTTCCAAGTAGGACTTCAGAAACCGTGTCAACGGAGTGGCAGTAGAGTAGCTCATTGAGAGAAAGAGTAGTAGTACTCTCCAACTTGGAGTTAATCACGTCGTGAAGTCGCAGGGTGCATTCACGAACCACTCCAGCATGTGTTTCCATACTTCCTGGTGTCATTGAAGGACCAAAGAGTTTACGGACAGACGAATGATAGTGTGGGTCAGAGGCCGTGAAAATATTGCGCCGGGAGATACTCTTGTAGAATCCAGTTTTAAGAAAGGCAGAGCCCTTGCCAGTACCGGAGCCGTAGATATTACGCAAAGCTTTGATCGTGTTTGTCGTCGCTTGGCCGGGGGCGAATCGAGCAATTTTACCTGTACAGCAATCAGCGTCAAGTGGAAACCCGCACACCCATGTCGCTTACCGTAAGACTCATGCAGCGCATGGAACTGATGTGCACTCCGCCCCGATATAAAAGCCAATTTGGTTGCGATCTGTATAGATAAACATTAAATCCTCCAGATTCCCTCATTTGCTATAGGGGAAAGATCACATACACCGCAACAGAAGACATCAAGGAATGGTCCGGGGACGCCCTTGATGGTGGGCCCCTTTGGCTGGACTTGTACAAAGAGAATAATGAGGAAAATGAACTACATCAGTCAGTCACACTGTAGAGCCTTTATCACAGTTATCATGAAACTCATGGACCTCAACATACAAGCACGACCGCCAGGGTCGGGTAGGATATCATCGCTGGGGAGTAGCCCTCAGGCATTTGCCCAGAAGGCAGATACAATGCAACAAACACCATTTGGAGGCCACTAGCTAATGAATGAAACAGTAGGACACTTGAAACTCAGACTCTTCTAGGAGCCTTAGCACGAACGAGAGACTTGGTCGGAAGACTTGGAGAACACAGGACCTACGTCGAGGTGATATAGCGGTCCTTATCTATCCCAGGACGATATACAGATCCCTAGTATCTAGTGCCGGTTAATTAGAGACATGATCTATATTACCCGGTCCTTTTTCTTTCAAAAAATAAATAAATAAATTATTTATTTTTCTATTTCTAAATTCTTGGCTTTCTTCCGTGATCACCTTGTTACCCCTAGTTTGGTAAAGTTTTGGCTAGATGTGTTTGACTTGACTTGAGGATCATCATACGATTTGGAATCGTATTGTGTTCCAAGGGACGGAGTCTCACAAGAAAGATCTAGTTCACGCTTGATCCTTGGCAGGAAATCGCGATGTTTGGGCTGATGGACTCAGAACCCGGAGGGAAATTAGGGCCCAAATTTGGTGTTCCGGACATAGTGATCGACGTCGACCTTAGTTTTGAGTCAATTCGACCTTGGACTTGGCAATTAACCCTAATCCTAAACAACGTTTTGGATTTCCCCTGTCTATGTTAAGCATTTGTTATATATCATCATCTGTCTGAGGGTCGTATGTCTTGTCTCATGTACCCGGTGTTGATTCCTCATGTGTGATCTGGAAACCCTAACGCACATCCTACACTCGTTGTCTTTCTCTTATGATGGCCAGCAACCAGCGCACAAGTGTGCTGTTTCTCGCAAATAGCGAGCATGGCCAAACAAACATTATTCTGGCGATTACGCACGAGCTACTGGTGCGAGGAGATGTGGACGTACATATTGGCTCCTTCCCTGCCCTTGAGCGACGCATTGACAAGCTCCTGGCTGACAATGCCTCCGCGTATGATGGGTCATTCCGGTCGCGGATTCACTTCCATCCTATTAGAGGACCCTCTAATACGGATGTCTTTATACGTACTGGGAAGCGAGGTGCTTTCCATCCTCCTGGATATCGTGGGGCGGTCCTTGGGTTCCAGTCCCTGTGCGAAGACATCTGGGGTTGGACGGAAGAAGAATACGTAGATATCTACAACTGCTGCGTGGAGATCATCAAGACCGTTCAGCCGTCAGTTATCGCGGCGGACTTCTTCTTCCTACAAGGAAGAGATGCTGCATATAACACGGGGTACACGGCGATTTTGATCAATACTACGTCGCTCACTCACATTGTTCTTGGATTGCAGCCGCAATCCGCTGCGTTGTGGAAGTATCCCTTGTGAGCTGATGTCCCTAGCCCTTCAGAAGCTGCAACCACTGACTACCGACTAGGCCGGGGACAGGATTCCCATACCCTCTTCCATGGCATTTGATTCCACTCAATGCTCTGGCTGTAATCAAAACAGCAAAGATGTACCATGGAAGTGGGCGGCGGCGTGAGATTCGCGAGTGGAGGATTCGGCACAAGATCCACGGTCGGTTTCCGTTTGCTGATGCCTGGAGGCCCGATCGATTCCATCTTTCCCCGGCGCTGAAAGAGCTTGACTGGCCCATGGAGGTACCAGATAATATTCTTCCATGTGGCCCCATTTTACTCCCCACGGCTGCGGTGCACAAACAGGACCCCGAACTGGCAAGTTGGCTGCAAAAAGCGCCAACGATCTTGGTTAATCTTGGAACGCTTTATGCGCCCGATCCCAAGGTTGCAGAGAATATTGCAACCGGTCTCAAGCTGTTCCTTGATGCCTGGAAGGGTCAGGAAATCCAGATTCTGTGGAAGCTTCCCAAACACCCGCATGATGAGGATGATGTATACAGCCGGTCCATCGAGCCACTGAGACAGGAGACTGAAGCTGATCGTGTTCGTATTCACCCATGGTTCTCCGTTGAGCCCATGGCCATGCTTCAAACTGGACGGATTATCTGCTCCGTTCACCACGGTGGAGCGAACTCATGGTACGAGGCCATCCAGTGAGTCCTCCTTCGCCTACTCTTTCTACGGGGTATCGGCTAACAGGTATAGAAATGGCGTGCCCCATGTGGTTCTACCGGCATGGCAGGATTGCTATGAGAATGCCGCCCGAGCGGAGTGGCTTGGAATTGGGGTCTACGGCAACAAAACCCGGGCCCCGAATATTAATGGCCGGGAGTTAAGCAATACCCTTTTGAAGGTCATGGGAGATGGCTCATATAAAGAAAAGGCGCTTGACCTTGCCAAGCTCTGCCAGAAAAAGGAAGGGCGTGTGGCAGGTGCAGAAAAGATTGTTGAGCTGGCGCGCAATCCGGATCTGATGGCTATGCACATCCCGGACGTGAAGATCGATGGCACTCAGTGTCAGCTCAGCGAAATCCGAAACCGTTCTGGAATGGTTCTCCGGTCAGTCCAGCTGCCTCAGCCAGAAGGCAAACCAACGGCTAAGTAGGTCTCCTCAACTATATCACCATTGCTGTGCCTTTCAGTTGTAACTAATCCTAAAGTGATAGGCCATTCCTCGACGATCTTGCAGAGGCAGCCCTGATGACCGTGCTGTGCAACAGTTGGTTTATTTTGCCCTTGCTTGGATATTCACTTCTTCTGATACCCCGTTTGCGATTCTTCGTTTTGATTTACATCATCTATATCAAGTACTTTGCCAAAGCACACAAAGCGGGCACCCTTCCTCTGCGGAACGATAAGTTCCGGAGGTCTTGGATCTGGAAAATCTTTATATCCTACTTTCCCCTGCGGCTCTACCGTTCGGTGTCTCTCTCACCACGGAGAAAGTATATTTTTGGCTACCATCCTCATGGTGTCGCTATTCGAGGAGCCGTCGGCGCATTCGCCGCAGACGTGGCCGGCTTCTCCCAGCTCTTTCCCGGCATTACCAATACCCTGTTGATGAAGGATAGTGTCTTCTCTCAGCCACTGCTTCGAGAATATCTCCTCTCTGCTGGGCTTAGTGGTGTCTCTCGAACATCATGCATCAGGCATTTGACACGGGGAGGTCATGACGGTCGGGGGATGGGCCGTGCCATTACCATCACTGTGGGAGGGAGTCGTGAATACAACATCGCTCGACCGGGCACCATGGAGGTCGTGATCAAAATTCGTAAGGGTTTTATCCGAGTCGCCGTGGAAACTGGTGCCGACATCGTGCCGGTGGTGGCGTTTGGGGAGAATGATATCTTCGACCGCGTGGACGTCGAATCCAAATCTGTGCTCAGATACGCCGCACGGCTGTGGGAATGGTGTGTTGGACACCGAATAGCGTTTTCCATTGGCCGGTTCAACATCTTCTGCCCGTATCGTAAGCCGTTGAATGTCGTCGTGGGAAATCCCATTCCCGTCACTCAACAACGATGGGACCCCGATGAGAACTATATCGATCAGTTACACCAGCAATACATGAGCGAGTTGGAGCGGTTGTGGGGGAATTGGAAGGACACCTTTGGAACTGACAAGTCAGTGAAGTTCGAGGTGGTGGAATAATTTCGCCTTGATCTGTATCATAATCTCTCCCTACGCTCGGCCATTTTCCCTCCCAGTCATGCACGGCACATGTCAAGTTACTATTTAGGATCTAAGCCTTTTTAAGCCTGTTAAACCTTCGACTTATAGCATTAGCGCCATGACTAGTAAGTTGTTATTGGCTGAATGGGGCTTCCTTGAAGCGCTGGACTGGGGCCGTGGGGCGACTGAGGATCGGATCCTTCCAATTCTTCAGTCCCTGCAACCTTGTCCGGGTCTAAGACCAGGCTGTGTGCTTCAACGTTTCATGCGGACTGTCTTAAGCGAGATTAGGAATGCATGAAAGGCATTTAACTCGCGTGGCGGAGTTCAAAGCTCGGGTCGTGATTAGAGACTTTGTATACGAAGGTTAACAACAACATAGCCTCAAGAATCCTTTGGCCCCCACGTCAGCCTCAAGAATGGCCAGCACAACAAGCGCTCGGATGTTTTTCTTTCTCTTTTTCTTCTTTTTCTCTGTTTTTTTCACGCGTCGAGGTGTTGGGCTCGTTGGGCTCGTTGGCCTCTTGCAATAAAATCAACACGGGCCCCGGAATCATATTTTCATCGCCGTAGACACTTCCCTCATCTAAACCTTCAGTGAGCTATATTCCTTCTCATGGCGAAGACAGACCGCAAGACGCCGGTCGAGGGCGCTCCGATTCCATTACCCAGTTCTGCAAGTGATAATGGTACTTCGTCTTTGAGAAATACAAACCATGCGTTGGTGATTACATGGAGTTCTTTCGTTGTCACGATCCCCATCCTCGCACTCACGGTGGCATTCCTGGTGCTAGTATTCAAGTATCGTGTGAGCCATGGAGATGCTCCTTTTGAGAGTCTCCGCATGTCCACGGAGAGTGACGAAGCAAGCGCACTTTATGTTAACATGAACTCGAGTGTCCTGCTGTTCTTAGCTTCCTGGGCTAGCTCTGTCGCTACGATGCTGTCCGGGTTCATGTTAACCCTCGCCTCGTTTCCCATAGCACGGCGTTTCTTCCAAGATGTCCAGCGTTCTCGTGTGAATCGCTTGCCGACCCCATACCAATTGGCACTGACGTTGAAGTTCCTGGATGGAAGCACTCTCGCTGCGATTTGGGGGTGGGTCGTGTATCTCGTTTCGTGGAGAAAGACGCGTGCGCCGCTGACACCCCCCTTGACCACCGCTTCATCGGTTGCGGTACTTGTGACACTGCTTGGGTAAGTCTTCCCGGCCTGGCGAGGGTTGCTTGAGATGTTCTGACACCCGGAAAGGTTGCTGGTCGCCCTAGGAGACACCTGGCTGCATCTTACCACCACCACCGTGGAATTCACTCAAGTCAAGCCGGTCAGCAACCAGACGGACTATGGTTTTGGACTCATACCTGAATGTCTTACGAGCAACAACTCAGTGGCAGCGCAGAGCGGAGAGCAAATCTTATGTAGCGTTTCCCTAGCAGTTACAGGCAGCTTCCTGAGAAACGGAACGGTCTCTCTAGGGGTTCTGAACGACATGTCCGACCAGGCGACTGTCTCGACATATACCGACCCACAGGCAAACAAGTACGCCTACTTGCAAGCCCCGGGAGGGGCATCACTGTCCAACCGGGATTATACGGCGACGACCTACGGAGCGAGGACGCAATGCGAACTGATATCGACCAAGTGTAAATTAAAAAACAACGCAGCGATCGTCACTTACAACTGCTCCAGTGACTTCGCCGGCAGCTTTACTCAAACTGGCCTGAAAACGGCATTCTTCACCAACGCCAGCATGGCCGAAGATATGAGCCAGAGTATGTACAACACGGGGGTGGGCAACCCATACTACTTTGCGGCGGGCGATATCATGAGTCTGGCCGGTGGAGAAGCGCCGAACTCCACCGAGTTTCTCAAGAGCCTTCACGGCCCATATGCATTCATCCTGGGCTGCAACACGACCATCTACGACATTGAGTACGATCGGGTGAACAACACGGTAACCCGGTTTGTCCCAACGATCAGCAACACGTCTACGAGCAACGTCTGGCAGACGAGCATCTCTCACCTTACCAACTGGTATCCTACGATCGAACAGACGGCGGGAGCAGCCATCTTGAGTGGTTCTGCCCAGGTGTTTGTGGACAACATTGCCGAGTCATTTAGCAAAGTCACCATCGCCCTGGGGGCCGACACGGTCGATCCACGACCAGCAATAGCGGCACAGGATCGAGAGTCATTCCTCGTGGCGCGCCTCCCGAAGGCTCCTTTCATCACGTTGGTCGTCGTCAGTTTCTTGTATGTACTCTGTGGCCTGACTTTCGCTGTGCTCGCCCTGGTAGCTGTCCGACATAAAATACCTGATATCCAAGCCCGGATGAGCATCGCTGGTCTGGTTGCAGATCGATTTGGGGATCCCTCTTCCTGGGATAAGAATACAAGCATGGACCAGATGTTCGAAGAGCATTCTGGGAAGTCGGAGAAACGGGTTGCTATTGAGTCGCCGGATCTTGATGGGGCGCATCGATTCACAACCCGGACGCTGGAATCGACTGTTGTTCACTGATGCGCAAGGTGGATAGATAGATGTGTCCCATAGAATTGAATCATTCCATGGGTGCCTAACTAGCTAGGGCTTCAAGAATACCTAATGTTTATTTTGTATTTCCCTCGGCCGATCTACTGGTCGCTGGCACGGGAGGATCAGTGTCCTATGATGTATGGGTGGATATCGGGTATCATCACGTTTGCAGACGCATGGTGTAGATCATTGGTTCTCTATTATGTTCTTCTCGCAACAGCGCCGGTCACGGTAACATCCTGCATGTGTAGCGAGAAGCCCTAATAGAGAGTACCATTTCCTGAGTATAGTACCCCATGGGCCTTTGTAGGTATGTCGAACGATCATCGATGACATACAGAAGTCGACCCACATGGCCATCCAATATTTCTTAGTCCTTGACACGGCCAGACATCTGCCAGAGCTGCGCATCATGTCAACCACCCGTGAGTGATGAATTCTACGAGCCAGGAGTGAGATTTGAGCACGGTGGCAACAGAAGAGACACACTTGCAGATCCTTTCCGGATATAAATGACGTGCGAGAGAGTGTTATTGGGTTGGAGTCGCCCAAAGAAGTGCTCCGAAGATAAGGTTAAACTGGATCCCCGGTTTCATGGACCAGCAGCCCCAGGATTCACTCCCCATGCTGCTGATGGAGTCGCCGCTAGAACGTGCCAGCAATGAGCATGCAGCTTGTGCCAAGCTGTCGGAAATTCAAGGAAGTCTCTGCCCCTTCGAATCCTTCCGTGAACAGCCGCGGTCGAACCAGACCCTAGTCGCGCAGTAGCTTTCAGGGGCCACGTTTAGTCTGACGCCAAGAGACAGACGCGTTGATTAGGCGCTTCAGCTCAATCCCGTGAAACAAATCCTTTGTCTCATTTTCTCTCATCGCGCTTGTCGATGGCTCTTCATGTCGCTGCATGTCGATAGTGGTTGAGCAGGGGTTCCCCGACAGCGACCATCATGTCCTGATGTCGGACGGTGCAAAGAACGGTCACTATAATCCTTTTCACGCCCAGTCCAGTGCGGAGATCGCCCTAGAATGTGTCGTGGCGACCTTTATCGGCATCGCATGGTATAATTCCATCGAACTCGTCGTCTTGTGTTTCACCACATTCAAACGATATGGCGGTTGTTACTTTTGGAGCCTGGTGGTAGCCTCGATCAGCATCGTCCCCTTCGCACTGGGCTATGCGCTGCTTATCTTTAAAATATTCCCTAGTTACTTCTCGGTCGCCCTGGAGGTTGCTGGATGGTGGGGCATGGTCACTGGCCAATCCATGGTCCTGTGGTCTCGATTACATCTGGTCGTCCACAGTCGCAGGATATTGCGTTGGACATTGATCATGATTATCACGGACGCCATTCTATTTCATGTCCCGGCGTCGGTCCTGGAGTTTGGCGCCCATTCCGACAACCATCCCGAGTTCAATCCGGCGTTTGATATCTTCGAACGGATTCAGCTAGTGGCCTTCTCCGTGCAAGAGATTGTATTATCGGCCATTTATGCTTGGGCCGCGATTGAGATGCTGAAACTAACGCCACGGGGCCATTATAAAGGCATCCTCGTCCATCTCCTGTTCATCAATTTCGTGATGATCAGCATGGACGCAGCTGTAGTGGGAGTGCAATATGCTGGCTTCTTTCGAATCCACGTATCCTTGAAAGCCATGTTCTACAGTGTGAAACTGAAGATGGAGTATGCAATCCTGGGAAGACTGGTTCATGTCGCTGCCGTTCCGGTACATGCACTATCGAGCTACACTCCGACCGAACGATCCAATTCTGTATCCCGTATATGAGGCTTTGTCGATGTGGGTATATCCTGGGTAGCATTGGTTTGGCGATGGGTGGATAAGCCTCCCAACGAATGACGGGGTTCTTCTTATGAATCCAGTGCAACATATCCAGAGAGGCAACTGATGTTGGTTGCATAATCGAAAGGTCGCCACTCGTGAAACGCACAGATCTCTTCCAACACCGGTCCATATGGTATCAGTTTGCTTACCATGCGCTTCCCGGCGAGGTTGTGAGGCCTTAACCACAAATAGCTATCAGCAAAATTATCGAGCCTTTCCCGGAGAGGCCAATATGATGCTTACCATTTTCCTTTATTCGTGGCTTTGGAGCCATGGGACAATGCTGCATGGCGTCGGCGTAGCAATACTTGTGAGATGCATCCTTCAATGAAAGTTGGTTGGATATGCCTGGCATCGACCGATATGATGTGTTACATCGCCCTGATGGCAAGGGATGCGTGTACATACAAATTTCCCTTTTTCTGTCTAGCTGTATATAGAATTTGATGGATGTCCATGTTCATCTTGTTGCACCCCGATTAGCAGAGGCAGTGTACCATATGCAAACTGTCTCATGGATTCTATACGCAGATTAGCTCTTCATCTCGGGCGATACAAACTCATATACCATTGAATGGCAGATAACGGCGCAGCATGTGGCAGCTATAGGTTTCCGCGGGCTGCAACCCTCCTGAAGTAAGCTGCTGCGAGAAGAGGTGAAGATTCTGCTGCTGATAGGGAAGCTCCAGGAGGTGATACACGGTACTCAACTTCCGTCCGGCTCTACCATCCAATTGTCCACAATGAACTCTGGGGTTGCCCTATTCTGCGCAGGGTGAGACAGAAAGCCTAGTGCAAATGCCGCTCTATGGCTAAGAGTGGGTTGCAGTAGACTGCGAGACTACTTTTGTCCTGTTTGAGACTCATTTCAATCCCCTGCAAGCCACGATGTTCTGTACGAGTAAATGGACAGCCAGATCCAGTATCTGGAGACTAGTAGTTGAGCGATATATCTGAAGCTTCAGGTGGAAAGTACTAGCTGTAGTGCTTCGGTGCTGCTGGAGAGCTTGGTTACTCTACGTCGATCAACACGTGCGAGGTGGCCAGAACGCATCCTAATTATAGGTATGCATCAAGCTATCCATTGGCGGCATAATCATGCATGATAAGGAATGAAAATAATTAATATAACATGAGGGCAACAAAGCTAAAGACAATAAATGCCAACCCGTCACTCTATCTAGTCTCATCCTTCGTTATCCACGGATTACTACCCCTGCCAAGTCTAGTTAGGGGGGAGTATCACGCTGAAAATTGAGTCGAGACTTTCTTTGGCAGCATTACTGGATAGTCGAGAGAGTGTTCGATGTTCATCGCCCAGGCATAGATTTTAGTCGCCCTGATTGCCTGCGCGTGGTGAGTTACCACCAGAGTTACTACCGGGCTGTTGGATGAATCCATCGAGAAAACAATGACTAATCTTACCACAGCATAACCGGAAGGCCTCTGGTATCTACTGGCTAACAAAAGTACGGTTTGCCGAGCGGTTTCAAGGAATCGTTATCCTCCTTGTTCCGGGAAGCGCTCCACATCGACTGCACATCTTATACGAGAATATTGCCCCACACAAATGCGACTATCCCCACTACTTATGCTCCTGTCCAAATGCAGGAAGAGATGGCAATCTTTTCCGGTGTGACCCCCTGTTCATCCAGGATCCATGGATGTCCATAGGAGCCGTCGTCGGCCGAGACTCCGTCTCCGAAGAAGCGATGAAAATCTTCTCCAACTTCAGGCATCGCAGCTCAATATTCCCGTTGATATGTCATATTAACGTGCACCTGACAGGTGGGGGGCTTGACCCACAATCGCCTGATGCGAACCATCTTTTTAGTTAATGGGAAAGCAGAAAGGAAAAGAACCAAACGCTGTAGCCGGCTGTCAACCCCTATTACCCGCAGAGAGGTTACGATTGCCAGACATTGGATGACTAGATAGGGGCCTGGTAGACACACCTTTACAAGAACAGAAGAGACATGTCATCCAAACAAGAACAAAAGGCAATCGAGGTCGATTGCCTACACAGAGGAGTGTTTAAATATAGCGCAATATGTACTTGTATGCACACCACCATCTGAAATGCACATAACCTAAAGGAAACCAAGCCGTGAAACTACATAGTCATATACAACATTAAGCATTGATAGCCAGGTCCGTACGCTCCCGCATCTTGACAGGAATACCCTCGTGCCTGACAAACCATGAGTTGGTGACGTGCCACGTGTGATCGAGGCTGGGAAGCTCCATCTGAAATACTCAGTTAGAAAGGTCTTACAAGAAGAGGGAGGGGGCTTACCTCAAAGGTGCTGAACAAAGTCGCAATGAGTTTGTAGCTTTCGAGTTGGGATAGATACCGTCCCAAACACGTGCGGGGGCCAGCCCCAAACGTAAAGTCAGTACCCTTCATTTTAGCAAATCGTGCTTGGTAGGCTTCGTCACTTTCACCAGGGCTTGGCAGCCAGCGCTCTGGGATAAAGTCCTCACTGTTGGCCCCAAAGATGGCCTCATTCTTGTTGATTACCCAGGGGTTCATGCCGACAATAGTCCCCTCGGGGATGTGACGTCCATCGGGAAGAGTAAAGCCTCCTTCGGGAACAATCCGCTCGATCATGAGGCCAACCCCAGGGTTAACTCGCATGGCCTCACGCATGACGGCATCAAGATAAGTGAGGCCCTGCAGGTCCTTCCACCTGGCTGGGAGGGGGATTTTGGCCGCATACAGCTCATCACGCAACTTTCGATGGACCTGAGGATGCTTCAGGATGTGATAAACCGCAGAGCACATCGCGCTGCCGGTAGTATCACTACCGGCCAACGTGTTGGACAGGAGATAGGTGACGATCGTGTTATCATTGACGAGATCGGGGTACTTCTTCTTGGTTTGCAAGAATCTGTCAAGGAAGTCCGTATGGCCACTCGGTGGGGGGCCACCGCTCAGGCGCTTCTGGAGTTGCTCGAGACTGAAGATATTGGCCCACACAAAGGTGGGCGGGCCGAGGCGGATGATCGGGTTCTTGTCTAGAAGCAAGTCCAAGACTGGCATCTGAGAGATCTGCAAGGGTCAGCCCCATCAAGGTGCAAAGGAGGTTGACTGATCTCACCGAGGCGAAGTAGTCGAGACTCTTGTTCGATCGGCCCAAGAAGCCTTGATAGTCCGAACCAGCCTCCAGGATGCCTAGGTTCTGAGAGAAAGTGATTTCACTCATCACATCCCATGCAACTATCGGGACCCATAGATCAGTAGAGTTGATAAAAAAGAGCATCGCCGGTGGCTTACAGAAATTCAGGTAGTCCGCCATATCGCAAGGCTGGCCCTTTTCCACAAATCGCTCTCGCAGTTTATCCATGAACAAGTTAATGGTTACATCCACGCCAGGTTCCATGTCCTGCACCTTGGTCATTGAAAAGAGCCCCTTCACTGGCCGGATGTAGGTCGAGTGCCATTTCTCATCTTGATGCGAGAAGAGGTTCTTCAAGCGCACTCCGGAGACAATTACGTCGTTCACATTGTACATATCACTCTAATTATTGGGCTAGTCAGGATTGTATCGGTTGCCATGCAAGTCAAGGAGACCAACCTTCATCCACGGATTCTTCGAATTGAAGACATGAGGAATGACGCTAGGGTCTGAGAGACTGAGAATTTTGGGACCCAGTCGCACCGCAGTTCCATACTTGCGGTGCAGTTGGTTGTGTGTGATATCGCAACGGCCCTTGAATACATCCTGGAGACGCCACAGATTGGTAAAGCTAGCCCAGAACGGCCCTGGAAAGATCTTCAAGGGGGACGAAAGGTAGTTCCAAAGAAGGTGAGAGATGCCCAGGATGGCGATTGCGAACCCCAGGTCCATTGCCAGCTCGTTGATAGATAGCATTTTTGTTTGATGGGTCATTTCAGCGTACTGCACTAGGTATGCGGCGTTCCAGGTACTTCCCTGTCCGTTGTTGACCTGTCTACTCCGTACATTCGGGGTAGATATAGTTAATGCCGGACAGGAGGATGTGGGGGGGGGGGAGGGGGGGAGTGGATGATATGACACCCGGACTCGTGCAGCACGGTACGCCAGCTCCACCAGGAGAAATGGGGGTAAACTCTCCGGACGATGGCGGACAATCTGCAACCCTCGAATCTATCAGGCTTTTTTTGCCCGGCTGTGATGAGGGTGGGGGCATGATGAGCAGGATTGGCCTTGCTGCGAATTCGTAACTTATATAACAAGCGACGTCACCAGCATAGAGGGAGCCTGTCTAGATGTACAGTGTGCCTACTCAGTCGCTCAATCCAACTACTTAGAAATGTCTTTTCTGTCCCTAGTCGGGCACCCTGCGGGCTAATGAAGCCCTATACAACGATACAAAGCAGAATGTCATTGTTCCCAGCGTGTACTATTTGCTGTTGGCGGCACAGAGCGTTATTCTCGACATGTTGGCGGCCTTGCCATTAGTGGGCATATAACCGACACGAATGAATTTGACCATGAACCCTGTACGCTCTAGTTCCTACGAGTGAGTAAAACGTCCTGCGCTAACAAGCCGACTTTGTCACGAGTGAGCATAGTGAAGCTGGTTAGCTGGCTTGGCGGTACTTCTGCGCAAGCCCTACTTGATGTGCACTAGAGGGCGTGCTAAAGAGAAGACTAAAGGTCCGACCCGCTGCCGGAGCGCTCTGGACGGATGCTGATCCATGTCACATCCACTTCGCTAACGTTCGCTAACCACGCGGATTGGCTCCTTGGCCATGGCATAGGTCCATTAAGGGCTTGTTACATGACTCGGCTGCTCAGGAAGTGCTGCCTGTTATGGTTATCACCCCCTGCAGTGTGTGTGTTTTTGATTATATAGATCAATATCGATTCGCCGAGCTGGGGTTCCACCCCAACGTTGCTCTATACTTGCCACTATAAAACAGCGGTTGATATTAGTTCGGCCTAAGTCGGCAGTAACCCTTGTCCAGTGGAGGTTGTTCATGTTTCCAAGTTGGTCCTACTGAAGGATGAACCCATGTCACATTATGAAAAGTAAAGAAAGGCCAAGAAGGAAAATGAAAGGAGAAAAATTAGAAAAAGATACAATTGCGCCTTGTGCCTTGCTACAGAGCCTCGGCCTATAACATTCTTCAGGTTTGGGCTCCCCAGGAGACAAAGCTCCAGACGTGGAAGTTCACCTTCTCCCCAGTACATTTACCTTAGTATTGATAGCCCTGGACATCCGGGCGCACTGGACAGATTCTACCCGACACTTTTGTCGGCGAAAAGTTTATTCGACGTCCTCTGCATGCTTCCTTGTACCCCAATTTGCTGACGAGCCATGTCGTCGAAGGGGGTTGACGACCAGGGTCCAACCATTCTGGCTGTGTGCTGGATCCTGGTCCTAATCCCAGCTCTTATTGTCGCCCTCCGAATGTATTGCAAGGTGATGCTGAATAGAGGATTTGGATGGGATGATCTGGTGATCTGCCTGGCCCTGGTCCGTGGCTTGAGTCCTGCGGTTTAACGCTCCTTAATAACTGATCATCGGCCGACAGGTGCTGCTCCTCGTCTACACGGCGCTCACCACCCGAGGCGTCCAGATGGGCGTAATCGGTAAACATGTTGGCGACATTGACGACCCCAGTAAAACGCCTGGAGCGCTGAAGTTGATCTACATTGGCATGATTATCTGCATCATCAGCTGTGTGCTCAGCAAGACGTCCTTCGCCATCACCCTGTTGCGCATCGTGACACGTCCTTGGCAGAAGGCGATCCTGTGGTTCATCATCGTCTCTATGAATATCATCATGTGGCTATGCGCCATTTGCTACCTGCTCCAGTGCAAGCCCGCGGCGGCACTCTGGAATGCCGAGCTCATGCCGACGGCGGACTGTTGGCCCAGCTATATCTTTCAGACGATCGCTCTTACTGCTGGGGGTACTACATAAGAAATGCTTTAATTGAAAGGCAGTTCGTTGACAGGTGTCTTAGCCTATTCCGGATGTATGGATTTCATCTTGGCCTTACTGCCATGGTTGGTGATTTGGAAGCTCCAGATGAGGCGACGCGAGAAGCTAGGCATTGCAATTGCGATGAGCTTGGGGATCTTGTACGTGTGCTCCCATGCATCCCCAACTGCGACCAAGTGAAATACTGACCTAGCCATGTTCCAGTGCGGCAGCGACGGCCTTCATCAAGACCACGAAGCTAACCAATGTGTCCAACGTCGCCGACTATACCTGTCTGCCTGTTCCTTCCTGCTCGCTCTTTCTATTTTTGTGCTAATACGATCATAGATGCATGTTCGGAGATTCTCATCTGGGCATCGGCGGAAACAGGCCTGACCATTTTTGCCGCCTCGATTCCTTCCCTCCGTGTGCTGTTTGTCCGGATGAGCTCCTCCTACAATCACAGTGACGAGCCATCTTCCTATGCCTACGGCAGCTCTGCAAAGAAAAGCCGGAATCGCCGGGGCCTGTCCGGGTCTCGCCATCGAGATCCATACTACTGCGGCGAGACTATCACCCTTCCCGACCGACGAGACGATAATAGTGCTAAAAGTATACTGGGTAGCTCCGGGATCAAGCAGACGCAAGAAGTCACCGTGACATACGATCAGGGCCCAGAGGAGAACGAACAGGTAGCAGATAGGATGGGCGTTTTGCACTCAGGGTCACACCGTTAGGATGGCTGTCTATGTATTATATTGCGATTGGCAAGTGTGTGCACTACTCTATGTGTGTTATGACTATGGTCGGACAAAGTAAGATAATATTAATCACCAATAGACGCCCAACCAGGGACGAGTCCTCCTAGCCAGCTGAAATCAAGATTTGATCACGCATTTGACACCAATCGCTCCCTGAGATCGACCGTATCGCCAAAACCAGCCAGGTAATTAGTGATGACTCTGGTTCCTTTGGGGGAATTTGCGCCTGATCTCCTCCTCGGTGAATCGCCGAGTCTTGGAGCGCAGCATTTGCGCAATTTCGTCCTGCTCCATCCCGATCTGGTCCCCCAGTGGGACCAAACACTTGGCGAGATGGTTATAGTCCTTCCGCATTAGTCTCACGGTGATCATAATGTAGTCAATGTTTCGAAACACCAGTGCATTCTCGGTGGTATATCGGTCCTTCTGTTGCAGGAAGGCCACGGGGTGATCCCTCCAGTGGCGGCGAGGGTTCAGGTGATGGGAAGTATGGTAGCCATCGTTGTAGCAGAAACGGTTACTCTGCTCGTCTTAGTTTCCGTCGCGGTCAATCAGTCCTACGGTGCTTACTTACTGCGACATCTATCAATGTAATGCTCGAGCGAAAGTCCGAGTTCGGATCAACCTCGTCCACAAAGGCATGCTGCCCCCAGTTGCCCACCATCAGCCCCAAGCGCAGTTGCAAAAATGGAAGGACAAAGCAAAAGAGCGTTGGTTTCCATCCGAGATACTTCCATGCCCAGTACATAGACGCCAGGCTGAGAATCTCCCACGTCCCTGCCTTGAATGCACAGCGAAGATTACCCTTGCGGAAAAAGTATCGAGGTAGTTCGAACCAAACACAAAGCAAGAACCGACCAAAATAGCAAAGGAAGTCGAATAGGTCATCCCGTTGATACCGGATGGTCGAAGAGAGATCGTCCGGCCCGTTGCCCTCCACATGATGATGCTTGACATGATGGTAGTAGTAGCTGTTCCAGGTATGTCCCATCAGACGATCCGTGATATAAGGGAATGTCATGTCCAGCCAGCGGTATTTCGGCTTCAGTACTCCCCCCATATGGATATGCTGATGCATCAACAGGGTATATGTGCCCGTGTAGTAGCTTTGCATGAGCCAATGCAGGATCCCATGTGTCCAGCTGAATCTATAAAATAGGAGGACTGCGCTGGGGACAGAGGTAGTGAGGTAGAGCAGAATATGGGAGAGCATCACCACGTCGGTCTCATGGCGAACGATTCTTCTTGCCAGACCTATGTAGGGCTGCAGAACCCACCTGTCCAGCCAAGGGTACAGGCGAAGATCCCTGAGGTCCCATGTGAACACCACGCTGGGCTCAAAGTCCGAATGCTCGGGGTCATTCAACGCCTGCAGTTTCTTGACCGTCTCCTCCTGGTGAGACGTCCTACTTCGCGTCACAGCGTCACCATCTACCAGTCATCTTTAGAGTCTGTGTCTCATTGGGGATTGGAGGTGGAAGTGCACTTACCTTGTCCCTCGTTCTTCCATGTTTTAATATCGTCCAACAGGTTCTCCAGGACTAGCACATCGCTAATCGTCAAATTCGGATCGAGATCCATGGCAACGACGTGGCTGGGCTCCTGTCCTCTTCTCTACCTGAACAGCTTTAATTTTTTGGGGGGATCAGCGAGTCAGCTGACGTCATTATTTTGCTTTTCCTTTCGCACTTGGTTTTTTTGCCCCTCCAGATACACTTTGTTCGATCGCTGTTTTTACGTTTCCACTTTGGTGTAACTGCGCCTTCGTTACCATCCGAGCCCGATATATGCGGGCAATAGGAACAGGGAAAAAGAAAAAAGAAAAAAATAGGAGCCCCCTTTTCTTGTGGTCTGTGCTTGATTTCTATACGGACCAATCATGACTAGACCTGGATGGCTCCATAGGCTCCATAATCTCCATAATCTCCATAATCCTCAGGGGGAACTTGTCTCTGGACTCTCTTCTGGGAGAGAGTCTACCATGAAAGCAGACGCCAAGTGATTACGTCTAGGGGAACATACGATGCTATAAAAAGAGTGCGTCTGCTCCGCGCCTGGAATGCCAGCGCCGGAAACGGCGGTACGGAGGAGAGGATGCTTTTTATATCTCCCTGGCAGGACAGCTACAGCGACACGGCTCTCTGGTGCGGTGGTCTAGAGATCTTGGCGAATGCCCCTATTTGCTTCATCTCAGCCCTACCTGCTACTGTGTAATAGCGTAGGAGTCTCAAGGAGGGTTTCGCATGTACCTTCCCGCTGACAGGGGGACATGCTCTGGGCCTTAATCGACCCAGCTGGCTATGCTGTGCTAATTATGGGTACCTAAAAGCCTCAGTCAACCAGCCTGGCGCATCCCCGTCAGTCATCAATCTCCCTGATCGGGTTGTTTTTCCCCCGAGCGACGGCTTGCCGTGGCCAAGGCTTGACTGATCTCTCCGATGTTCAACGGTTGGGTGGGGCCCGTAAGGCACGTTGGTGAGGGCTTGGCGTGCATCGTTAGGGATTGAGCAGTTAGGGTCTTTTCTCCAAGGTCGACTCGGGGGGCCAGTTAGGAGTGGAGTGGTTGTCAATCATAGAAAGAAGTCTCCGTTGATCGCTAAGCTAAGCACGCAGGTGCATCTCGGATTTGCCAACGTGTGGATCGAACCGCAAGGTGGCAGTCGCATAGCGGGCCCAGACGATCGAATTTTGCTGAATTGACGGGAAGGTCGATCCGGCCAGTAACTTTTGTTAATCGTTGGTTAAGCCACTCACTTGCTCCGATATCGAAGTAGCACTCCACCAGATCGACTGCCCATTTGCCCTTCTACAAGATATGTTTCGATCGTAGAATCGAAGTCCTATCCAGGGTAAAGATGACACCACATCCTGCACACCAGGCTGACAAATGCTCCTCTGCGACGCGGTTTAGCAAGCAGGGGTTGAGAAACACTCACCTTTTGGGTGTATGAGACACGATATAAAGGCTGTCTTGTGAACCTCGTCCGAATTCCAGTAATTCGCCCACGATTGAACCGCCCTTGGGGTACACAGGATCGTTACATTTATACAACGCGATGTCTCAAACCCGCATTCTTCTGACCGGCGCCACGGGCTACATGTGAGTATACTTCTATATGCATCGCGAGAGAAACAAACTAATGAGACACAGTGGTGGCTCGGTCCTGACCACTCTCACGGCCAGTACTGCTGTCGAGGTGCAGAACGCACAGATCGACGTCCTCATTCGCGGGCCGGAGAGGGTTTCGGAGTTCCAAAACCTCAGGGTTGGAGTCATTGTCTTCAAGAGCCTCGATGAGACAGAATTCATTCGGAAGCTCGCGAGCAACTACGATGGTGAGCGTTGCCAAAGGAACTCGGCGGCGACAGATCTCTGATTGCATGCTATACAAGTCATTATCAACACCGCTTCCGCTTTCCACACGGAATCCGCTATCGCCATGATCACTGGGCTTCATGACCGAGAGACGAAGACCGGCCGGAAAACCCACTTGATCCATGTGAGCAAGGAGATGGATACGTTATCGAAGTCCAACCGCTGACAAGTTGGCAGACCTCCGGAACGTCCAGCATGGCCGACCGTCCGGTCAGCAAAGTCTACCTTGAATCCCGAGAGCTACATGATACCGACGATGTATATGCGTATCAACAGAGTCGCGAGGCCCATGAAGCCTATCAACAGCGCACCACTGACCTGGCCGTCTTCCGCACGGGGATTGATCTTTCCGTCAAGACGACGATCATCATGGCCCCGACCATCTTCGGCATTGGCACAGGTCCTGTCAACCGGCTCTCGATCCAGATTCCCACGCTTATCCGTCGTGCCTTGCAGTACGGACACGCCGTGGTGATCGGGGATGGCCAGGCCGAGTGGGATCATGTCCACATCGCCGATCTAGTGACCCTGTTCGAGTTGGTCCTAGTGAAGGTGTTGAAGGGAGAGAACGTGCCGTACGGAGCCCAGGGATTGTTGTTCGCAGAGACAGGTCGTCATACCTGGATGGATGTGTCTCGCGGCATTGCCGCGGCGGGATCCGAGCTGGGTTTACTGGCGACCGATGAAGTTCGTGGTGTGTCCCTACCAGAGGCAGCAGCCTGGGCCGCCAATGGCAGCGAGCAGGTGCGCGAACTAGGCTTTGCATCGAAGTGAGTCGCCTTGCCCCCCTTGCCATCATCGTTGATACTCACCTTATCTTAGTGCTCGGTCGAGCGCTACGTTGAGCAGAGCCTTGGGATGGCAACCACAGAAGACCGAGACGGACTGGCACGGTGCATTCAAGGAGGATTTTGAAGCGGTTGCCAAAACGGTGGTTTAAACAATAGTCTGTCAACTCATTTCATGTCAGAAACCGGGGAGTCATGGTGCAGAATGCGGGTCGATCCAGCTTCCTTCACGCTTGGGTAGTAATGTGATTATTCTGACCTTTCATATTCTCAACTCTGGATCTGGCTGCCCTTTGACTCGCTCTAGTCGAGGCACGTAGCGTGATATAGCATATCCTGGCAGAGATGTATATATAATGATAACCAAACCGAATTTCCGAGTGGATTCCAGAATGCTTCCCTAGTGGTTTCCGTTATGATAAGTACTCTTCTGCCTCCACGGGCAGAGGCACCCTTGCAATGTCTAGAATATTTATTATGGTCACTCTATATACGGAAGTAATTAGTTTCATATAAGACTCGTAACAACCCTTTTGCTGGGACGAAGATGGGGAAACGGAGAACCGTAATATACCAGAGTGGAGCCACTTCCTCCAATGATATGGGGCAAAAAGTCTCCGTAATAGAATTTGCAAAACGTGGAATTGTCTGACCGGTGGATTATTAATCGATTCCAACATCCCCACACAACAGACGAAGCAGCAAATACTACGAAGTACACACTGCTCCCATGCTCTGACATACTCGATACATGCTCCACGGCGACATGTCTCAATCGGCTCATGCGTCCAAGACCCGAACTCGTAATGGGTGCGCCAACTGTCGACAGAGTCGGGTCAAGTGCGACGGCAAGGAGCCCTCCTGTACGCGATGCTGGCAGAAAGGCTGGCAATGCACCAGGGAAAAGCTGACTCTCAAATGGAAGTCGGACTACCAGAGCCGTGGATTAGCATTCGGGCGGGAAGGAGTCTGGGGGAAAGGACCGTCGTCGAAGAAAAATTACCCTGTCATATCAACCGGGGAACAGAATTGGTATTCCAATAGCACGGTGTATCCGTGGAGCTTTGTCAATCAGGACATCTCGACAATGAGGTGGCTTTACGATGAGAAAGGAGGCCCCGGACAGCCATCATCTATGGAGATCGGCGTGATCCGTCCGAAGCGCGACAGGGTCGGAGTGGCAGAGCAGGCTCCATTGTGGTACTCGCCGCCTGTATTTCCCTACCCCCAAGCGCAGAAGTACGCAATTATGGTGGAGTATTTCATCGATCAAGTCTGTCCTCGAACGACATCAAGTCTGAAGATCGCTTCTCCTTTCACGTCTGTGATCCTACCATTTTGCTTGAACGGCTCTGAGAACGGACTCGTCGCGCTCCAAGCACTGGCCGCGTGCTACTGGTCCCAATCTAACCCTGCCCATACAAGCACCGCGGTGCGGTTAAAGTCTCACGTTCTGGGAGAATTGCGCCGCAGGATTGCGGCTGACCCCTCCTATATCACCTCTCCGGATCCCGAAGTGCTGGTTCTGATGATGATGATGAGTCTATACGACATCGTCGACCAGTGCGACAAAGGATGGGTCGTCCATCTCCAAGGCGCGAAGGATATCATCCGGCTTCGAAGGAGAAACCTACCCAACCAAACGCAATGTCCAGTGACAGCTTTTGCTGAACTATTCTTCGCGTTCCAGGATGTTATGGGCCGCACCGCGTGTGCCAAGGCGGATTTGTTTGGTCCTTCTTTCTGGGATCAGACTGACCGTTCCGTCAACCCGTGGATGGGATGTAGCCCTGAGCTGGTTTCCATCCTCTTTTCGATTCTGGATCTCAGTCGCATCCGCCCCCAGATGGACACCGACTTAGCCGAAGAGGTAGACTTCAGCATGAGAGCGTCTGCCTTGAATCGAAGATTGGGAAGCCTCGTACAAGTCTTAGCTGATCCAGAAGACCGGGCCCTCCAGGCGGTTGCCGATCTCAAACGGTTGGCATGCACCGTCTATCTGCACTGCGCCCTGTACAACGCAGAGCCATCCACCCCAATCGTTCGCAGTCTCGTTCGCAGGATCATTCAGCAATTATCCGCCTTGCTCAAAGAGAACCTCATCATCAATGCGACATGGCCGATTTTCGTAGCTGCCGTCGAGCTGGATCCTGCGGATGGGGAGAATTGGCCAGATCCAGTAACGGGGGAGCTGGTCGACGGACGAGCTTTGGTCCTGAGGGCATTGGCTACGATGGCCCAATCCACGGTCACCAGTGTGGCGCGCGTCCGCTCCATCATTGAAACGGTTTGGCAGTCGCGAGACCGTGATTTAGCCACCGGATCGTCCGGACGGCAATCCTCGCAGCACAATGACTGGGAATGGTATGTGGTCCCGCTGAGTGATGCACTGAGCCTGGTATAGCCATGTATCCAAGAGATATCTCTCTCTATCAGACACGAGGACATCGCTTCTGTCACAATCCATTCCGACATGACATCGGTGCCGCCCTTATCTCCGACGGTTTTCACGGCCTGGAATGACGTCAGTCTTTGATCTGCCCTGGTGGCAGGTTTATATCATTCTGCATAAGTCTCCAGCCTAAAACAAACTCCCTATGTTATCAAGACCACTACCGTCATGACTAGCCTCCTCCGCCGCCCTAAGCTACAATCCCTCTACAGAGTAAGCATGTCTCAAGACTTACAGCAAAGCCTTTGGCTTGTTCTCACTGGTAGTTGCATGCTCGCGATACTTTCGTGGGCCATTTGTGACTATCGGGACTGGGTGAATTTCGGTGAGAGAACACTTCATGACCCGGTAATGGCTCGGGCTTGGACTAAGTCTCTCTACAGGGAACCGGTGGCACACCACCCACCCTCCGCGGCTGGTTCGAAGTCAACCCACTCCGAGTTATAAAAGCCTTCAGCTACCTGTGCGGCGATGACCTGCAAGATCCATGGGCCTTGCCACAAACCGGACCCCGATAGCTTCCACTGGCTTTGCCTCAAAGAGAAGAGCCCCCTGTCACTGAAGCGGAGGTGAGAAATGCTATGCCGGATTGCAATTGGTATCGTGCTCTAACATTCCGTGCGCACGGGCAAGAAATTATTCAACCTGATGAACAGCTTTCACTCGCAATAGCCTCGTTTATTCCGTCAGAACTTATCTAACACGGAGGGCGGGATTGTTGATGCCATTTATGCGCGGTCGGAACTACCAACATGCAATCCTGAAGCGGCGGTTGTTGACTATGGAATTGCGCGTGCTCATCTAGCGGACAACTCCCTACATGTGTTACTCTCCCCGACTGATGCCCATGCTGTGATTGAAGCCGCCTGGGGCCGGCGATTTTGCAGTCCCCTCAATGGTGCCTCCTCGATGGGTAAGCCTCGCGATCGGACACATCCTGGTCACGGCGAGTATCGATGCTAACATGGCCCTTGGACAGATCATAGTATACGCCCCACGAAACAGCGAGGAGGTGGAGCTTGTTTCTCAGATCGTCCAAGCTGCGATTCGGTGGACGACGGGTACGACGCTAGATTGATCTGTCTCGTAGCGCCATTCTGAGCTGTGAACAGACGACGGATAGTTGGGAAAGTGTCATCGGATCCGCCACGCGCAGGGCTCAAGTACACAAGGCGAGACCTTAGCGCAGGGGCTAAAGCCAGACTACAACTCAGAGATACAGAGTAGAAGGTGACGCGTCATATCATTTCGCTTTCTCACGTATGACGGATTTATGGCTCGGCTTCGGAGTTAAAGATACTGTCCATCTTATGAGTATAAGAACCCAACCATCCACTGCCGTTTTCCAGACTATTGAGATCGACAAATCTTGCGCCAGTTGATATTCTTCCAGTCATGCCTCCGTTCATCACCCTCGAAGAACACTATGCCTCGCCAAAAGTGCGCGAAGCCAGCGCAGAAGCCCGTGCGCACTACGCCAACTTTCCTCCTGCTATAATGTCCAAGTTGGAGTCCCTGGGGGAGGAACGTATCCAGGATCTCAATAAAGGGAATGTGTCCCTCCAAGTCATTTCCCACGGTCCGGGTAATTTATCACCCCTTCTCTGCGCGGAAGTCAACGACGACCTGGCGTCTGCCATTGCCAGAAATCCTACTCGATTAGCGGGGTTCGCCATGCTCCCGATGAGCGAGCCAGCTGCTGCTGTAGCCGAACTCGAGCGCTGTGTGACGGGACAGGGCTTCGTTGGAGCCCTGGTGGACAATCACCTAGACGGACAGTTCTACGACGACGAACGCTTTTGGCCCATCTTTGAAAAAGCGCAGGAATTGGACGTTCCGATCTACATCCACCCTACGTTTGCGTCCGACTCCATGATGGAACATTATAAAGGTAACTACAGTGACTCTGTGGCGTTGGCGCTGAGCGCGTTCGGCTGGGCCTGGCACGCCGAGACCGGACATCATATCCTGAGGTTATTTGCCAGCGGTCTTTTTGATCGTCTGCCCAAAGTGAAGATCGTGATCGGACACATGGGCGAGCTGCTACCCTTCCAATTGGATCGCGTTTTTGCGATCTCGGACCGATGGGGCAGAGAGAGAGGGTTTAGAGAGGTCTGGCGGAACAATATCTGGATCACGACCAGTGGCATGTTCTCGTTGACACCGCTGGCTTGCCTTCTACAAACGACGTCCATTGATCATGTGTTGTATAGCGTTGACTATCCGTTTTCACCGAATGAGAAGGGGTTGCGGTTTTTTGAGGAGATCGAGACGAGTGGCTTGATCAGTGGGAAGGACCTGGAGCTGTTCGCATACCAAAATGCAGAAGCATTACTCAATGTCAAGGCGACCCATGTGTGAGCTTTTCCTTTTCTACTCACGGGGTTATCGCTAAAGAGATTTTTAATATGTAACACTGTCACTCTATATCACCAGTGACCGTAATGCAGTACGTTGGACATGCAGAATGACACTGACCGGTTGCTCTTCAGGCCAACTGCTATACATACCATGAACAGGACCGACAACCCTGTTCAGCTGGGACAAATGAGGGCTGACATAGCTTCTCTATTACCACATCTAATCCAATAGAAGTTAAGATTATATGACAATTGTATGTTCGGATGTTCAGCGGGGGTGGGAAAGATAGAACGGATGAGATCTTCCGACGCGAAATGGTATAATGTAGCAGAGGGCAATAGCGTAAGGCGAAAATAACGGCGTGAAGACATGAGAAATCTCGCGTAGGGCTCAACCCCGACCTCGAATACAGACAACGTCCTATGCAATAGCATCGGGAGTCCGCGGGGGCCCTTGAGATGGTGCGGTATGGCTGGCGTAAGTAGAATAACTGATGGCGTCCTCTCGACTATCGACAGTACCGCGACGTTTGCCAGGAATTGGATGTGAAGCGATCAGGCTATGTTGGCTGGGCAGGGACGACGCCATACTGGACCACATGCGGATGATCGGTCGCACAGTCGCAAGACTGCCGGCGGTGATGCCCAGGCAAGCTTCAACATTGGAGCAGATGGAGATCTGTGTGGTTGCGTCTGCGCACGGTTAGAGTGGTGAGGCGAGACAAGGAAGAGGCGCCACTGACGGAGAAAGTCTGGGCTCTTTGCTGAGCTCAGAAAAGGAATGCGGACGATCACAGCAGCGCTCGCTCTGCAGCCACGATTTAGTATCAAGAGCACCGTGCGTTCCAGGGGGCGGTTCCATAACGAACATGCAAGCAATCCCGAGGATCCCCGCCACAGCCAGTTTCGTCCGATTATCCATTTGAAGCCTCCAGATGAGGGATACGGGAAGAAGGCCCATGGTAAAATCACAGGCCGCCGCTACGCCGCTGTACATGTAGACAACCCCAAGGAGCGAGTTCATGTCCAGGCAGTGGCCTTCCATCGAGAGACGATTCCAATAGTAGGAGACTGGCTGGCACTGGAAGATAGCAAAGAAAAGAAAGACAATCCCCACCGCCGTGGACAGGGCCATCACTGCATAGAGAATCCATTGATGGATACGCTCAACGGTCAGGCGCAGTAAGGTGATGGCAATGGATAGTCGGCCAATCGTCACGGTGATGATGTAGATGATCTGGCCCAGCCACCAGAACTATGGATGAGCACCGTCAGTAGAAATGGTGGTCCAGTAGGAGACCCAGACTGACCAAGAATCCGCGACGGACGTCGTCAGGTCGGTCCGCAAGGTATTCCGGTGTTTTCCCCGTGCCAGAGGAGGCGCTGAGGAAGGTACACGCGGCGAATCCCACATTGAAAACCTCGAAGAACTGTCAGCGGAAAACCAGGAAAAGTTGAAGACGGGGCTGCACACCATCGCCGTCACAATCAATGCATCGTCGCGGCCGAATGCGCGCACGATTCTCAATCGAACAAAACATCGGAGACCAACCGCCACCAGTGATATCCCGAGGAACACGGCGGTTACTATAATCAGGGCATCGCTATTATTCCCAGATCCCATTGTCCAGTGACGGTGGATAGACCTGGGCGGGCGGACGGGCTATCGGACAGCCTTCAAGACTTTGAGAGGAGGGAAGCGGTTCATCAGGCGCTGCAACCTTGCTGATCTAATGATTGAATATAGCGGAGAAGGCAAACTTTATTAACTGAAAGATCCGACACGTTGGGCGTCCTCCAGAACCATCTGCATCCCAGCCATGGTTGTTTCCGCGTGGAGCCGTGGAACCGCGACGAGTCTAGACTGCAAGGTGGTTTCCGCCGGAATTTGGGAAATTCTACGCCATGGGGCCTTTCTGGAAAGGACGAAGGGAACTAATGATCGCTAAACTTTCGCCCCGTTGATGTACGGTCCTTGGGACAGCATAAACCTTCGCATCTGTCCTGTTCACATTCAGATGTACTGGGCGATCATCCGGGGCCCTATCTATGTACCGCATATACGACGCTGGGAGTCATACTCAGGCCTATTGGACCGACTGTTGCGTGCTTGGTAGTCGGCTGAGCTCTCCATGAGAAGCGGCCAGGATGTGAGTCACGAAGGATAGCCTCTACACACTATGATAGCGCGATTCAGGTTTGGGGGCGTCACTGTTGCTTTTCTCCATACTGCGATAGGACGACTATAAACATATCCCTTGTGTTAAACCCGACCTTGCTATGTCAGCGCTCGCGGTGCGCAGCGAGCTAAACAACTCCACTGGACCCGCCTGCATAGCTAGACATTCCAATAGTTCAGCTCTAACAGGTAAATACTCCGGCGTAGGATCTTGATGGACAACTCCACTCGACTCGGCGATATGATCGGGATGGTCACTCATGGGTACCAGGTCTAGTCCTTCTGCTCTGTGTCTTCATATCCACATCTTTCACCTGAATCAAGAGTTGGTGGTTACACATCGCTCAAGATAAACACTTCCAGCAAGGCTTTCAAAAATGTAAGTGTGCACCGTGCTACCTACTGCAAACTAGACAGCTCTCGGTTGAAGGCAAGCGACAACAGGCCATGGCAGACCCTCTCCGATGTTCCCTTCCCAAAACAATCATGAAAGAATGCAATCAGTCAATAGACTCATACATCAACTCTATCTCCTGTTGCAGAACAATATGAGCCAGCCGACCTACGTCCAATCACGCTCGGCTGTCCCCTGACGTGCTGACACAGTCAGACTTCAGGCCAAAGATTCGAGGGCAGGTATCATGACCAGGCCAGAGAATGAACGTACACGAAAGTGGTGTGACAAAGGTTCTAGATATCTAAACGATCATTTTCAGGTCATCTGGTGAATACGACAAACAGGTTAGGAGCGCAACCCAGAGCGGATGGCACAACTCCATAACTGGGATGCCCTTCAGTGCAGCCTCCAAGGACCAGTCTTGGAGACAATAGGAACCCAACAGGTCAAGTTGAAGTGATTCTTGTCATGCTGTGGCAAAGTCCACTTGACCAAGGTGTTGATCCTTTGAGGCTTGAAGCGAAGGGTCCGTTCATGTACAACTCAACCATACCTCTTGACAAGGCAGGGAGCCATTGCAAGCAGCATGAATGTCCATTGACCTTGTAGAGATGCTTCCCATGACCTGTCGCAACGCAGATCTGTTCCTCAGGGCACTTTCTCGACTCATGTCCGATGCCCGTCCCTGTCAACTCGCCAGCCCGAGGAGTCTCAAAACTCGGGGCACGTCGCCAGTCCAACAGACCCGGCGTTGCTCGGGAGACTTATTTTGACGCTACAGGATGCTAACTAGATTTAGCTTCTTCCGTGAGATTCCGTGACGCCTCGTGAGCTTTTTTTTTTTTTTTTTTCAGGCGGACCCTAGTCAATTTTGTGTGCTCGCTAATTGAACGTGGTAGAGTGCCGCAGGAACTGCAGGATGGAAATGTGCGATATATCTTTCTCGGAGAAATGGATCAAGAAACGATGGAGCCGTGAGTCAATGAGGATGTGAAATGCGCAGCCTCTCAATAACATACAGACACCCGCCCATGATTCATATGTATAGCTTTCATGTAGGCATGGCAGCCTGGGACCACGGCTCCACGGAGCCAGTAGATGCCCACATTATCTCTGTTCATATCGCAAGTCACTCTCATGAGTCGGTGGGGCTCTGGTCTCCTCCTATTAGAATCCTTCTCAACTACGAGAAAGTTCCTTTGATCCGGTGGCAAGCCAAACGCCATTAGATTTGCTCCGTACCCCGAGATCTACAAGAACCAGTCGATTTCAATTTTAGGTACTAGTATACTCATTGCACTCTAATGCTTCTATCTCACGTGAACCCCTTTAGCATAGGGCTAAACTGATGGAGATCGGAGCGGCTGGCTGTGGGCAAATCATTGCCCTTTCTTTTCGTTTTCTGATGCAGGGATTTTCATGCAGTTCGGACCGGAAGGCTGATAATAGATGGTGCGACGAACTACTGCAGTTGCTCAGATAGATGGGCACATTGATCATCATGCCACAAATCCTGGTTCGATGGGATTACATCGGTGCGTCGACTGCGAGGATTAGGGTTATAGTAGTGGCTGTTAAGGCTCTCCAGTGGCCCTCGAGAGGCCCTTTCCCCCTGCCCCATCCCGTGGGCGCCATTCTTCATATGAAAGCTTTGATATGCCTACCACCCTCCTGGTACTTCTTCTGCTTCCTGGTCTGATGTAGAACTTTCGTCCTTGGAGACGGTCATCTACTACTCTCCAGATCATATGGCAGTCGCCTCGTCCGATGTCCCCTACTTTCTAGGCCGTAAACTGCTTCAGTTCATCGGATCTACACCAGTGACAAGAATTAACAATTCCGGCTGTGCGCTACCACTCCTCAGCTATGACGGGAAAGGGGTCGAAGTCGATTGTAGCAAACGGGACAGACGCTATTTGCGGCAATAGTGCTCCTTGGATAGACATCTTACTCCGCTTCCTCGATCTCGCCGACGGCAACTCATACATCCATTAGTCCCTTCAACCGCTACCTTCAGTGGTCAGGAAATCAGCCCTGGTGGCTGTAGGTACTGGGGTCGGTGAATCGTGATCTAGTTCATCCCCACGCGGTTGAAAGCTTCAATGTTAAGAGACGTGATCTTGCCCCAGTTCGAGTGAATCGATTGCAACTCTCATCACGTGCAGATCAGCCTGACCGAGTCGGGTTGATTGGCCATCTTTCGGAGCATTGCAGGCTTTGAGACAGACCACCCCCAAGCTCCACAAAAAAGTGAAAAGAAAATCCAGTAAAACAGAAAAATAGAAACGTCCAAGCCTGACGATCCACGGTCCGAGTATCACGTCATTGGTACGTCATTCTGGATTGCTCGGAGTTTGTTTCTTGGCAGGACTTGAAAGCTTCTTAACTACCCAGGGGCATCGTTTAGAACCAAAGCAAAAGGACGGAGAGAAGGGGAGAATATCCCGAGGAAATCCAGGGGTATCGACCTACAGAGAACCGCTGGAAGCACGGCCGAGAGGGAGACACTGACCACTCCCCATGAGTCATCTGTCGTCTTCTAGCTCGAGAGAGGACCATGCGAAGCTCTAGATTTGAGCTCTTGTTGTGATCAGGGCAGGAGACCCCGTGACCAGACCCGGTGCGCTCGCTCTGATTGGCGGGACGCAGCATGCAGACGATTCATCGGCTGTCACTTCCGTCCCAATCGTGAAGCACCGCGACAACGAACTCCTTCTTCTCATGCCGTGTGGATGAAGCAAACGTGCAGTCTAGCAGCTGGGCACAATCGCTTACAGACTGCTATAAAATCCCGGACACCCCCCCCCGTGCCCTACATGGACTTCCACTGACACACGCCGCGTCGCGAGAGTGACGGCACCCTGAGGGAGCGGGGAAAATGTTTGGCAAGAGGTAATTTGATACGCGCATACGTGAAAGCGAGATGCACCCTGCCTGGCGTTGGCTCAACAGCACTTGTTCAGGAAAACTTCGCAGAAGCCGAACGAGGGGCTCATTCGAGAATTTCGCAATGATTTCCCGCATGTCTTTTCCGAGCTTTCGATCGCTCCGGCGCTTCACCCAGAGGGTCTCGTCAGCCACGCCCAACCACTACAGCCTGCGCCCTGGGACGAACCACCGTCCACGTCCACGCCGACGAATCTCCTCAGTTTTGTGAGTCCCACAAGTCAGCCGCATGCCGTCTACACGCCACTGCCCGATCAAATGTGCGCCGTCCTGCATAGCCCGGCAGGAGATTTGCACACCCCGACCGTGGAGTGGAACCTGACCAGCTCGCCCTTCCGCTGGACCCAAATGGTCAGTGCCCAGACGGTCCGTTCCCAAGATGACTCTCTACCCGCCAACATCGCCCTGTTCCCCTCGCTCGACCCGAGCCAGGTCTTCTCCAATGTGGACCCATTCGCCCCGGCCTTACATGCGTCACCCATCGTCGCGCGCTATTTTGATCAGGATCATCAGGAATTCGTGGCGCCGGATGAATGCGATCGGAAAGACTCGTTCATAGCATCCGTCAGGCAACTCTCGGCGGACCACTCGGAATCGCTGACATCGAATGCCCCTGAGAGGGCCGCCGTACATCCGGAAATCCCGTACTTGTTCCCCAGTTCTGTCCAGGCCACCGCTGGACGCTAACGTGGGCAAACCTTACAGATCCCGCTACCATGTCATCCTCCATGCGCCGACCGCGATGTTCGACCATGCCCGCGATATCCCCGTGACCTATCTGAACAAAGCCCAGGCCTACACGATCACGGTCGTCGACTCCCGTCCGCCGGTCGCGCCCGCCCAGCCGATCCAATACCGGACCCGAATCGGAATCGCGTTCGAAGAACCCACCCACCGATGCAATCCGACCCTCTGCTGGCAACTGTGGCACGACGCGCGGGGTAAGAGTGACGCCGAGCGACGGGGCGGTCGCCCATGCGCGGTGGAATTGGTAGCGCTGAAGGGAGGTGGCCGGGAGTCTGATCCGGCGTGGCATCTGGAGAGTGCGTCCTTTAATCAGTTCTGTGTTTCGTGGACGAGTCAGGCAGAGGCCAGTTCGTCGGAATGCCAGATTCTCGTGCGATTCCATTTTCTCTCCACAGATTTCACGCAATCCAAGGGGGTAAAGGGGGTGCCGGTGAGATTATGCGCGAAGACGGAGAGGATCTCGTCGCCGGAAGTCCCGTCGGAAGCCGAGACCCAGGCGGAAATCTACTATTGCCGTGTGAAGGTCTTCCGGGATCATGGTGCTGAAAGAAAGCTGGCCAATGACGTCGCTCACATCCAGAAGTCGATTGAGCGTGTCGAGAAACAAATCGCCCGGGCGGACTATCACGGGGGTGCCCTCGGTAAGAAGCAGAAACGCAGGAGCGTCGCGCACGGGAGCACTCCGAGTGATCCGACCCGATCGATGAGTCGCTCTCCCAGCGTGTCCACCCCGGGCGATCTGTACAAGGTGTTGTACGATCTGCAACAACTCTTCACGTCCCCCCTTTCGGTGAGTGTGTTTTCCCTGCCTGGAGATGAGCAGGACGACCCAGATCAGCTGGCTAGCATCACGCTGGGGAATCATCCGCCTTCGCCACCCGATGAGACGGACGTTCGTGGCGATGCCGACTACGATGGTCCGACCGAAGATGGCTTTCCTAATCGACTGTCTCGTTCTCCCGCCCAACTGTCGTACCATATCACTCTGGACCAGGCCACGTCGGCCGACCCGCGCGGTGAGCTTTGTCAATTTTCACGTGCAGTCGATGGAGGAGCTAATTGATCCTTAGTGGCCTGTTTCTACGTCCAAATCCAGAAGAATAGCCGCCCGAGTGCCTATTACCATGCGGTATACCTGTCCCAGCGGACCGTCCACGAGTTGGCGTTGCAGCTGGCCAAGCACGCTCGCGTCGACCCGAGAGGCATCACTCGCGTGGTCCATGTCAAACGAATGGGACTATCGATCATGGTCGATGACGACGTGGTCCAACACCTGTCAGAGGGTCAAGACATGATTGCGAGCTTCGTAGAGCTCCCTGCAGTGAACCATGACCTGCGTTGCCAGCCTCGTTTTGAGGTGCAATTGACCTATTAGCCATGCTGGCGCCCTAGAGTCAATCATCTTCATCCTGTACCAGACAATATCCTTCCAAGAGAACCATATGTCGCACAGTTATTTGGGTAAAGCTGTCGCTGGTACCAGCTTTGTAACCGCCCGGCAGATCTTACTCTGAGAACTCCGTAGCTGTGTATGAATCATCGTCGATTGGCGAATCCTCTGTCAACCCCCAGGGACAGATGGATGATCGGCCTTGAGAGTCCTGCCATACGTCAGATTGGATCCACGAGATTAGTAAACAATGCACAAATGTCCATGTTTTTGGATGGTCGACTCAGTCGTCTTCCGTGGTGTGGCTAGCGTAGAATTTAATATGCTCCGCGATAGATATATATTCCCACGACTGCGTCGAGGATATCACCGACTGAATAAATCCGGGGTCGCCTGGTAAGGCGTGGACTGTGGGGGCGCCCACAGTGGATCACGATGATGGAATCAATTACTATCAATCGTCTCGAATGTTGCGTCTTGAATGATTTCATCGATGCACGTACTAAGTATGGACCCTGACGGCATCAGATCCAGATCCAGAGATCCCCGTGGGCGGGTCACGTGCGCCCCTCTGACGATGGCTGATTCCCTGCCCTAAACTTCTTCTTCGTTCCACCTCAAGGGTTCCAGAATTCGTCCACGGCAACTCTTGGTCCGGCATAGCCTGGATCCATGATCACTTGTACTGCGCCTCCACTGGCGAGTCTTGGGGCCAAGAGCCAATTGCCCGTCTGATTGGAACGTGACCGGCCCGTGACGTCAGCCAACCTTAGGCAGTCATCCTCAGGTCGCAACTAGTCCGCATCCGGTCTGGTTGCCAACGGTGGCTGATTTCGTGATAGATCGGATCTGAAGTTATATATCAGGGCCCGCATGCCCTGGCCCAACTCGAGTGAACAACGTTGCTGTCCTTCTCCTGTGCACACTCTCAGTCTTCGCTCGCTCTATCTTCTGGTCTGTGCGCTTTTCTGATTCCACCATGGTCACATAGTAAGTCACCGCCGAGGGTTCCGTTATCTCTCATTGCACCGACGCTCGGACTAACCAATACCAGCTGCCGCGATCGGTGGGGAAACGTCTATCGATGTCGGTCATCTTGGCATAACTGGGGTCGCTGGGTGTTACTGGCCATCATCGTTGGACTAGCATTCATAGCCTTCTTCTTTTTCGCGTATGTTGCCTCCCATCCTTCGGGGGCGGTGGCCCGTCCCCACCGATCGTTTTTGGAACGCTTCACTGACACTGTCTTTCTTATAGATGTCTCTCCGCTCGTAAACGCCGTCGCCACGGCCAACGGCCCATCTACGGCACCGGCTGGATCCCAGGCGCACAGCCTCCGCCAGGCCAATGGCAACAACAGCAATATCCTCCGCAACCGCCACCCGCGCCGCCGGGATACCAACCGTCTACCGAGCATGGATATGGGCAAAACTACGGGGCGAACCAAGGATACTTCGGCCAGCAGCAGTACGGATCCGAGCTCCAGCAGCCCCCCAACGCATATGCGCGAGACGGCGTGTATTCACCCCCCATGGGACCGCCGCCGGGTCATCTGAAATAGGGGATCCCGGCAGAGAGGTTTACCGACAAATATAGACATAATACGTGGTTATGATAGGGATTGACGATGTGCAATTGGGTTTATTTTGATGCTGGGTTAGGGTGGCTTCATCTCGAGGGCAATCGGAGTTTTTCCTGGAATTATTCTCAGAGGGAGGGGACTTTTACCACATTTCTGGCGTCTGGTTGGACTTATGGAATCATATACCTATTTCTCGACAATTTAATGAAACACTTACTTCTCATATATGCTACGAAAATAGAGAAGGGGGATGGCGCAGTGATATACTGGTCGAAGGTATTCCTGGTACCATCACTGACCGATCCGATGGCAGGCTAAGATGCCATGTAGATCCAGTACGCTGTAGCAAAAGAAGATGGACAGAAACATCGAATCGATCTACACCAAAGTCTAACCAGAAAATGGTACCATCTCCCCTGTCAGCACCACCCTCGCTCCACACCTTACAACTCCTTACCCGCCCGTTCACTCTGCGCCGTGAGCGTGGTATCGGCATAATCCTTCTCCTCGATCATGTATTCATCATGGTTCAGCGACCGGAAGCGGAACCAGAACAATATGGTCTGGATCGCCAGGGCCACGGCCGGCGCCCCCCAGATCCAAATGAGATAGGGGTCTTGCGTGACGGGGATGAGGACCTCGCCCAGCGCGCTGGACAGCGCCGTGGTGAACAGGAAGATGGCCATCACCAGCCCGCGCATAGAGGGGGGCGAGCGCGCATACGCCAGCTCATAGGCCGTGACGTTGCAGAAGAGCTCCGACAGGGCACCCAGAATGACATTCGGAAGCTGCCACCAGATCAAGATCGGACTGACGCCGGCGTCGCAGGACGAGGCGTAGAACCCGCACGGCGAGGTCTTGTACACGCGCCACTGGACGATGGCCCCGACCACGCCGGAGATTATGGCCAGGACAAAGCCGAAGGTGATGCGGCTGATCCGCCCAAACTTGATGTTGTAGCGCAACAGCAGGGGGTAGAAGAGGTGGCTCAGCACGGGCGTCATGACAATGATGGTCAGCGCGTTGAAGTTGTTCAGCAGGTCGTTTGGAGCTCCGTTGGTCGTCATGGAGGCACCTTGGTTACTGGAAACCGAGCCAATCCCGCCGTCGTTGATGTTGTAGATCGGGAAGTAAAAGAACACTTCCGTTGCGACTGCGTGAGGGTCAGGATGCAGTCAGATAGTACCGGCGAGGAGGACGACATACCCAAGGTCCGACGAACATCGTCGACCAGCTTGTCCGTCCATTCCACCTGGATGCCCTCTGCGGCCAAGACGCTCGGTCGCGCCGCGTCAAAGAAGTTCTTGCGCCAGACGCGAAACTTGTTGCGTCGCAGCGCCATGGAGATAATCTTCACCACCTGGTTCAGATCTGACGTCCCACTCGGTGGCTGCTTGTAGGTCTTCTTATAAACCAACGCCAGCACCGCGGGCAAAAGGAAGTAGATAATCCCCGCCAACAGAAACGCAAGCCAGTAGCCCACGTACTTCTCCGCGTACGTGGTAGCCAGCATGTAAAAGGCACCGATGTTGACCACCCCGTAGAAGATCAGCATGGTGCGGCTATTCGTCAGTTCGGGGTCCACGACGACCTTCTCCCCGGACTTCAGCACTTTGGTATAGGCCTTCTTGTGTCGGTGCTGGTCCAGGATGGTTGGTGCAATGTTTGGCTTGAAGATCCCAGCCCCCAGCGCCAGGATGAGCAGACTGATGATGAACGGGGGTGCCGAATGCGCCGTGCCCTTCTGCAGAACAGATGGAATAGCACCGAAGATCTGGATCAAATGCGCGATACCACAGATCAGGACACCCACACAGATGGCCTTATATCGACCGACATAAACATCGGCCCACCTGCGAGGATTAGCACCGGGGAACGTCAACGACCATTGCAACCGAGGGCCAACAGGGGGCAGTCGTACCATCCTCCCAGAATGGGAATGATATAGGCCAAAAAGGCGAAGAGCAACACCAGTCCAGAACTGGCCTGCAAGCCCATGCCCAACCCACCAGCAGTCTCCTGCGTACCACGCGGTGGAGCACCTGCGCCATTCCCGCCTATAAACTCCTGTCAGCCAGTTCCATTGCCCAGGTCTCGGTATTGAACCGGATACCTTTTGGGAGAGGAAATTCAATAAAGTTGGAGAAGACAGTCTGGGAACCGTAGTAGGAGGCTCGCTCGGCGAATTCAACCAGGCACAGCGAGTAGGATACGATCGGCAGGTTGTCCGCGACTTTGCGGAGGGTACTGTGCTCTTCTGGTGTCGGCTCAGGAAACTCATCACTGTCCACGGAGTCCGTTGCCGTTACTTCGTAGGCCTGTTTCTCGGCGTCGAACCCAGCTGGTCCATTGGTCACCGAGTCTCGAACTTCGCCCGTTCCCCGAGCGGCAATGGCATCGTCGACGACATTTTGCCCACTGGCAAGAGCTGTATTTGATGGCTGTGATCAGTCATTAGAAGACTTGAGAGTCGGTCGACACATACACATGGTGGTATAGACTAGGTTGCTCAGGAAAGTTCTCCGCTGTAGGGACGGAGATTGGCGATTCGGATACCACAAGGGACGAACAGGTGGGCTGCAACCATCCTTATATTGCGTCCTCCAGGCTTAGCCCATACGTGTCGTGTGAGACAAGGAGAGGCCGGTGGGCGGACTCCCGGCGGGGATAGTGCTACGCAAATGGAGATAGACTATGGTACAGGAATCTAAGGGAGATGGAGACGACTGGTTGGATACTATTAGGCATATAGTGTTCAGGGCACGACCTTTAGCGTGGTCATATGGTGATTTGGTCGAATGGGGGTTGATAGATATCCACGATGGCGCATGCTTAGCTGCGATGTCGTACATTGTAGCATTGGCTCCTTGGGGGGCTTATCTCCTGGTCCTACCAATGTAGTGCCTAGTGTTGCCACGGATAAACTTGGCTTTTCGAACAAGCAGCACGCTAGATGCTTATCAGTGGCGGTCCGACCCACCGTGGTGACCCCCGTACCGGCAGTTATTCTCATCCTCGCCCTTTGTCACGTCATTCTCTGGACTCAACCGAGCATTTTATGTTACCTAAACGTAACTGCCATTGGGCTGCTCTCAAATCGGCTTGTGCAAATCTGTGCTAGCTCTTATTGCGGTCATATAGTCGTACCATGCTACTATCCCATGTGCTCTTGGACCTTGACTCGACCCAGGGGTGAGAGAGAACAGACCCTCGACTGTGTCCCACTGCAGCCATTGGGAAGAAAGCTGGCAAATTAATTCTCCACCACGATGTTCCTAGTCGGCCATGAGGCCAGGTTCACGAGACCGACCTGAATTGTTATCATTTCAAATGATGCTATTTGATTTGACCAACGCTTGGGAATTCACCCGGCCAGCGCCCCCTTTTCACTGATCATGGTACGACCAGTCCTCGTTAAGTATTCATATCTGGTTGGGTTCGACTTAGGCTAAATGTCGTGCAAGACGTTCCTAGGTGCTCCTTCTCCATTGGCCTAGGATAACGGGCCTAGATAACGCCAAACTGTCCGTGATGGTACAACAGTATGCGTAGGTGGTTTCTCCATGCCGAACACCAATCCACCGATGGATGGATGGGCAAGCGGATCATGCATATCCTAATTAATTTGTCGTTTCTCTTTTTCTTTTTCCTTCAATCGCCGGAGACGGATCCTCGCTAGCTCTCTACAACATTGGCGCAACACGCTCCAGATATATGCTACGACAATGTGTTTAAAGATGAGTCCATTGTTGAAGCGATCGTACTATCACTGTACTAGAATATGCACCGAGTCTCCGTTAGGTACTCGGCATATGTTGCCGATGAAAGAGAGCGCGAAATCGAAATTCCTATCCACTCCCGTGAAGTCGTCAAAAAGCTAGGCCGGACCATCACCGATCAGATAGAGCAAGAAATTATTGAAGTTTTATTATACACTCGCGCAGAACCCCTCGGAGTAGAAGCCAAAAGACACTAAGTTAATGCCAAGGAGCTACTACATGTTGATAGCCAGCTTTGTCTACCTGTGGTCATGAACACCAGGCCCTAACGCTTACTCTCATCACCAACCACCCGATGATCAGAATAAAGAACCCAAAATATGGACAGCGCGAAAACTTCGGATAAGTTATTTCAATACATAATAACATCGTCTCGCCGATTATATGGATGGAAGACCGCTCAACCGCCTGATCTGCGGATTTCACGTAATGAGGTGTGTTGTCAAGATACAGCTTGCTTCACAGGAGTCAGTTCAATACTAACGATATTATGCAAACACAACAATAGTCCTATCCATCCTGTACATATCCATAACGAATATATTCAATTCTTTGAGTGTCCCCTGCTTAGGCTTCAAGTGGAACACGTGAAAGGTTTGCTAATGGACTTTGACTCAAATTTATGAACCTAACAAGTTCTCGTTAGCATCCCATAAGCGGCTGATTCAAAAGGGAGGGAGCTCACCAGCTCGGCAATACTGGCATACGTGCCGCAGCCAAAGACGATCATCCCAACAATAAACACCACGCCGTTGTACATAGCAGTCTTCAGGTTGCGCTTTTCATACCATGCGCCCTCTCTCAGCAGGACATACCAGATGACGGGTGGAAGATAGAAAGATAGACCAGAAACGAAGAGCGATGAAATGATGGATAGTAGCTCAGAGAAGACAGGGATGGCCTCAGCGATAACCCACGCGAGAAGGGTGACGAACAGCACCAGCCCAAGCCATGTAATCCAGCCCCTCGGGGTGTTGATGTACCGGACCACTGAGTTGCGATATACCTTCCCGTGAATATACCGACAGACCACCGTGGTGTTGATCGAGCCCGAGATGAAGATCACTGGAAGCGCAATACCAAAAACCACCCTTGAAAGAAGAGGGCCCGCTGACAGGAGAGCAGGGGACTGCACCTCTTGTCCCACGAAAGCATAGATAAGCGAGCCTGTCAGAGTGTAGATGACAATTTGAATCCCTCCGAGCCACCAGAGCGTCTTCACATAGTCCTCCGGTGTGTGCATCTCTTCCATGAATGATGGTAAACAACCGCCGAAGGAATAGGCGAATACAATACTGTTGGTCGCTACGATAGCCTCTGCGAAAGTGATGCCTTCCTTCGGCCACGGAGACCATGCAGCAAGGCCGGCAGCAAACCCACTGGAACCGTTCGCATTCTGAATCCCAGTGGCAATCATCGTGACTCCGATTGCGAGAATAATCGAGGCAAAGTCAATATAGCCCAGTATGGCGATATCTGCAAATGCCGGTGGAATAGCCAGGATCAGCAAAATGGCAGCCGACGTGATGCTAAAGACGACTGAGCACACGCCACTTTGCGTGATGGTCTTGAAGGCGATGGCGCCGGTCAAGCAGTGCGACCCAACGACGAATATCAGCAGGCAAACGAAACTAGCTATAAAGATCTTCGACCCAACATTGCCCAGCAGAAGCCGTCCGACATCCGCATAATGAGCAATCTCTGGGTACTTGAGCTTCACCTGGCCAATGTTGTAGCTAGCATACATCGCAACGAAGCCAATACCGATTGTCATGATTACACCTGCAACCATGCCCAGAGTGGCGAATGCAAAAGGCAAGCCCAGGCTCCCAAGAGCGATGCCCTCGACTATGGAGACGACGGTAAGCCGCTTCCAACCGAGGCGATGGAAGTGAGCATCCCCTTTAATGACACATTGCCTCTCCTCCTCCGAGCGGCCCTCTTCCTCGAGGAAGGCCTTGCTGGCCATCACACTGCTAACCTGAGTGAGAACGGCGTCGTCTTTCCGAGGACTCTGCCCAACCCCTGTCCCAGACGGCATCGCTGTTCTATAGTCCATTCGGCAAATAATGACAGACGTGACTGCGTCTCGCAGGGAGAAGTAAGTTGATCTCAACAGAGGTCAGAGCCCTGGCCATATGAGTCTAGGGGTGCGAGAAGAATTTGCCGAACGCCAGGCTTAAATGGAAAGGTTGAGGAAAGAGTGGAGACATGCCCCTCTTCACAAGCGGATTTAATCTATAAGCATCACGTTTCACGGTTTTTCTCGACCGTGGTCTCTGTCAGTCTGCCAGCGGAAGCGTCCGTTCAGCCTGTGTCCCGTTAGGGCCAACAGCGTCACTCGACATTGAACACCATGTCATGTTGATGGCAGTGATTCGAAACCATTGCCCCAGTGCTTTCCTTCCAATGTTACTGCGATTCTACGCGACGTTGATTTCTACATCAGTGCGGGGTCGGGACTAAGTTAGTGTGATTAGATTCTTCATCATGCAGCAATGATTCCACTAACCGATATTGCGGTGGTAAGAAAAACTCCACCGTCTACACAATTCCACCCAATGAATTATCCATGTGTTCTCGTACATACGATAACCGCTGAACGCTATACGTCAGTCTCTCATTCGATACTGTGAGGCAAGGAGCGCAACTATCTTGAATGGGGACATAGGAGGTGTATCCCATGTTCTCCCAGGGTATATTTCTCATGGCATGATGTTGATAGGAATACGTTACGACCGGAGGCCTCGGTTATGGTAGCATACATAGTGGAGACGTGTTGGCCGTATTAGCGAGGGATATCGTAGGGTCCAACGGCACGTTCCTTACATGCCCTGGTGGCGTTTTGGCGGGTTGCTGAGGATAGGTTATGCTTCATATGGAGGAGCCTACGCAGGATTCTAGACTGACATCCCGTCTTTTCGCACGGCAGCAGCGGCATTCCAAGGTCTTACAGCACGCGATTAGGTAAAAGCATCCCCAGTCCTCGTATTTCGGCTGTTCCACAATCAAGGCTGGACGATGCACTACTATCCAAAGGGAATGGGATAGCTTGGCAAGGCATAGATAATCTAATCAAATGATCAGATAAGAGACAGCCCCACATGCTAGTCTCTCACCTGTTTTCGGAGCAAATTTGTCCGACATGTTATCTCTCGGGTCCCGTTCATGTACCGTTGGTGGGAGAAAGGCTTGTCGGTAAACTCGTTGGATCCCTTGTGGTGAACGCATCAATACTCTCATATCCGATGTGGTTCTTCCCACAGCCAGTATCTGCCACGCTGAGTGAAACTGGGAGGAACGTGTAGAAAGAACAGCTTTCATATACGAATAATCTGGAAACCAAGCGAGTTCTCGTAGCATAGCCTGATCGTGAGTTTGGCAACGCTCTAGAAAAAGGCGGCAGTGGATGTGTGCCTTCTTTCTTTCTTAAAGACGAAGTCAGATTGTATATTGAAGCTGAGCAAAGCTTCTTGTACATAGGAAGGAATGAGTTCCGGGATTTGCAAACCTCCGTCCATCGTTCCCACTTAAAATAACCGCCCGACTCAGGATTAATCGTACTATTTGTATCAGTATCTGTGGAGGGCTAGGAGAGCATCTGTGGTAAGACTCAGTGGTAGTGATAACTTCAGTGCCCCCAAATTACCCAGCGTCCTTCCTGTTATTACCGTTGTCTCTCTGGTGGCCAATGTTGTGGATTCAGTTTGCAGAACTGTAATTTGCTCGCCATCATTTCTTACGAGTCATTCCCCAATATGGTCGCAAAGTCTCGCCAGAGCACCAAGTATCATGGCTACGAAAACCCTCTCAAGGATCCTCTACTAACTAATGCCTGAGGCAGCGATCGACGGGAGCCCATGCGCCAAGTTCCTAGCGATTCTCCTCGTAGTATTTAACTAATCGACTGGTCCCCTCCCTCTATATATTGAACATATGAGTGGAAAGCTGAGTAAGCTCCTACTGATGATGTTTGAACCTATCAACAAGATTGTGGGAGGAATCCCTTCTGAAGGACGGCCCTCGGCCCATTTGGGCAGATCAGTGAACATGTTATTATATACAGGCCACCACCCATATTCTTTTCATCAAGCACTTGGGCACTTAATGTTAGACCGGTGGTACGTGCTTCTAGCGATACTGGTGACGCCGCCGCTAAAGACAGACTTCTTCTCCACTCCATCCGGCCAAATATTAACCTTAACACCACCATCAACGCGTTGAATGGTAGCATCTCCATTCATTCTGTTGCTGGCGGCGCTTTCATAGCAGAATTCGTATGTTTTTCCTTTGTATTCAAGGTTATGGCAACCCCCGCTGCATCCCGTCTCGACAGCAGCATCCTTCTCCTGGTTATGCATATCCGGGTTGTCACTCTCGAATATGAAAGCTATGCACCTGACTGAGTTAGCCCCACCCCAGGTTCCATAGGTATGGCTGAAGTCGAATCCGAAAGTGCACCCCAAAGCTATGGGAGTTGTCGTAACAAGAAGGGCGAGGCTCGAGAGACGCATCTTGTCGGCCTGAGGGGATGACGTTTACGTTTGACCTAAACTCTCCCTCATGTTAGCTCAAGAACCTCATTACAATCGCTATTAGCTCAAGGAAATACAGTTGGATAAAGGTGAACATAGAAAGGGAGGGAAGAATTAAAAGAAATCGGTAGGGAGACTTGCGTGGTATAGGGCCTTTTGCTCTGTTTTGAACCTGCTTTCTTCGCTTCTGTGTCAGACGAATGGATTCCTTTACTTCTAGAAGAACAAGAGTAAAATTTGATACTCCTCAATCAAACCTGTGGACACCTCCATGGTTTAAATACCTTTGCCCGTCGGACACTATCATTGCACCCTTGTCCAAACGGACAGGCCCAACCCGGTTGCTTCCATACCGTATTGCACCTTAGCCATCGGATCACAATGCACCACTCGCCTCACACTACCTAACGAAGAATCTAGGCAATGAGTTGGTGTCCACGCCAAGTTTAGGACGTGTATGACTACCTGGATAGTTCACTTGGCACAAGTGGCATTTGAGAAAATACCCCATAGCGAGGTATTTTGATCGTCACACTGCCAAGGAGGTAGGTAGGAACTAACTCTTTAGTAGACTGGGATGATATGAGAGGCAGCTTTGTATGGATTCACCTACATGCGCCCCACGAAATTAGATCAGCAGGGGTATGGCAGTAGTATAGTTGCGATATGAGATCGGCAAATGGTAAGGATTCAATATGCAACCCATGACTCAGGAACCCCTGCAGCGTTGCATTCGAATAGTCCTCCGAGTTCCACGATACCATGCCCAGCAGCTACAAGCCCACTCACCAATACATCAAACATACTTTCTCCGGTGGCATTCGGAACACTTTCCTGTGAAGGATCATTACGAGTAGCCATACATCGACTCCTGGCCACGACTGTATCCATCCTTCAAAGTCAGGTATGCCAATCGATAAGCCGGGGTGTATTGGGTGTTTCGGGAACCGAACTGCATTCCTCATCTTACGTTGTTTGTCTGCGAACGGCCATGAAACTACCGCATATATTGTTCTGGCCTAAGTACATTCGCAAGCCAAGCTTGTTAGGCAACCATCCAGAGTAGCCCTTACGTTGGGGGCAGAACGCAGCCGTTGAGAATGAAATACCAGGCGCAACAGAGCATTCTGTGCACGGCACAACTGATCCATTTGGTGCTACCGGTTATGCTACGCAGAGATTAGCTTCTAGCGCTCGAAAGTACTCCATACATCCATAGCAAGATGACCGCTGATTGTATTCAGAATTGCTAGCGATAAATGCAGGAATTGGCACTCCATGGTTACTGCACAGATAGACGGCTCTACAGAATGGGAAGATTGTCACATCAATCAAATGGAATTGACCATTGAGTATTGGTATCACAAGTGTGAAAATCTATGGACATTATGAAAACAAACATATATAGGCATATATGCATGAATAATATAAAAAATAATAATAACGATGGGGGTATGAGTAAGACAATGGAGACCACTCGCGGACTATCCTGCGCAGTGGCCATGATGCCACGACCTCAGGCGTTCCGTCTCCAGGTTGGAACTCCCAAAGCAACGGTCCGCCGGTACACGGCGCTCATCTGTTGCATAAAACAGCGAAACTAATTAGCAGTCTGTTTTTCCTGACTCTCGCCACTGCTGAGGGCGAGCTCAGCCTTCTCAGCTCCAAATGCGGCAGGCTGCTCCGACACATCCAAGCCCAGCTCGATCGCCATCTGAGACATCTGCTGAGGGGTGAGCTTGGGCATGGTATCGGCAATCTGGTAAGGCCATTTTCCTTCCACATGGGCCTTGGCAAAAATGATGTCAATCTCTTCCAGAGCACGGCCAGCGGTCTCACAGTAGAAGAACCAGGCGAAAGGCATGGCGGAGAAGTTGACCAAGGCGAAGAAAAGGTAAATACCCCAGGGACTAGCAGTGGAGAAGACTGGGGTGAACATAACGACGGCGAAGTTGCAAATCCAGTTCGTGCAAGTAGAAGCAGCGGCAGCTGAGGTACGGGTACGGAGCGGGTTGATCTCGGGAGGGTAGATCCAGGGCAAGGGGAGAGTTGTGAAGGCGAAAAAGACGATGAACAAGAAGATACCAACGACAGCGCCCTTGGCGTTCTGCTCATTCTCCCTGATCAGGCAACCCATAGTAATAATAAAACTGAGACCCTGACCCATAAAACCAATCAGGAACAGTTTACGACGACCAACCTTCTCAATCATAAAGAAGGAGGGGATAGTAGCAAGAGCATAGACGGTAGCAAAGACACCACCTAGAATCAGCGAGAGACGCTTCTCCAAGTGCAGGTTCTGCTCGAACAGTAGGGTAGAATAATAGATAGCGGCATTACATCCGGTAAATTGCTGGAAGAACTGTCCAGAACAACCGATCATCATACGCTGGAACTCCTGGGTCTTGCCGAAGGTGAAAAGCGTTTTCCAGCTGGCCTTGTTTCCTTCGGTAGCAGCGAGATCGGCCTTCATAAGGTTGAAATCGGCGAGCACCTCCTCTGAATCCGGAGGAAGATCATTAATAGCACCAAGTACCTCACAAGCCTCCTTATCATATCCCCGCATAACAAACCACCGAGGAGACTCGGGCAGCATGAGAGCACCGACGGTCACCAAGATGGCAAAGAGGATCTGGAAGGCAACGGGGAACCGCCACTGGACCGAGGAATCCACGTACGAGAGACCAAAATCAATCCAGTAGGCGACGAACGTGCCGACGGCGATAATAGCACCTTCGAAACAGACGAGGAAACCACGGTTATGAGCCTTAGAACATTCCGATTGCCAGACCGGAATCGTAGCGGTATCCATACCGTTTCCAAGACCGGAAATCACACGGCCGATAACGAACTGGCCCAGACCCCAGTGAGTACCGAAAGAAGCAGTGGAGATGATGGCACCGACGGCCATGATAATACCACCAGCCACGAGCAAAGGGGTACGACCAATCCGTTCACCGAACATCATGGTAAAAATGGCACCGAAGAAACAGCCCAGTTCGTAGCAAGCCGTAACCGCACCTTGGAGCACCGAGACATGCGACTTGTAGGAAGCCAGTGCATCTTCGGGGATGTATAGCGCGTGGAACTCTTTCGTGAACTCAGTACCGGCGATAAGACCGGACATCAAACCCTGATCATAACCGAAGAGAGAAAAACCTAGGACGGCGGTGATGGTGATGGCTAGACGGAGCTTTCGGCCCCGAAAGCCAGAGGTGGTTGTCCACATGGTTGACTGTGTGTCTCGACTGTATATCAGGCGAGAGGGGAGGGGGAGGAAATCAAGACAAGCACCAGGACGAGGACAAAGTCATTCCTGGGAAGATCATCTGGAGCCCATTTTGGGGATCGCCGGGATTTATCTAGTCCTTGGACGCCCGACGGTTGAATCAGCCAAGAGGAAAAAGTCTGCAGATGACGCTAATGGGCTGGCATTATGGGCATGTTTCGCGAGCCGCCCAGAAGGCCAAGGACCCAATAAGGCTTCGCCAAAAGGCTTAGCGGTGCCCTCCAGGCTCAGGGGCCATGCGGAGAGGTAAGAGTAGGATTGCCGAATCAGGACAATGCGGAGGCCTCGAAAGATGGGGTCCCCATGTTGAAATTTTCGCCCGCACTCGGAAATGGGCGACAGCAAAGAGTAGGTCGGCCGAATCTGACTCCACCACCTGTGCTTGGCTTGTCCACATGGAGAGTCGGATCGGACCGGTCGCAGTGAGGCCTCCTGGCTGGAAAGGCACCACTCACTGCTTTCCTATCCTCAGCGCGGCTACCTTCTGTGGTCAGAGTCAGACCCCGGTTGGTTCAACCCTCTGGACACGGGTGGAGCTGTGCCGTAAGCGGCGGAGGATCATCTATGCTGTTGCTTCAACAGGAATCATACCCGACCATCCTTCCACGGGCAAATTCGGCGGTTTTCGTGGGTCAGGGTATGAATTTTTTTCTTTTTTGCGTTTGCTGTCTCCAGTCGTCGTGCGCCTTTTCCGCCTGACATCCATGGCTCCTGCATCGAAAGGCGACCCATTCTTATGGAGTACGAGATGCGGCCAATCCTAGGACTGCGTAGTATCTATCCTTCTCCAGTATCCTTTGTGTCTTCCCTTTCTTCTTACGTTTCCCTTCCTCTGTGTGTGTGTGTGTGTGTGCCTCCGAGCCCTACACGGGACGACCGACGGTCAGGTTGCCACGCCGAAGGGGCGCCGTGCATGGGGAGCGAGACAGGGTGGAATGTGCCAAATCCTCTTTTTCTCCGCTTCTTCGGACTTGATTGTAACAGTTGGGGGCGACATCAGCCACCTACATCATTCACATGCTATAATCTTCCTTTATTATATGGGTAAACCCCAGACCCCGTGAATCTACACCCTCTTTCCCGGCTCCGGGGGATGTTGGCTGAGCCTTGCGAAATTACGACACCTTCCCTCTTGGTCGTGTTACGCCTCGGGAGTCGGAAGACCTGCGTTTCCTACTAAGCCTTCTTGGCCGAGGAACAAGCCTATTTGCCAATATTTGCCAATGTTCTGCTCCACCGACTGCATTGGGGTGGATCGTCGTAGCAAATTAATGTAACCCTAATGTCAGACTAGGCGAAAATTCTGCCCGCGCGGTGTGCCCGACGGCCAATGACAGCCCCGTCATCACGAGCGTTTTTCCCTGGCCGGCAGAGTTTTTTCTTCGGTTTGGTTTCTCTTTTGCTTGGTACTCTTGGGGGTCTTGGTTTTTTTTCTTGGGGATGCTTTTTTTTGCTTGGTTTTTGCTTTGGTTTTTCTTGTTTTTGCTTCTTTTTTCCTTTTGTCTCTTGGCCTTCTTCGTCGGGTATCACGTGCCCCGGCCGACACCTCAGGTTGACTAATCGTCCCCAAATCCTTTCGGTTGCGGCTTGTTGCCCTTCATGGAATCCCATTCCGGGGACTCGTGGCAAATTTCCAGCTGCAAACGGTCGTTGTCAACAGTCGAAAGGCACTGGTAGTAGGTCTGTGCCTGATCTAAAGGCCCTGTGCTGCCGTGAGATCGGTTAAATCGACGGTGAGGAAGGTAGACCACAGCGTAATATCCCTATAGGAGATGATCATCTCTCCCCACCTATGTAGTAGTAATATATATATATCTCACCACAGGTCAGTCTGTGCTCAACGGTAAGGGCATTGGGATCGGAGGAAACAACTTCCAAAATTAATTATATGGTTACATAGAGATCTATCCAGCTGAGCGATCGAGATTTAAAAAGAAAAGAAGAAAAAAAAAAGGCTGATTATCTTTGACGTACGATAATACTGTGTTGGACCTATCTACCATCTAGTATCTAGAGCTCTCTCTGTAGACCGCCGATCTGCCCCATACAGAAATCCATGAGACATCAAACGGCTTTGGTTCACGTGGCAGCTACGTCAACTGTCAAAATTAATTCCAGGGGGTTTCGGGCATTTTGGTCCTGTCCTCGTAGGTTCGGATCAACACCCTGATGCAGCAGGCTCTCGGACTCGCTATCCAGTGCAAGGCCTGTTCTCTTCTTGGCCCTGCAGATTAAAAGGACTGTCTCGATGATCACAGAGAATGCAGGCGACGGAAAAGTATCCCCATTCGGCGGCGTAGGGCCATGGGGGCCGGTTATTATCCCCATCATGTTAATTCGGATCGGCGCCATGCTCGACGTATCTAATATCGCCTGGGTTGCCCTCCCCCTACGGTGATAAAGGCCCGGGACTGGTTCGTACAATGTGGACCGGCCCCGTTTCCCAGTAAATGCCTGACGCACAGCTTCCCGATCATATCGAGCGGGCCACGTGAGTGGGGTTTGGACTTGGAACGGCATGAGGTAGGCTTCCCTTGACATCCTGCAGGTCATGTTTTGAGTTTCTGTAGTTCGACAACTGTCGGACGTCCTGACGTGGTTCGCCCGCGAAACCGAAGACCGCCCCCAGTTTTAATCTCTACGGACTAAGGTCGGCATCGAGTTTGAGCCGAAGGGGGCTCTTGAAGTCGAGAAATTTGTCCGTCCGCGTCATTTAGACATGATCGTGCTCGAATGGCCATGCGAAAGGGGAAGGTACCCCTGGGTCTTCATCACGCTCCATAAACGCTTTCCGCGAGTGAGAATGGAACCGGCTTCTATTCGACGTATCCAGTCGGACGAGGCCCGTTAATATCGGTTGGTCCCTCATGGCTCCACGGATGCAACGAACCATACGGTGCTGTGGTGGAAAATGCCTTAGCCCGGTCGTTCAGAAAGCGGAAATCAGCTGGAGACCATATCGACCCGCATAGTCTGAGAGTGGGTCGCTTTGCTGGACTTATTGGGACGTCTCCGACATGACTGGTCCTCATGTTCAGCGTGAACCTGTAAGGCGTCATATGGCAATCTCGGAAGATGAGATCGGATAACAAATGTTTCTGGACGGTAAAATGCACCAACCATGGCTACAATCACGGCTTGAAATCAATTTCTTATGACCAAGGCAGTGGTAGGAAAGATGATTCATACCTCGCCTGAGTGCACGAGCATTCTGCCACTCAACTGGGGGTTGTAGACAATCCACGCCAAGGTTCGCATCGCTAGCGCCTTGTAGACGTTAAGTTAGCTGTCGGGTTTACTTATCATCATGTCCGCAATGTCTTACCTCAGGCGTGGAATCCTTATTGAAGTGTTGCGCCTCATGGGCTGAATCTCTGGACTCGTGGAATAAGATAACAAGAGGAATATATTTGATCACCATGTGTAAGCCAAGCCGACCGGCCTCGATGACTACCGGTTCTGCATTCTCCGTATGACACCCAATAAGAAACCCGATTGGTATCACCTGGTTGCCTAGTAAGTCCTCGGGCGGTTACCGGTACCTTGTCTTGAGGTTAAATGTTCAGTTCGAATCCCTTGAACCTCTTGGCGATGTTGACAAAGCAATCAAGGGGTCGAAATAGGAAGGCAGACGCCTAAGGCATTGCGGAGGATTTTAATTATTCCGAACCGACCCGTCTCCACCATCAACTGTATGAGCACGCGTAAACATATCGTGATGATGAGTTCCTCTGCCATATCTTCTACACTCTGTCAGCGTCGGAATGAGCTGCTGCGAATCCATTCTATTGGGTAATGTTTATTTCATTCCATGAGTGAATAATGCAATGGGCTGAATGGTTGTGTCATAACGAGCCACAGCTAGTATGAAACGAACTGGTTGGTGCGGAGAGGTCTTTGAACCGGTGGCATTCAAGAATTGCGCTGCTAACGGGGCCAGATGTGGATGTCTTCCGGCTCTGAGCATTCTGGGATTACACGTCATTGAACACGCACAGATGATTTCTGGAGAGAGACAGCTGAAGCCGAGAGTTCGCTCGTTATCTATGGCCTTCCCACCTGGCTGATTGTAGAATAAGATTTCATCTTCCCTGCGACTGGTAAAAAGATACATCCCGCCAGCAATATGTCGATCAACTGATGCTACGTCTCCTCCACTGTAATTTTAACTCCCGGTCAAGAGTTACCGCGGCACCTACTGTTCTATTTTGGACCTTCACACCACGCACAGGATACGAATCCAAATCAAAGGCAATAAGGATCTTAGCAAAGGCAAGCTGTGCCTGGCGCATACCTAATCCTCGTCCAGGACACATTTCAGCCCCATAGCCGAAGGGCAAGAAGTTCGGGTCAGCCGTCGCCGCACGGGGATGACAACGGCGGGTATTATGGTCATAGAATCGACATGGGTCGAAGCGATCGGGATTAGCATAGATGTTAGGGTCCTGGTGGAACCACTGCGCGGGCATGGCGACGAAACTACCGCGATCCAAAGTCCGACCAATACTGTCAAGATGGACTGGCTGCTGGAGGCGGCGCGTCGCCGTAACTAAAGCCAGATTTGCAGTTGGTGAGAAAACCAGACGACAACCTGGGAATGGTACTGGATCATATATACTTACACACCGAAGTTGTATCACACCGAACGGTTTCTCGGGCAAAGCTTTCTAGCCGGGGCATCCGATCCAGGACGTCCATGGGCCATTCGCCCCCTGTGGAATGCAGCGCGGAGCGAATCTCGCTCCGCAGCACATCTGCATATGCAGGGTCGGCAACGGCATAGTTTATCATCCCGATAACATATGCGGCGATAGGGAATGCGATCTCAAGGGCACTCAGCAAACAATCTCCAGCGAGGACACTAACCTTCTTTTCTTCAGTTGCCAGCGCAACTGCCCGCCCAATCCCTCCATTTTTCATCTTGATTGCAATGGTTGCATCAATCAAAGTGTGATCATCGCTTTGAGGGAGCTTTCCAGCCCGCGCGCACGCGATCCGCTGGCGAATTTCGGGCATCAACTGTTTCTTGCTGCTCGCGATAGTGGACTGCAAACGTCGCCCGCACCGCGAGAACTGCCAGAGAAGCGGACGAAATGCTTCTGGGTACATGCCACGAAGGTCACGAAACCCACTCGCTTGACCACAGAAGTCAACGCAACGTTGAACATATACAGGATCACGTCCAAATTCTGGACCAATGATGTACGATGTCGCAATTCCAATCATCATGGGCCAAATGAATTCGTATGCAACGAAGGAATGCCACTCTGTGCCTGCAACTCAGTATGGGGACAGTGCAAGAAATTTGGATGGCGTCAAACCCTTGTCTTTCTCATCCTGGAAAGCGGCCTCGAGGGCCTTGTCGATAGCGAGAATGATGGCCTTATGCATCGAGCCTAGTGACGGGAGATATCTTGGTTCAATTCCCGTGCCTGGTACATTGCGCGTATGGGAGGCTTACCAAGGCTGTTGTTCTTTGACACGGATACCTGCACCGCTTCGACGTGATCCCTTGTCATCGGACACGTTGATTCCAAACCAAATGCCTGCAAGCAATTCATGTAGTCAGCGGGAAGTTTCTGAGGGAAATAAGGTTGAAATTAAGGGCCCATACATGATTTACAGAATCCAAAAAGCTGAAATGTTCTGGAGTCTTCCGTTGGTAATCTTTTAACGCTTTCGGCGGCAACACGACGATGTAACTTCGAAAGAATGGCATCGCCCACGGCTGCTCTTCCTTAGTGTACTGCTCGCTGTTAGGCTGGGAATAGTTGGATCCCTAGTTTTCAAACTCACCATGTCAAACGCTTGCTGCAAAACTCCGTTAAAGTCCCGGGCTATCGGGGGTCGATTGAAGCGGCGGTGCCAGTAGCTTCCCTCCCCAACGATCACAATGCCCTGGAGTGCCTTTCGCTTTGTCCATAGGTCAAGATAGTCGGTTATAACTGCTACGCCGCAGAGCAGAAGCAGCGCTATCCCCACAGTTAAAGCAGACGGGTGTTGCATGGTGAGCTCAGCAATACCAGAGAGCCCTAGGTTCATGAAATTCTCCATTTTGTCCAATCCCACAACTGGTTCCTCTAATCTAGACTGTGGCCAGCACTGATAGCAGATCTGGATCCCCTGAACTTGGGAACTATCATCCGCCTGAGGAGCGACCGGGATTTGGGGGCAGGAGTTTGTCTCGGAACGGTCGCAGGTGCCACAGAACACATCACATACAGAAGTGACCCTTACATCGCCAGAAGCTCACTGTCTTTACTATTGTCGGCAGCAGAAACCTGGCTGACGCTGACCAGTACCAGGATGGCGTGGTCCGTTTCATTTTGATTGATTGATGTTTATTACCTCACGGAGTACTGTTTCACCCTTCCACCATTCAGGATGCTGGGGGTGTCAAGCCCTCGCGGCATGCTTATGCCTTCCTTGGTGTGCTCATTAACAGCTGTCAGTTCCTTGTTTTCTGCCCTAAAAGTCAAGGAAGTCGAGGCAAGGAGGTCAATGTGACTCTCATCCCTTCTGGGTCAGATTATCTACGAAATTGGCTGCTTCTCTGTGTTGAGTCTAGGCCCGCGGGCCATTAACGCTCTTGCACTGGTGATGAAAGACAGAAATTGTCGGCTTATTTACGGTTGCAACATGTTGTCGTGTAAAGGCCGATGAGACCTGTTCTACTAGCTACCCTGAAGAAGAACCAAAAAGGTGGATTGTGCACAATGCTATCCGACGACGTAGAATGCGTCCTCTCAGTTCAAGGAGAAAAGACGCAGCAGGAAAACACGAGCGTGGTCTCGGCCATCTTGCCTGAACACTGGCACGAGCCGGAACAGTGGCCTCTCCTAGTTCGTCTCACCAAGATATCGTGGTGTATCATACTTGCTAGGTACACTGGCAAGCACAAGCTGGTGTTTGGAAGCATTGAGGAAGCGTATAGAGTGCCTGGTAGCAAAGCATCAACTAACCTAGTCGCACAAATTGAGCAGTGGTCAGTTTTACCCGACAACGATGAGCCTCTGATAAACCAAGTTGAGCGCTCGGATGCACGCCCATGGTGCAACATACGCGATACCAATTACAATTTCAACACCTGCCTGTGGATCCGAGCTCAGAGTAAATCGGGTCGCACTGGAGATGCAGCACAGCAGTACGTAAAATCTCTCTCGGTTGGTGTCCCTGTCCATCGATGTGTTGGACTCTGGTGTTGATGGCTAAATAGGATGGGGCTCTACCGATTATCTGTGAATACGACCCATATGTGAATTCTCTGACGTTGTCGACATTCCTTGTCTCCACTTCATTCTCAAGCACCGTGCTGGATTCCTTCTTGAATATTCTAATGTCAGTTATTGGTGATCAGACAACACGCGCCAGCGAGATATCTCTCCTAGGCTCTGGTGCTACCGAGAAGATCCGGAAGTGGAATACACCCGGCCTACAAACAGAAATCCTATATTGCATTCATGCATTAATTTTGCAGCAATCCCGACAACAGCCACTGGCGCAGGCAGTCTCCGCATGGGATGGCTCAGTTACGTATGGAGACCTGGACCACTTATCGGAAATAGTGGCACAAAAGCTTGTAGCGCTACAAGTAGGCCCAGAGCTTGTCGTGGCGCTCTGCTTTGAGAAGTCACTATGGACCGCTGTGGCTATTTTGGCGGTACTGAGGGCTGGGGCAGCGTTCACGCTCTTGGACCCATCGTATCCACTGGCACGCATACAGGCAATCTGCCAAGACGTAAAGCCGCCAGTAATCCTGACCTCCCCAGAACAGCGCTCATTGAGTGAGCAATTAAACAAAACGGTCATGGTACTCCCCGACGCAGCCAGGTGTTCCTCCGTGACTGGCACCATCGACTGCCTTGCTACACCACATAACGCCGCCTACGTGGCGTTCACATCTGGCTCGACTGGCAAACCTAAAGGTGTGGTAATCGAACATGGGTCTTTCTGCGCTAGCGCGCGTGCGAATAGCGTGGCCCAGAATCTGAAGACGACATCCCGTGTACTGCAATTCGCCTCCTATGGGTTCGATATCAGTATCCAGGAAATTCTCTCTACCTTGATTGCTGGGGGTTGTGTGTGCGTTCCGTCGGAGGCGCAAAGATTACAAAGTCTGCTGGCCACTATTCGGGAGTTGCAGGTAAACTGGATGGAGCTGACTCCACTGTGGCTCGACTGTTGCACCCGGACGAAATACCTCTTGTGCAGACAGTAGTCCTCGGGGGAGAGCCAATACAGCCTACTGACTTGGCCAAATGGAGCCATACAAAGCAGCTAATGATTGCCTATGGGCCCACGGAATGCAGCATTGTGGCTACTGTGCAACCAAGCCCTGATGAGAAAGACCCGCTGAATATTGGACATTCCTACAGTGGCACGTGCTGGGTCGTTAATCCAGATAACTACAATCAATTATTTCCGCTGGGGGCCATAGGGGAGCTGGTCATTGGCGGTCCTGTTGTTGGACGGGGCTACATTAATCGTCCGTCTGATGAAAGCTTCATCACCGGCCCACGCTGGGCGAGCCAGTTCCAGATCCCGTCCGATGCCAGGTTTTATAGAACAGGGGACTTGGTACGGTACAATGTGAATGATGGGTCGCTCCGATATTGTGGAAGGAAAGATGCTCAAGTCAAAATTCACGGACAACGGGTTGAGCTGCATGAAATTGAGCACTGTGCTGAAGCATGTTGCCCGGGAACGGTGGCTGTCGCGGAGATTTTGAAGCCCGACCAAAGCAGTCCTGTACTTGCGCTGTTCGTTACAGGGAATGGCCGGTGCGATCCTGTACCATCGTTGGGTATTGGAAACAAAATCGACATGGCCCGGCGAGCCTCGTTTGCATTGCTACACCAGTGGCTTACCAACCAACTGCCGCGATTTATGGTTCCCTCCCTATACTTTCCCCTGACACATATTCCGATCCTTCCTACCGGGAAGGTGGATCGCGCAGCCCTCCGGAATATTACAACTGAGATGAGTATTCCAGATTTACGGTCCTTTGTCCCTTCCATATCTGGGGATAAAGACGACATGACAGCTATGGAGCGTGTTCTGCATCAGTTGTTGATGGATCAACTTAATATTCCAGCTAATATGATAGGCCGCAGCGACAACTTTTTTATGCTTGGTGGTGATTCCATCATGGCAATTAAGGTAGTGAACAGACTTCGAAGACTTGGCTGGGAACTTACAGTTGCCGATTTCTTCACCCATCAAACGATTACAGGACTCGCCAAGGTAGCTCTGCCTGCCAAGCCCGTGTCATCTATCCCTGCATTTAGCCTCATTGAAAACACGTCAATCTATGTAAAAGCGGCTGCTGAGGAGTGTCGCATCAGGCCAGAGTTTATACAGGACATATATCCATGTACACCCCTTCAACAGGGATTGATGATCCTGTCGTCTGAGAAGGGGGTTGATTTCACTGGGACATTTGCTTTTCAGCTTCCCGGCTTTGTGGACAGGGATCTGTTTCGGCGAAGCTGGGAGCATATTATATATGCACGGCCTATCCTTCGAACCCGGATCGTGCGTATTCGGGAGAATGAGTTCTATCAAGTGACGATAAAAGACAGCCCTCATTGGAACATTGGGACGTCGTTAGACGACGTTACTGGTAGAATCAAGGACTTCGACTGTTGCTTTGGCCAGCCACTAGTTCAGTATGGTCTTGTCATTAACCAAGTGCCCGGGGGCCCGGGGCCTCTCTTTGTGATCCGGATGCATCATGCTGTTTTCGATGGCTGGTCATACGAGAGCCTACTGGATGACATCGAACAACTGTATAACGGTCAGCCTGTGCCACCACGCGAATCGATGAACCGACTGCTGCATTACAATAGAAGGTTGAACCGTGAAGCTGCTGACGCCTTTTGGAAAATGGCTTTCGATGGATTCCAGGGGCCAATCTTCCCAGCGCCTTCACCAGGCTGGGCGAGGCCTGTCTCGGCGGTAGCTAAGATACGCGAAGTCTCTGTGAATCCTGTGTCTAAAGCAGAGTATACAATGGCCTCGGTCATTCAACTGGCATGGGCAATACTTGTCAGCAGCAGGACAGGCTCGAATGATGTCGTTTTTGGTATCACCGTCTCCGGGCGCAATGCCCCTGTCCCTGGCATTGATCAATTGATGGGTCCAGCAATTGCCACTTTGCCTATCCGGATCATCTTGGACATGCATTCTACTATAGAGGACACACTCAAAAAGATCCAGAACTGGGCAACTAGCACGATTCCATTCGAACAGACAGGCCTCACCTGTATCGGACAGTCAAGCCCAGAGGCGGCAGTGGCTTGTCAGTTCCAGACGCTTCTGGTGGTCCAACCCAGTCGACTGCGTAGGGAGTCCCATCTACTTATCCCGCTACCACAGAACCGTGATCAGCAGCGAGGATTCCTCTCCCATATCCTCACCATTGTGGCAGAGCTCCAAGAGAACAAAATACACGTGGAGGCTGTGTTTGATCAGACCGTACTACATCCCCAAGAGATCGACCATATGCTGGATCAACTTGAGGAGATTATCCACCTGATATTAGACCGGCCAAGTGCCAGCCTCCATAATTTCCGGTCCTATACGCGTGGCGATCGAGACCAGATCCGCCAATGGAACAAGAGAACTAACATCAAGCCTTCCCTGGTACACGACACCATCCAGAACTGGCTCGTCTCCCAGCCTGATGCACTGGCCATATCTGCCTGGGACGGCTGCTTGACGTATCGTGAGTTACTCGAGCATGCTCACCATTTGGCAGGTTATCTCCAGGCTAGATGGAGCATGCACAAAGGCATTGTTGCCATCTGCATGGAGAGGTCAAAGTGGCAAATCGTTGCAATGGTCGGAGTGCTCTTGGCAGGATCGGCCTTCATGGTGCTGGAGCCTGAGCTCCCCAAAGAACGTCTGCGTGAGATGTGCTGGATTACAAACGCGGAATTGGCCATTGCCTGCCCGGTGACATCTGAACGTGCCCAATTTCTGGGCGTGGATAGAATCTTCACATTCACGACAGAGCTACTGATTAGCTGTGACCAAGGATACTCATGGGTGCCGCCACGCCGCGACCCACACACCCCTATGTATGTGGCTTTTACCTCTGGGTCGGCTGGATCTCCTAAAGGTGTAACTGTCGAGCACGCCATGTGTCATGCCTCGGCACAGGCATACCAGGAGACCTTCGGGTTGAGCAGCTCCAGCCGGGTTTTATATAACCCATCTGCTAGCTCTGACCTCCTGATAATCCAAACGATCTGGACCTTGGTAGCCGGGGGTTGCATCTGTATTCCCTCAGAAGCTAATAGTTTAAGCGATCTTGCTGAAATCATAAAGGACTTAAAGCCTAATTGCGTCGCCCTGACTCCAGCGGTGGCACGCATGCTATCTCCCACGGAGCTTCCATCTCTTGATACAGTGGTACTGGTTGGTGAAGGCGTATGTCCTTCGGACATCGACAAGTGGGCGCATGAGCTATCCGTAAGAGTGGTTTATGCTCTGACTGAATGCACTGTAGCAAGTGCGGCGCGGGAGCTCTTGCCCTCAAATCGGCACGAACCAAACAATATTGGACGATGCTTGAACGGACGCTCGTGGGTTGTGGATCCGGACAACTATCATCGACTGCTGCCGATCGGTGCAACGGGTGAATTACTTCTGTCCGGGCCGATGGTTAGTCGAGGCTATCTCCATATGCCAGAGGAGTCCCAGGCTTCGTTTGTACATTGTCCGGCCTGGGCCTCAGACTTTGATATACCGAAATGGGAGAGGTTCTATAAAACTGGCGACCTGGTCCGCTACAGCTTAGACGGCACGATACTATACTTGGGTCGCAGGGACACACAGGTGAAGCTGAACGGCCATCGTATCGATCTATATGAGATCGAAAAGAGTGCCACAAGCCTCTCCGTGGACAAAGTGGCATTGGCCAGCCTTATGGAGTTCAATGGTCTTAGCGGATTGCAGTTGGTTTTATTTCTTGCGCCCATAACGACGGGTAGCAAACAGCCAGGGCTGTTCCAGGAGATGGATGATGAGACTCAGCTGTTGGTACAGAATCTCTATACCTATCTCTACAAATTTCTTCCCCCATATATGGTTCCTTCACTCGTAATCCCACTTAGCCGGCTTCCTCTAACTCCCACAGGCAAGGCCGATCGGAGTTTACTGCAAGAAGAGGCCTCCAAGCTAGGCGTGGAGCTACTCGTGTCTTACTCCAGAGCATTACACACCAAGCCGGCGCCCTCTACCGGGATGGAGCGCATTCTACGCCAAATCTTCGCGGACGTCCTATCCATTCCAGAAGATAGCATCCATGTTGATCAAAGCTTCTTGGACATTGGTGGCGATTCCCTGTCCGCAATGCGGGTCCTGGCATCATCCCGCAAACATGGACTGTCGATCACAATGAACGATCTACTTGGGCAAAGGTCTATTGCGGTGCTGTCCGACCAATTGGATGCACAGCGGTCGCTGCCATCGCACAAAACGAGATCTGCTGATGAGGACTGCACTGATACTAGATGTAATTTTCGGTGCTGCGCGTTAAGCAGGATGCGAGACGTCCGATCAGAACTATCTGATTGGCCTTCAGACTCCATCGAGCATGCCTTTGAGTGTCCTGCTCAGCATCTTGGCATAATCTATGATCAGCTTGGCAAGGCGGATACGCATAAGCAGCGATCCATCTGGGAAATCCATTCTTTGCGTGGCCACACAGCTGTCCATGTCGCCCACGCCTTAGAACGGGTCATTAATCGCCACTCTATGCTGCGTAGTGTCCTTGTCCCTTCACTGGACAACCGTAGTGGACCAATTCAGGTTGTTCTGAAAGAGACTAGTGGGGCCGTTCAGATTGTGAAGGCTTGCGACATCAAAGCAGCTGTACAGCTACAGGAGTTTAAACCCGTTCAGTGCCGAGACAGACCCATGCCACATCGCTCTATACTGACCGATGGGCCGGATGGGCAGATTTGGTGGCTCTTCGAGTTCGACAAAGCACTGCTCGACGCAGCATCCATGACCATTGTGCTGCAAGAATTAGCTACACTATTGAATTGCCGTTCCTGTCCGCTGGACCCAGCTCCTTGCTATTCAAAATATGCCTCCTTTGTTCACGACACAAAGCAGGAGAAATGCCTACGATTCTGGAAGTGGACCCTCCGAGGTCTAGTCCCTTGTCTATTGGCAAAGCCCCCAGGCTCTCTGTTGTGCGGTCCCTCTCCGGAACCTCGGGTCTGCACGGTTAGCAAAGAGCTGACTACCTTAGAGACATTGGTGGCTTTTTCGAAAGCGTCAGGGTTTACGGCGACTAATGTTTTCCAAATAGTCTGGGCATTGGTTCTGGCCCGGTCCATTGGTTCTACGGATGTCTGTTTTGGAGGTCTCAAGTCCTGTCGCGATGCTGCCGTCCCGGGGATTCTCCAGATGGTTGGCCCTCTCTTTAACATCCTTCCATGTCGCTTGCAGTTCAAGTCAGGTCATCCAACTACATCCGAATTGAGTGATATTCTTCGGTCAAACCAGTCGGCGATGGCGGAACGCATCCACCACCAGCATGCGTCTTTACAAAATATCATCAAGGCCACTGGGGTCGATAATCACCAGCTGTTCAACACATGCCTGACGGTGCAGCCAGCCATGGTGACCATGACAAAGAACCAAAGCGTTCGATTCCAGCTTCTTGAGGCGCACGAACCTACAGAGGTAGGAATCCCAGACCATTTTATTCGGCAATATATGTTGTAGCTAACAAAGTCGAGGAATACAGTACAAGGTAGTCGCAACCGTGATTCTTTTTCCTTCGCATTATGAGCTCTGCATCCGTTATTGGGATGACTTTCTCTCTGAGCGTGAAGCGCTCGATTTGCTTGACCGGTTCTGTGATACTGCGACAGAGGTTGCGACGGCGGTGAGCTCTATGGAGCTAGGGACCAGGGAGAAGCTTCTTGCATAGTTCAAGAACAACCAGCAGACATCACGTATACTGTTATGGGATCCATACAGTATACTCAATGCGGTGCTTGAGCACAGATATGAGAAGGGGAGGGCTGTCTTTCACCTGATAGCTGGGGCTACTATCACCACGCAAGTATTTATGGGCGCCCTTATGCTCAAAATAATAGCTTTTAAGTTATCACAGAATGGCTTTGGTTAGATATGTATTATATACTGTTATGTCCAAATCACTAGGCCAGATTTCCCACCAAGCTAAATGTTGGGGTTCACATTGCACGGCCAACTACTTCGCTCCGTAGCCAGGCTTAAATTGTCGAAAACACGCAGTTGATTGGTTATACAATGCTACTGCCGCTCTATTTGGCCCCCGGATATAATTATAGACTCTATCGGCACAGCCGATGTCATCGGTAAACTGCCGAGGACCGTGACGCAGATCCTTATTAAATCGGGAGTTAACCGAACCATCGGCAGGCACCGAGAACCTCCTTTCTCAACGGCCCCAGCGTTGGTTGGTCAGATACAATTCTTTACGACAAAGAAGGATGTAGAATCTACCTTGGAAAAGCTGATGATATATCCGGAAATTGCATTGCACACAAGGTGACTGATTCCGCGGATGATTCCCTCAGTCACAGTCCAGAATCTGGTCGATGCTCAAAATTTACCTTTAAAACAGATATAGCAAGCTCTAACAGCAGCCCAAGCTGTATAGCTGGAAGGTGAGGGTTGGCTACAAGTCAGGGAATGAGAATCATCTGATGAAATGTACTAGTGATCATCTGTGGGGTGTTCTTTCCGTGTTTTATTTTTCCCTGCTCTTTGGGGTAATAACCTCACAAGGTCCAAAGTAATCATACTCTAGACCCTGCACCATGTCTGGGAGATTCTCTGTAGGCTAGTCAAAAAGACACTAACTACTGGACAGATACTCCGGGTTTTCCGGTGGCTAATAATACTTCAGGACCAATTTGGACACACACGCTGTCGATCCGGTAGCCACCCATGCACTCTGGTGTATACCAAACCGCTTGGCTAACAGCGGATTATATTGAAGCCCGAATCCGACAGTGGAAGAACGTGTAGTTCTTCAGGGGGAATCTTACCATCAGTCAAGAAAAGTGGATATCGTCACGGAGAAGGCCAATAATATGCTTTCAGGGATGCTTATTACAGAGTAGCAATGGAGCATCCTTTGGATATGGGGGCCATATGTGTGTCGATTATAGAAACAGTTATTCTTGCTGAGCGCAAACGGGCAAGACCCAGGTATAAAAGGGGCTCAACCACTGCGATCATAAATTGAGGAATCACAAATCGTCCGTCTTTCCAAATCACTTTATATCTTTATCAACTTCGTCCGAAATGCATTTCGCGGGAACCGTCGCCATTGCGCTGGCAGCTGGTGCCACTGCGTATGATCTACCCGACAACCTGAAGCAGATCTACGAGAAGCACAAGGTATGGCATTGAGGTCTCTTTATGTGTTTAAGCAACGTTCTCTCAGTAACATGGTTGTCTAGAGCGGAAAGTGTTCCAACGAACTGCAGGGTGGCTACGACAATGGTCATTCCCATGATGGAGATACCTTCTCCTACTGTGGCGACATCCCCAATGCAATCTATCTGCATTCGTCGAAGAATGGAGGTCAGTATGCCGATATGGATGTTGACTGTGATGGAGCGAATAGACACGCGGGCAAGTGTTCCAATGACCACTCCGGTCAGGGTGAAACCCGCTGGAAGGATGAGGTTCAGAAGCTTGGCATTGATGACCTGGATGCAAATATCCACCCATATGTGGTCTTTGGCAATGAGAACGATGACGGTGATGATCCTGAATTTGATCCACGCAAGCATGGAATGGAGCCATTGAGTGTGATGGCAGTTGTATGCAACAAGAAACTGGTACGTGCAGCTTCCTTCCTACTATTTACAAGTATGTGTCTAACTTTTACTCCCCAGTTCTATGGTATTTGGGGCGATACCAACGGCCATACCGCAACCGGAGAAGCGTCTCTTTCGATGGCAGAGCTTTGTTTCCCTGAGGAGGACCCTTCTGGAGACAGTGGTCACGAGGAGAATGACGTTCTCTATATTGGTTTTACTGGTAAAGAGGCGGTGCCTGGAAAGAACGCTGACTGGAAGGCAGACAACACCGAGTCCTTCGAGGAGAGTATCAAGGAGCTCGGAGATAAATTGGTTGCTGGTCTCAAGGCTTGAAGTATTGATGTATGTGTCTGGTCAATTGTTTCAGTAGATCAACTCCAGCTGTGTATCTGTATCCAGTGTCCGAGAATTACAAATGTATTAGTTGCATCTATGATCTCCGAGAATCTATGGGTTGATAGAAAAGGAGAGGCGAGTAGTAAGATTGAACCTGTACTTATTCCTGCTCCCACCAAACATAACCCAACGTCGAATCACCGTGGACATGCAGGAGCAATATAATTTGTAAAGAATAAAGTTTCATTTAGACAGATACTGTGAAGATCGGCACTCGGATGTTCAAAAGGCCCCGATGGGCCAAATATGGAACATAGTGCGAAGGCCTTGCAGGATTCTGACGGTCTTACCCCCTAGTCCTCGAAGCTTCCGAATGTGACCTCGCGTTACAACGACGGGATAGCAAATGGCCCCAGAATAAGGGGGCTAAGAGGGAAAACTCGGTCTTCGCTCCTTGTCCCAAGCATGATTTTGCGGCAATGTACAATCCTTCATATAAATCTAACCATCGGCCGCGTGACGTGCCAACAACATGGTTCTTTCTCGTTGATAGCTACATATCACTAATCACCTTACATTAAAATGATACCCAAGTCGACCCTTCTAGCTGTCGTTCTTTGCCTCGCCATTGAAGGGGCTGTCGCACTCGATCCAAAATGTGCACCCGGAGGCAATTTTGATCTGTCGTACTGGAATCTCCAGCTCCCTACTGGAAAAACTGGTCATCCCACGACCAAAGTGCCATCACAATTAAAAGGCTGCGATGGGTACCAGGAATCTGGTGTTTTCTACACCGATAGCAAGGATGGAGCCCTAGTGATGAAGGTTCCCGGCTCACCTTCCTCTGCTGCCTGCGTGACAACTCCTAATAGCAAACACTGTCGTACCGAGCTCCGTGAGCTCAGCTCTGATGGCGGCGATAAGGCTAGCTGGAGTCCATCTGCACCGAAGAACCGACTCAAGGCCACACTCACCGTACCGACACCGGATGATGGGTCCCACGGCACCGTCATCGGCCAGATCCATATCGATGACACTATCTCAAGCAAACCCGTCTGCGAGCTGTATTACAGCAAATCGGGCGACCTGGTTGTGGGAGTTGAAAAGACGCGCGCTGGGGGCAAGAGCATCTTCACCAAGGTGGGAAATGTTCCTGTTGGGGAGAAATTCTCGTACGAAATTCGATATGAGTCGGACGAGCTGAGCGTCAGCATCAACGGGGCGGCACCGCAGACATTGGATACGTACTCCTTGGACTCACCGAAGTCGTACTTCAAAGCTGGGAACTATAACCAGGGAGACTCGGCTTCCGAAGTGCACTTTTACGAACTTAGTGTTCAGCATTAAGGCACTGCGCGCATGAATGGACGGGGCTATTGAGAGGAGGCCTTGCAGCATTTCATTCCTTCTATCTTTCCGACCCTGGCTGTCGTCGCGGGAAAGACAGACTGATATCTGAAAAGCTCCCCTATGACGCTGTAAGGGGGAACCAACTTGGCTTGTTTGTCCTGATACCGTCTACATTGACAGAAGGCTTATAAGGATGATCCCTGAATGATATGAGCGCTAAACACCAACCATGGTGCCAAGGAAGTGTTATGTTGTAATAATCATGATTCTAACCTGTACGATATGCTCTGTCTGCAGTAACGCTGTACTCTATCATTGTGCCAGAATGCTATGCGTGGAAACTTGAGCCTAAACATCAAGGAGGCTGGCCTGTCGCGCCGGATAATTGAATTCTGCAGAATTGCAACGAACATCTGAAGCAAATCTGAAGCTGTATCATGAACGGTCACCCCCTAGCCATCCTAATCCTGTCCCACGATGATTGCTATTTATTGAACCTTTCCTCTCGAGTCCACACGCCAGATTTCCTCAACAACCCCGTTCCGATAACCATAATAGAAGTCGTGCAGGTTAATAGTAGGATCAATATGGCTCGGAATCATTTCGACCCTGTCGCCCACGACCAAGTCTGGGGTTCCCTCCTCCCAGCTCAGTGAGCCGTGTTCATCGCCCAGGTTCTCGTGCGTGTACCTCGGGTCTTTGCACTCTGCCAGCCCACTGTCGGTCGTCAAGGACTTCAGGCCAGTATCAATTGTCACTGTCCGATCTCCTTGCTTGCTGATGACCGTGGACAGTAGCGTGAGACTATTGGAATAAAACGTCCCCACCGCATTCCGGTAGTCGGTGTCCATGAAGATGAAGGATCCGGGCTGCAGTTCGGTCACACCAGGCACTGTCGAGCAAAACTCAACAGTTCCCGTCCCCCCCGTAGTAACGACTTCAATGTTGAAGCCCTCATTGCGTAGCAGCGCAGCTGTGTCTGTGAGGATCTTCATCGACTCCAGACATTGTTGCTTCCGGTCCTCCCAGCCGTGGAGATGCTGCAAATGACCCTCATATCCCTGAACACCGATCAAGCGCAGGTGGTGGAGAGAGCTGATATGCCTTGCCAGAGTGAGCGCCACCTGTGCATTGGCAACACCGGTGCGATGCAGACCAACGTCGAGATCCACTAAAACCGAGATGGGTTCTGCGATACCCGCCTGCGCCAGTGCATTGTTAATGGCCGTTGCGCCAACCTCACTGTCTACCACAATCCGAATGTTTTTGTGCTTCTTGAATAGCTCCACTAGTCTTTTGACCTTCGGCTCGCCAATGATCTCGCAAGTGATCAGGATGTCGTCGAACCCCGCGGCGGTGATCGCCTCGGCTTCCGACACCTTCGCCACGCAGCAGCCTTTGGCCCCTGCAGCGGCGAGCTTCTGTGCGAGGATCGCGCTCTTGGTCGTCTTTAGGTGAGGACGAATGTTAAGCCCCGTGGGTAGGAGGCTGTCAAAGAGTTTTTTAATGTTGGCTTCCATGAGATCCAGATCCACAATCATGGATGGGGTGTCCAGGCTGTCGAGCCTGTCGCCGATCTTTGGGGAATACATGGTACGGGGTTCAAACGAGAAGGAATGTCTCTGAATGAAGGTTAGAGGTAGAGAGGAATGCTGAACGGTCAAGGTAGGTCGTAAACATGCAAAAGCAGGGTATCATGGCCAGTAAATACTTCGACTGGGCCCTGATGGCCCTGACAATCTACCCCGCCTTCCGGCCCACAGAACGCTTCTGCCAAGGCCAACTAAGGCCGTGGGTCATTGGGCAGGCGTGCATTGACTGGCTTCTTCTTGTCTTAGTCGCATCCTGTGGGTCGAGGAGACTCTGGTGAAGAGGGCGGCGTTGGTATAAGACGGCAGACAGAGTTGGCCGAAAACGGTAGGCCGTTGATGCTGCTTTCGGCCATCGATTGGCCAACCCTTCCGCCACGCCTTGAACCACTTACATCCACGCACCCTCCAGGTGAACAAAAAACCCTTCGCCATCGATATCGCCTTTTGATCGACGGGAGAAATGCCCCGTACCTCGCTCGCACTTTGAGGAGCGTTCTCGCGGTATGCCACATCCGCCACATACGTACACTCAATTCACAATCAGCCAAACCGGCCGCAATAGACAACAATGGACCCGAGCATAAGAGATCATTCATGGTGGCTGGCCAACACCGTCGATTGATGTTGGAAGACGTAGTCTGCTATAAGACTCGCAACGCCGCATGTCTGCCGGGGCTGGCGGCACTTGTAGAGGGCGCTTCCTTCCATCCCCCACACATCTGATCCATCGCTAGCTCCATCCCTAACCGACGATGTGAGGTTCGGTGCCGTCGGACCCGCGGAACCCACAGACAACATTGTGGAGAACCGCCCGGCGGGGTGAGTGCGGACTCACAGGCCCTGGTCCAACAGAGCCAATGTAGAATGGAAGTCTCTGACATCAGGTTTCGTTCTCTGGACAGTCAGATCGCCAACTGCATGGTAGCTGTGAGCCGCGGATTAAGAATGTAAGACAGCCATGCCAAAGAACATAAAAGCCGGCGTGGAGCGCAAAGGAGTCCCTTGGACCTGTCCATTAGCTTGAACAGCAGTATTACACAAGTCTATCCTCCATTGTCACCTTTTGCCAACAAGAACGACGCTTCAACATGAGTAGCTCCACTAGCAACGCGGGCCGGGTGGTCTTTATTGGGGCCGCGGGCGAGATGTGTCGTGTGGCCATTGAACGGTTCGCTACCGCAAGCAGTGCCTTGCTCATTCTGGCGGATATCAACACGGACGCGCTGGAACCGCTTCGCGCGACGCTGCCAGCGGGCCGTGCGACAACCAAAAAGCTCGATCTTTTTGATGAAGCTAGTTTGCACGACACGATCATCGGTGCGGCTCTCGTTGTCCTTGGTGCCGGACCATACGCGCGAACCTCAGGGCCCGTCCTCGCCGCCTGTCTGAAGGCGAAGGTGCCGTACCTGGACTTTGACGATGACGTGGAGAGCACTACGGCAGCTCTCGCCCTACACGAAAAAGCTCGGGACGCGGGCGTGCCATGTTATATTGGCTGTGGTGCCTCACCCGGGATGAGCAATGTCCTGGCGGTAGACGCCGTCGGCGATCTGGACACGGTTGATACGATCGATCTCTGTTGGCTCGTGGGTGATGAGCGTCCCGGGATTGGCAAGGCGGTTCTGGAACATCTCATGCATATTGCTGCCGGGCCTTGCTTGACATGGGTCAATGGAAAGCCATCGCTCAATGAATCCTGGGTCGAGACCGGATATGCACCCATGGTAGGACCGTGTGGGGAAACACTCTTGCATGAGACTGCGCATCCGGAGCCAGTCACCCTACCACGGCTATTTCCCGGTGCATCGCGTATTCGATGCCTGGGCGGGCTGGACCCTGCACCCTTCAACGGAATCGCCCGTGGACTTGGGACAGCTGTACGTCGGCAAGCATTGTCTATGGACGAGGCCGTGAGCTTCTTACTCAGCCTGGTCAATAACCCTCCGTCGTACAATGGGTGGACCAATGCGCTGGGCGGCTTGACCGGAGCCTTCCGTGGCGGCGATATTACTATCAATGAACTGTGGCAGTTGGTGGCACAAGGGGCCCATGCTCTAGGTCCTTGGCGCTATGCACTTATGGGCATGATGGACCAGATCCGAAGCGGCGAATGCACAGTTGGAGAGATTCTGTCTTTCATCGCCTCTTCTGTGCGCGGCCAGCCAGCACCATATCGTGGCAGTCTACTCGTGCGAGCGATTGGTTCCCGCCAGGGCCACCCTGCCGTAGTTATCAAACGAACAGCGCAATGTGGCGAAGGCGCCTATCTTATGAAGGACATGGCGTCAATCACCGGAACCGCATGTGCCGCATTCATGGTGATGGCACTGGCACCAGGGCCGAAGCGGACTGGTGTGTTCGCTCCCGAGGATTGGGCGAAGCCCCAGGCTTTCTATCAGGCGCTGGAGCAAGTGGGCACTCCCCGTGAAGAGATTGTGGAATGCCTCACTTCATGATGGAGGTATCAACAACGGGAGAGAAGTCGAACGGCTCGGACGCCGGTGACCCCAACCAGACCGGCTGAACGTGTCCTATTTTCTATCCCTTTCTGTCTGGTGCAGTGTTACTGGTTCTTGTAATTCACAATCGGGTATATCGCATATCTGCATGTTATCGGAAACGTCATTGCCACTCTCTATTGCCATTACTGTTCGTGTTGTTGGTAGATATGGTTATGTAGTTCTATCCGTATGGACTTTCCGTCAAAATCCAGCAGTATATGTTTTGCCTTGTAGCTTTGTCGGAACTAGCACAAGACCCTCTGAGGGCTGTATATTCTAGGGCAGTTTGGGTGCAATTGGTTCCAAGAGTTCCTTTGCATATACCGCATGTATGTACATGCGGATGGTGCATGGAGCCTTTGTGATGCAGGTGGCCCAAGTAGAGAACCGGCTAGAGTATGACTGTGATTCGACAGAGGGCCAAGATTCGGTTGACACTGGTCAGCGACTTCAGGATTCATGAAGATCCACGACTAGAATTGACAGCATATATTTTTGTAAATAATTACATACTTCAACTATAGCTTTTCTACGTAATCTTTTTTATTATCTTTTTTTGTTAGTCAGACGCAGGGCAAGAAACTTCAAGTAAGGTACAGTATCTATAAACATATATATATTTTATCTAGCAAACCAGATATTCTTAATTGATGTTAAATGCTCGACTATGCGACGGAAACAGTAATTCAAATTTATAGATAAACCTAGAATAAACATAAATCTATAGGTATTACTACTATTGAATACTCTGGAAATCATAAAGACCATTCATATATGATTCAGTTCTAACGATTGGGATGGGACTCTCCGAGTTTTGTTGTAAAATAACCTTTTGGCCAATATTTGTGCCGGGGACCCCGGATTGTAAAATCTATCGAGGCATTGGGCGAGGGAAGATAACCTATTTGAAAACCTGACCTAAAAACCACTCAAGAGAGAGATAAATATAGATTCTCAGTCTAGGTGGAAAACATCCTTAGATCCCACACACCGTACTGGGCAGTCAAAACGCCGGAGTAGACATCGCCATGAGGTAGGGTTTGGAATACCCAACTGGCGGGTTCAGATCGTGAGGCCACCCCGACAGAAACCAGTGGATATCGATCATCATAGTTTGCAGCTCCAGATTCTTTCCAAGTACAGGCGGAAAATGGACGAGAGTATTCAAATTTTTGATTCTCGCCATTGTGGCTGAACCTTCTTGGCAAAAGCGTCCACCCCAATCTTGAAGTTCTCCCCTCTGAGCACCCGGTCCACATACGCCTCCCGAGTTCGTGAGGTTGCGTGCTGGACACTGGATGTCTCCCATGCCTCCCTTAAGCCCTGGCGCGTGACCAAGATGGCGTCGGGCGAGAACGCAGTGATCCGCTTGGCGATGGCCAACGTCTCCTCCAACAGAGACTCGGGGGTCTTGGAGATTCGGTTTATCAGCCGAAGGGCCATGGCCTCCTGTGCCGGGAGACGACGGCAGGTCAAAGCCAACTCGGTGGCCAGTTGCATGCCACACACCCGGGCGAGGCGCGGCAGACCTCCGGCCGCTGCAAATAGCCCGACGCCTGCTTCTGGAAGCCCGAACTCGGCGGTAGGTGATGCAACTACGATGTCGCTACACGGGACAGTATATTAATATTGGATGGGACGGTTGGCATAAAGCGAGAGAGGAACTGATATACTAGGCAAAGGGAACCAAGGCCCAGACGTACCAGTTGAGACAAATTTCAAAGCCCCCACCCAGGGCAAAGCCATTCACGGCGGCCAGCACGGGCTTCAGGCCTTTTCTCTGGCTCAGTCCGGCAAAACCAGTGGGAGGGTGCGTGAACAACGCTTTCTGAGCCAGGGATAGGTGCCGAGACTGCTTTGAACTCTGTTCCTGCAAGTCTTGACCCGCGCAAAAGGCCTTCTTCCCCGCACCGGTAATTACGGCAACCAGTAGAGATGGCTCATGATCGAACCAGGTCAAGAGCTCATGGGCTTCCCAGTGAGCGTCTGAGGGTAGAGAGTTGCGCTGTCTTTCGCGGTTGATAGTGATCAGGAGGGTCTGGGGTTGCGGAAAGGATACAAGATAGTGCGCTGTGGAAGGGGGTTGGGTTTGGAACGATCCAGCCATGATGATTTTGTTTTCCAACTATGAGCATAAAGGTCACAGAGGAAACCTATGACATGGAATATTATGCACGATATAGCCTTAAATGTTGCCGGCCCTTGCGCAACATTGGGTGCAATAGGACAGACGCAATTCGACCGACGAGATACCCGCGGCCCTCGGTCTTCGCTGTACCAAGTCGACCATCCTCTGCAAGGCGGTCCAGGCGAAACAATGATATTGACGAACAATGATTGCTTTGAATCAATATAATCGGTGAGAGATAGATACGGCTATCAGATTATGATTCGGCATGGAACCCACCATTTTCTTTTGGATTCCTATGTAAATATCACCATGATTGCTAATTTTCCTACAACTGCCGTCCGGCCACGAATTGAACAAAAGGTACTGAAACCTGTTTCGCGTAAGCCACATAGACATGATACGTTCTCGGCAGGTACTTCCGTGACATTCCAAGAGCCAGGTAGCGTTTCTCAGTAGTAAGAATACAGGCATGTACAAATTCCCTCATCTAATATAGACCGAGGTGATTGGGAAGGTGTTCGGCCCGGGCTCGGGCAGATCCAGAGGTAGTGGCAACGGCAGTAGGGCCATATTACGGCCAAGGTGATTTAGGGAGTTCCGTATCGAGTGACCTTTTTTCTCCATTCTTTACTGAGAGGACTATATGCACCAACTGGACCATGTCACACGCCGCCAATTTGACACCTGTGGTTATCGGAGTGGGAGATATCAAGAATACCTCCGTGAAACCCGAGCATGCATACGAACCAATCGAGCTTATGATTCAGGCCATTACAGCCGCCGTAGATGACAGCTCTGCACCAAAATCCAAGATTATCTCCGCCGTGGATAGCATTGACGTTGTTGCGAACTGGACTTGGCCATACCCGAACGCTGCTCATTTGTTGGCGGAGAAGCTCGGCGTGAAACCAGTGCATCAATATGAAAGCGGTCATGGGGGCAACACGCCCGTGGAATTGTTTGATGAGGCAGCCCGACGAGTGTCCAAGGGCGAATGTCGGCTTGCTGTTGTGACTGGTGGTGAGGCTCTTGCATCATGTTCGTGTGCCCCTTCGCACTGATTGGGTATTGGGGGAAGATACTAAAGGAGACCAATTATAGTGGCTGCATTTATTGCGGAAAAGAACTTTCCTCCCAAGAACTGGACTGAAGTGAACGACCATACTTCTATCTGGGAACGGTCGAAACGTGATGGTGCGTTGAATTGGAATACAGGTTAGGGAAGGATATTGCTAAGGCGTATCAGATCTTGGAACACTGCATTCCATCGGACTTCCGATTCAGGTCTACCCCCTGTACGAAGCTGGACTGAGAGCCCATCGCAAACAGACTTGTGCCGATAATCATCAAGAGTCGGCACAGCTGTATGCCAACTTTGCTGAAATTGCCGAGAACAATCCTGTCTCGTGGAACTATGGCAGGCCCCCTGCGACAATTGACTCCATTGCTACCATCACGAAGAAAAACAGAATGATATGTTCACCATGTAGGTTTCAACTGCAGATACGTCGTGACTGACATGCATTGACCATTTCCAGACCCCCTGTTGATGAATGCATTCAACAATGTTAACATGGCAGCCGCGTGTATTGTTACTTCAGTCGACTTTGCTCGTCAACTAGGAGTGCCTGCATCTCGCTGGATCTACCCCCTTGGAGGCGCCGGCACAAGCGACGCGAGCAACTGTAAGTGCAGCATCTTCTTGTCAGAAGACAGCTAACAAAGAACGTGCAGTCTGGGAACGTCACGACTTTCACTCCAGTCCAAGTATCTCAAACTCGCTCGACGAAGCGCTCCGAGTGTCCGGTTTGACCAAGGAGGACATTGACATTTACGACTTTTACTCGTACGCTCCTCTCTTTCGACTGGGTTCTCACTCTGCTAACTCATGAAGCTGCTTTCCTATCGTCCCTAAACTCGCCTGCCGGCACCTTGATCTCCCCATTACCAGACAAGATCGCCCTCTGACGGTGCTTGGTGGGCTGACCTCCTTCGGCGGTGCCGGCAACAACTATTCTCTCCATGTATGACTCGCCTTTCGCCCAAATACTAGGATTCTAACCGCTTTACAAAAGGCCATCACGCAAGTCGTTCGCGAGCTCCGCGCTCGCCATGGTCAACATGGACTTATTCTCGCCAATGGCGGTGTCCTGTCCCACCACCACGCCGTGTGTCTCTCGGTTCGGCCGCGAGCCGATCGATCCTTATATCCATGCCAAAACCCTCTGCCGGAGTTCTCGCCTGATATCTCTTCGCCCCCCATTGCCGTTCAGGCAAATGGCCGTGCAGTCATCGAGGCATGTCAATCTGAATTCCTACATTGGCTGAAGCTAACGGGCGCAGACGTACACGGTGGACTTCCAGCGCAACGGTTCTCCGGGCCAGGGATACGTGGTTGGCCGTTTGGAGAGCGGGGAGCGCTTCATCGCCAATGCTGCCAATGCTGCGACCCTGAAACAATTGTCCAGCACCGCGGTGGAGCAGATTGGTCGTTCTGGCTGGGTTCTGAATGACGCAAAATCATCGAGGAACCTTTTCTCATTCGAGGGCCCACATCTTTAAGGTTCCTTAGTCCGCGTGATGTTGTAGAGGAAATAAATGGGTTAAGACCCAGCCCGGCCTTTAGTACGGGGCTATAGCTATCTATGCACGGGGTGCAGCAACTATGAAAGCTATTGTCTACATAACAACTTCCTGGCTGTGTATTAACCCTAAAATGACACATTACCCCACAACTTCATAGGCTTCCATGGAACGCTTCCCAGCGGGACGAAGTTTAATGCCGCCCCGCAATGCCCTTATGCATGGGCCTCGGTGCATTACTAGTTGTGTCCTGCGTATTGGTGAGCTGGCGATCTCCATTCCATTTGGGGTTCTAGTACCTAGTACCTCGGTAGGGAGACAGTTGCCACTGGCTCTTCAGGCGTACATTACAAGAAAGCACCTCCATTTCCGATGTTACTCGTCACAGAACGTTTGGATCTGGCTCCTTCTGGCCCACCATGAACGAAGCTGGGTCACCAGGAAACACCGTCATGTCCTCAGCATCGACCCCAGACCAAGCAGAAGCCCTTGCTGTTGATCAGACACGCCCGATCAAGCGGGCAATCTTTGCCTGCCTCAATTGCCGACGGCGGAAGGTGCGATGTAATCTCACAGGCGGACGCCCTTGCACCAATTGCCGTTTAGACGGTTGGAAATGCGTTGTTCCTGATCGCAAGAGGCAGGGCCGTCGGCAACCGGTCACTCCCTTTAGACAGCGAAATCACAGGGAACACACTGGTAGACCTTCAGTGGTTGGAAATAATCCACCGAAACAGGCAAAGGACTTTGGCAGGGACAAGCGCGGCGCAGGTACTATGGTTGAACCGGCTGAGACACCTGAAAGAATCCAATCGCAGAACATCTGTAAGTTCATCTGCGCTATGGATGGCGAATTGATATCCCCACGCCAGGGAAGACTGCAGGGCAACTTTGCGATCGACCTATTAACAATATGGAAGATGGAAATAACAGCATCTCTTCTGATGTCACGCTACACCATTTCACCTACTTCTCCTTCCTCCGAGCTCCCAATCTGGTCCGACTGGAGGAGAGTGACTTGACCTACCTACAGCACCAGAAAAGCCTACAAATTCCGACGGGGGACTTGCTCAATGCCCTTCTCTCTCACTATTTTCTCTACATTCATCCGTGCTTGCCAATCGTCAACGAGGCAAGATTCTGGTCTATCTTTCGCAGAGCGGAAGAGAATACGGGCTCTTTCTTTTCTTTGGTCGTCTTTCAGGCCATGCTCTTTGCTGCCTGCAGCGTAAGTGTCTTGCCACTAGCCCTACGGCCTCTGCCATTGACTTCAAAGTCATGCTCGACCAGATATTCAAGTGCTAAATGTTGCTCGTTGGACCAAAAACAGAACCTTTCTCTCAGCGAGATTGAGAAATTTCGTATAGATTCTCTGCTCTCATTGCGGAATACCTTCTATCGGCGGGCAAAGGTTTGGTCTTCCCACACGTGCGTTATTTACCACTCTAACTCATAGATCAAGGCCCTCGTAGACTTCAACGTGGAGGATGACTCTTTATGTATCTCGCAGGCTGCATTGCTTCTGTCCTTCCATTCTTCCAGCGCAGAGAGATTGAGTAGCACCACGTGGATCTCCCTTGCCGTCAACCACGCGCATGCCGTAGGTGCCCACAAATATAATCCATATAGCAGCCTGGAAACCCACCGATCAGACCTCAAGCGACTGTGGTGGAGCATACTTCTCCGCGATCGGGTCACGGCTTTGGGGTTGCGGAGGCCACTTCAATTACATCCTGATCAGCTCAAAAACATATCACCGGAGCCGTTAGTGGTGAATGATTTGGTAGATGAAATCCACGGATCAGAAGTTTATGACCCCTGTACCAAGGCAACCCTTTGCAAGATCCTCACCAGCCAGTGCCAGCTTTCGACTGTCCTAGCAACACTGATCGCAACCTTTTACCCAAGCGATCCCACCCAAGAGTCCGCCGAAAGTCAAGTTTCACAAGCTGAGAATATTGACTCCCAGTTACGTCATTGGAAAGCGAACTGCATGGTTCCAATGTGTGCGCAAGATGCCCAGACCCATGAGTCGGTGCAGCTATACAAGCGACTCACTTACTTTTACTATGAGTAAGAGCACATCGCCGCCGCACGCACCACTGACATTATCGCTAACGTACCCACTCGTAGATCAGCTCGGTTAGCTTTGTATCACAATGCATCGTTCCACCTCTATGAAAGACAGCACAGACAGTCAGAACACATCCGCTTGACGACATCCCACGACCACAAAGGACAACATATGAAGAGCGCCGTCATAGCCATCAATAACCAGGTAAAGTGGTTTATCGTCAACAAAACAGTAAGCCACTTGCCTGTTAGCGTTGTCGCATATACCATATTACCCCAATTGGTCCTGAACTTTGACGTGCACCTATCCAAAGTCAGTGAGAATGGCCGTCGGCACCAGATGAAGGATTTGAAGTTCTACACAGAACTGATACATATGTGTGCTCTGCGGTACGACATTGCTCACATGACAGAGCGACTTCAGGAAGGTCTCTCCATGTTTGAATCGTCACGGTCGCCTCTCAGGTTGAGGTCCGACGCGTCTTCCACCACGGTTTCGACTCGAAGCGAGTCGATTGACCTGGCAGGCCGGGTGCTTATGGGCGACCCACCAGGTCTGTACTTCCAGCTTGCTGCGAGCTTGGACATCTCGCTCTCAACTGGTCGACAGCCTAAGATGTATAGTCACTTTTCATCCATTGGCCCGTCAATAGTATCTCGCCCACTCGGCACGACGCCGCCTCAAACAACATGGACTCGACAATTGAGTTCCGAATGTCCCGACCCTGAACCAGGACCAGGCGTATCCGAACAACTGCCCGGAATTGACAGCATGGGCGATCTTCTGACGCAGAATTTACCGTGGGATCCCCATTTTCTCTCGGGCATTGTACCATTACTGCAGGAATCACATTCAATCTCTCCGCCTATCGAGGACAAACACAATTCACTGCCCCCCGCGGCTGACTTGGAGCCCTGGGGCAATCGTCATGGCGAACCTTCGCAGCTTGACTCATCTTCCTTTGCATACGCGATTCTAAGCGAAGTAGCATTACTCGGTGAATAGCTCACGCTGAGGAGATTTTGTTGGACTAGAGTCCTAGGCTGCCTGACGCATGTTACGTAACATATATGATGAGATGATTGCCTTTGTCGACGCCCGCTGAGCCGCTATGGAATAGGACCCCTGTCAGGAGAATGAAGCCGAGATGGCGGCCAAGCAGAAACAACCTTGGATGGAAAGGACGATTGATGGTGTATCGAAGGAAGGAATATTAAACATCACCGACTTCTATATATCATAAAGCTATGCTAGAGCCTTCATTTATATCTATATAAATTTTCGAGTGGGACGGGGAATGGGTAACCCCGCCCCGAACCGGGAAACTCGGAGCGGGTCCGAAGTAATCTGTATGATATGATGATATGACTAGATGGACGCCCAGAATTGCCAGGACTGGCTCTGATGCCGGCCTATTTCTGGCCAAAGGAGTTGTGAGATACATGTTGTGAAACAATCCTCAAGAATTATAACATTAAGAGACATAGAAATTACTGAGAGTACTCGTACTAGGCACCTTATCACAACATTCTGCCGCATATGCGTTCCACTGATAGTCTGTGGGAAACTGAATGAGAAATCCTTTGCACTGGTTCTACAGCTTGTCGTTCCTTTTGAGTCTGGACACTTCCTGGCGTATGGCAAGATCGGCGATGATTTCTTCACTCCCGCCACCCACGACCTGAAATTTCAAGGGTCAGCATTCAACAAATTCACCAACGGTTGGCAAAGAGTGACCTTACCATCATTCGGAGGTCTCTACTGATCTGTTCAATCGTCGCGCCGACTCCGCCTTTCTGGTATCCAGCACCTCCGAATATCTGCTGGGCCTCCCGCGCAGCTAATTCCAGCATCTGACCCCCTTGGACCTTGAGCAAGGCAATACGACTGGCGATCTGGGGGCTCTGCCACCCCAAGGGATCGTGGTTGATATAGAATGCAAGCTGTTCCAGCCACGCCCAATGCGCTTCCACCCGATGGGCCAGTTCCGCGAGCTTGCGCCGGATGATCTGGTTTTGGATCAACGGTTGGCCAAAGGTCTTGCGCCTCATAGCATACGACATGGCTAGGGCAAGACATGTTCGGCTCTTCCTGTTGCACTGAATGGCCATAACATATCTCTCCCGATTGAAGTTTCTCATAATGATCTGGAATCCCTTATTTTCCTCGCCGATCAGGTTTTCCACGGGCACCCGCACGTCTTCCATATCCACAAAGGATGATCCGCCTGCATTCTGCCCGCTGTTATAGATCTTTTGACATGTAATTCCTTCGGAGCTCAGAGGAATGACGAGGGCCGAAATGCCACTCGCCCCGGATCCATCCGCACCTGTTCGAACGGCGGTTGTCATGTGGGTAGCCCATGGGGCGCCGGTGATCCATTTCTTGACACCATTAACAATGTAAAATTTGCCGTCGGCAGACTTGACAGCGGTGGTACAGATATTTGCGACATCAGAACCGCCATGGGGCTCTGTCACTCCCAGACAGAAACTAGTGTCCCATGAGAAGAGCCCAGGAAGCCATTTGGCCTTTTGCTCCTCAGAACCATGGTGAATGATGGGAGGAATTCCGATCGTCGAAGCGCCACCCAGCGCAATTGTCACCCCCCCTTCAGCTCTCGCTGTCTCATCGACGATAACCAGAAGGTGAAACACGTCCATCTCGTGGTGGGGAATGCCGGCTAAGTTGGGGATGTGAGACGGCCGATATTCAGAAGGCACATCGTCAAAGGGAATCCCTGACCGCGCATATCGTAAGGCTTCTTCCCGTGGTACGACGCCCTTCTCTTCCCAATCCAGAGCGTGAGGAAGGATGTAGGTGTCGTAGTACTGTCGAATACTGTCCCGGAGCTTTCGATGGGATTGGTTGTAGTAGGGCGAGTCCAACGTCTTGTACCAGGCGGGTTCGCTCCATGGCGTATTTTCATCAAGATCGAGTTTCGGGTCTGAAGGCATCATGTATGTTTGCACTAATAGAGGAAGAGAGACAGCCTATCTACTACCACGCGAAATTCTTCCATTTTATACAGGAGCATTCCACAGTCATAACGTCACTTGGTTCCAGCGTTCTCGGCCCGAGGACTTGGGTATAGGCAATGGGTCCAAGCAGTCGCGGGCCGGGGGATTGCCAGTTGACCCGAGAAGTCACCGACCGAGGAATGGTTCGGCTAAGCTGGTGTCCAAGTTGGCTCTGATGGAGTTTACCACATCATATAAAGACTTTCAATGTGGTTTCAATGTCATCCAAAGAAATCATCTTTCTCCCGCCGCTTCCTTCGCTATGGAACACGTTTATCAGTCGGATATACTTCCCTATCAGGGTATAGAACCCCTTTCTATTCCTCAATTTATGACACAATATAATCCAGATGGAGTGTCGACAAACAAGGTAGTTCATCTAGATACCTTCTCCAAGGAAGCCATAACCTATGGTTCGTTGCGCAAGGATGCAAGCCGAGGTGCTTGGGGGCTGCGCAACAAGCTTGGATTACAGCCGGGGGGTATCTTGCTGGCTTTGATACCGAATTCAGTGAGTGGAAAGAAAGTTCGATTATTGAAGCATTTCTAACCATCTCTATAAGAATGATTTTGTACTTCTTGCCCACTCTACATGGTGGGCAGGTGCTGTCTTCGCGTGAGTGATCACAGTGTCACGCCATTTCTTAAGTAGATTAACTGAGCCGGGGTGTCCTTCCTTAGACCTCTTAATGCATCCTCTACAGCGAAGGACATCGCCCATGCTATTAGCCTCATTCGACCAAGTCACATTGCGACAGCTCCATCCAAGCTACAGGATGTCAAAAATGCACTGGCCTCTTCCGAGATTGTCGACAGTAAGATATTTACCGTTATAGAGAAAGTGCCGGGGTTATCTCAGGTGCGTGAAGCAGTATTCAACAGAGCTTGCTTCGGTAGCAATATTTGTGATATTGATGGAGCCTGATACTTAAGGATTTAGTTTCCACTGGATATTATGGGCACAGATGATCATCAGAGTCTTCCTCCATATGAATTGGCCGGCGAAAGCGCCAAAACAACAACCGCTGCTATCTGCTTTTCGTCCGGTACAACGGGAAAGATAAAGGGAGTTGAGTTGTCACACTACAATCTCATTGTGAACCCTCTCCAGATGCGCAATTCCATGCCCTCCAGGTTCAACTCCACCGTACGTGAAGTATGGTTTTCTCCTTGTAAGTTCCCGTCCTATGTTCCTTCCGCCACACCATCCTGACAAAAGCACAACACTGTCTTAGACTGTCACATTTACGGACTGTCCATTGTGGTCTTGACTGGAATGTTCGTCGGAGGATTTTATCTAGGACTTCCCGCCTTCAACGTTGATGACTTTTGCCAAAAGGCGGTCGAGCTCAAGGCTACTGACATGCACCTTGTGCCTCCTGTAGCAATTGCTCTTGTCAATGCAAATGTGAGCACTTACGACCTATCTTCAGTGCAAAGAGTCGTGGTGGCTGCAGCTCCTTTGAAGGTAGTGTCTATCCCAGTACAACGAAGTATATATTCAGTCACCCTAACCAGCAGAGTCCAACAGGTCCCCTTGCAACAACAGCTCAAGAAGAGGTTTCCAAACGCCAGCATTTGCCAGGGTCTGTATATCTGACCGGCTTGGTTAGTTCTGGAGCCAAACTATCTGACAGTGGAAACTAGGCTACGGCTTAACCGAGTGTTCTCCCGGTGTTCTCCATCAGATTGATGATGATGAAAGCAACTGTGGTAGTGTAGGAAGGGTTTTGATTGGGACGTGAGTTGCGAGCTAAATTACCTATCACAGCGATTGGCGTAACTGATTTTCATCTCACATTCAGACAAGTCCGTCTGGTTGACCCCAGTACACAAAAGGACGTCAAGCGAGGAGAAGAGGGCGAGCTATGGGTTCGCGGGCCTCAGGTCATGATGTAAGAAAGCATCTACACCCTGGCACGGGAACAAACTAATCCTTTTCCTTGTGGGAATCAGCGGATATATCAATGATCCCGAATCAACCAAGGGCTCATTTTCGTCAGATGGATGGCTGAGAACGGGAGATATATTGAAAGTCGACGACAACGGGAATTTCTGGGTGACCGATCGACTCAAGGAGGCAAGTACCTGGTTGATGACACCTCGCAGGTGATTTTGGGCTAACAATCTCTAATGTTCAGATGATCAAATACAAAGGGTAAATGACAACACCTCCAATAAGACCGAGGTCTGCCGTACAATTGCTAACCCGGAGCACAATACAGCTTCCAAATTGCCCCGTCAGAGCTCGAAAGTATGCTTCTTCGCCACCCGGATGTCATTGATGCAGCAATCTGTGCCGTATACGATGACAGCCTAGCTACCGAGGTTCCTCTCGCGTACGTGAGTCTAGTCACTGACAAGGCCAATCTTCCCGAGTCGCAGAAGTCGGTACTGCTCGGTCAAATTGGAGATTGGATCAATGGCCAGGTCGCCGGATATAAAAGAATTCGGGGAGGCGTGTATCATCTGCAGACACTGCCCAAGACTCCGACAGGCAAAATCCAGAGACGGCTTTTGCCGGCCAAGATACGAGAACGGAGAACGACTAGTATTTGAGGATTAATTCGCTCCAGAGGCATTTGATATCTTTCAGTCTCTCAGTCTCTCAGTCTCTTCCAATCTATCTTTACTTTGTGATGCGCATTCTCCGAGTTACAATCTCGTAAGCCTTCTGTTCTCCCAGCAGACGCAGCGTACGCACATCTACCATATACCCTCGTAGCGTGCGGGATCGACCCTATCCTAGTCGCCGCCGTGCATGCTCCCGTACCCCAGTTGTATCCCTGGACCTACCGTGGCGATTGGGCTGCCTCCGCTAAAAATGGACATATCCCAAGGATTTTCTTTTTCCATTTGGTCTCACGGGAGAGATGCTGCTGGTATCACCAGCGAGGCACGGTGTGCACAGTAAGGTGGACAGCGTAGATGCCAATAAAGCCAAAGTTAATTGATTTATTTGTATGCAGATGTCGATTGTCAGTCTAGTTGGAAAAGCCCCCTGGATCCTATTACACCGGATCCGCGGATTCCGGGCGGCTGCCGATGACCAGAGACCAGATGTGTATCTCTTAACGCAATACGGAGGAAACACCGTATGACCTAATCGGTCATTCTAGGGAAAGTAGAGCATAAGCTAAGTATTATGACTTTTCGTAGATAGTGTGGCTATATCTGTCACTGGACCACCTTTTCTTGCACTCTAGTTTGAGTTGCAGTAAAGCAAGAACGGGGTGGCCGAGCCTGTCAGTCTGATAGAGAGGAAGAATCTGAGCTCGATATTAAGCCTGTATTGGTAGAGCGACAAGTTAGGTCGCAAAGCGCTGATCTAGGGGAAATTTGTCCCGACGCGAATATAGTAACGTCGACGTTCGGGCGTGTGCAGTGGAGCCCCAGAGCATCTCAGGTCATGATTCCAAAGTTCTTTGCTATGATCGTGCGAGAAGTCTTCGCAGCCGCGCATCCGCGGATCCGCAGATCGACCGGTGGAGCCCTCGCTCGATGGTCCCAAACTATCAGGGAATCCCTGGCGGTGATCATGTCGCCCCCTGTGCCACTGAGCAATTGAAGCTCTCAATGTCAGCACTCACTATTGCTATATAAGTCTACAATCATATGCAGTCTCCGAACCCAGCCAACCATCCTCTATAGGTCGACATATACCACAGTATCAAAGCATCCCCGAGGTCGTCTCTAACAGCGAAAACATGAAGGACTTTTTTGATGTTGCGGTGATAGGAGCTGGGATGGCGGGAATACTCGCCGCCCGAGATCTCAGTCAAAAGGGTCATTCCGTTGTCCTTCTCGAGGGTCGAGATAGAGTCGGCGGACGAACATTTACGACCGAAGCCTTTGGGACCGAACTCGAATTGGGAGGTACCTACGTCCACTGGACCCATCCAACCATTTGGCATGAGCTGCAACGACATGGCATTCCCATATTTGCCCCATTGAATGCAGAAAAGGCCTACTGGCTAGCCGATGACGATGTCCACTGGGGCACAATGAACGACTACTACGAAGCGGTCAATCCTCTCATGTCACAGTTTGTGCATGATGCTCGTTCCCAATTTCCGATGCCGTTCAACGTCAGTGCTGTAGCGAGTGATGTCGATCAGCAGTCTCTCGAAGACCGCATTATCTCCTTGAACCTCTCTGCCTATGAACGTGATGTTCTGGAAGGAGCCATGTCGGGCCTGGTTCACTCGTATAGAGAGCAGGGTGTCGCCCAGCTGCTTCAAGGCGTATCTGGTACCTTTGGGGACTACAATGGCTTCTTCGAAACTGCTAGCTTTTGGCACATAGAAGGTGGCACCAAGCGTCTGGGAAACGCTATTATGTCCGAATCAGCTGCAATGTTACGCCTCCAAACACCGATCCAGTCAATTTCAGACAACGGCTCTTTGGTGACAGTCACCACGCGTGCTGGTGAGGTCATCCATTCACGTTTTGTCATCAGTGCAATGCCCATCAACACTCTTGGCGATATAACTATCGAACCCGAGCTTCCTGCACCGGCGCAAAGCATGATCAACAGCAAGAATCCAGTAATGGCCAGTAAGATATACGTTCGTGTTAAGGGTACTATTGAGCCCTTCAATGCTTTTGCTCCGGCTGGCAAAAGCCCTATCAATGCAGCTAGGGCTGAATCGCGGTATGAAGGAGACACTCTCATCATGTGCATTTGCTCTGACGCCGCAGCAATCGATGCAAATGACCATATGGCAGTACAAGATGCTTTGCGAAAGTTCGTTCCTGATATTGAGGTGATCGATACTGCTAGTCATGACTGGGGTACCGACGAGTTTTCTCAGGGTGGCTGGGGATGGTACCGGCCGGGGAAGTTGACAGGAGCCGCCCCACTGATGCGACAACCCCATGGTCGCATCTTCTTCGCAGGGAGCGACATTGCTTCGCTCGGGGCGGGCTTTATTGAGGGTGCCATGCAGACGGGTGTGGTGGCCGCTCGCCAGGTTGCCAGTGCATTGGCAATTGAAGAATAATGCCGAGTTTTTCATTGCCGTGAGAAAGTCGTACTGTGTCGACACCGATAGATATGCCCATTCCATTCATGGAATTGTTTAGGTTGTCGTTGCTTTGCAAACAGTACGACGAGCCTTCTCAAGCATACAGCGCGGGCATAACTCAGCGTACCACCTTTTTGGCCTGCACCGGAGTGGATAATTCGGCGGATATGCTGGTTTTCTGTTACATAAATAATACTAATGCATGCAATCTCAACCCTGATCGAATGGTTCCTTCGAGATCCTCTACGTGACAGGCTTCTCAAGGTCATGTAATTCTAAAGTAAAGTCCAACACCTAGCAGCGAGAATACGAAATGCAGTATCATTCAAGAGAAATATTGCAAGATATACATGTGCCTACATACATAATATCCTAATTGATAACTGAGGGCTGCATAGAATAGGACGGATTGGCCCTCTTTCAACTAGAGAACCCTAACTCTCTCCCATCGCTCCAGTGCTTTCTGGTAGCGAGATTGCGTCCTCTCTAGTCTTGCGCGCATACGAGTATCGGCTTCGTCTTCGCCGGCAACGGTGTTCAGCTCGGTATCATCAAGCTGGGCAAACCTATCGGCGGAGACAATGCGCATGGGACATTTGGGACCTAGCACATGTCTCTCCATAACCTGCATCGCGACATTGTCGATGAAACGCCATAGGGCAATGTTGTAGTATCCATCTAGTCTCGCTCGGGCAGACAGAATCTGGTTCAGGGAGGTAGGTATAAAGTACGGCTCTGCATCTTCTCCCTTCGAAGTCCCATTGGCCTTACCACTCGCTGCTTTATTCGCTGAATGTCCAAGCAAGATCTCATCTGTCATGCTCGTAAACGACAGTAGATGTGGATTGCGCGTAATCAATGGTCGGGCCTGGTTATCCTCAACCAATTCCCGAAGTGCCAGGTCTGCATCTCGGTTCCATTCTTCAAGAAATTTCCCAACAATACGACTCACTTCCAAACGCACTTTACTATTCGGGATTGCGATTTTTAATAGAATGTTGTAGCAATCCGTGACCATGACCTTGATGTCCTCAACAAACTCCCGGGCAATACTTTCCCAGTGCGCGGACAGCTTCCGGAAAAGCTTTTCTTCTACATCTGGATGGACGCTTCCAGGAAGGCTTCTTCCTTCACATATCTTGGCTTCTTGAGCGATTGCGGCGTAGAGTCCTTGGCCATTGACCACATGCTCCTCCCATACCCTGGGATCGGAGCTTTGGGATCGGAGCCACTCCAGGTCAGTTTTATAATCCGTAATTGCGATCGCAATATTGTCGCTCTTGCACATGTCGTCACGGAATTGGTCCAGACGAACGCGGATTTTGTAACGAAGCATAGCTTTTGCATCGGTTGAAGGTATGTCTTGATGCTGTCCTCGTAAGGTTCCTTCAGCCATCTTCTGCATCTCATTGCAGAACTGGAGCACATAGTAGCGCTGAGCTCGAGCCGTAGTTCTAGACTCTCCCATTCTTTTCAGATTGGCTTCGCACTCACGCAGGTGCTGAGTGATCTCAGTAATAATGTGGGGGATCTCTTTCTGGATTTGAGTGCGTCGCTCCTTGTCGATGTAGCTCATCAACGATCGGATTCCAGTTCTATCTTTCGATAGACCTTCCCAAGCTGGTTTGGCAAATTCTTTCAGCTCCATCTCGTCACGGTCTGCGTCCGACGAATCACGTTCGATAGGCAGTCTGTTGCGCAATCCGAACCAACCATGGTCCAAGTGTGGAACAGTGGCCAGGTCGTTTTGAAGAAGTTTGATCATCTAGTTAGCTCGTCAGTATGTGGATTATGCAAGAGGCTGGGAAGGCCGTACCCAATGATCCGATCCTTCCTGCTTCCGATCACATTTGGTGAGAACCCCGATGCATCGGGTCTGCAGACTTGGTATCTCTTCTATCAACTCAAAAGTTTTATGTCGCTCCACGTCCACGTTGTCGACGACAACCCTAACCACCGTTAGCCTTGGTTATCAGGATGAAATGAACATCATAGCACTCACAAAATGATATTTCGTTCGTTATTCAAATAAGTACGAGCCAGCTCCTCCGCCACTGCCGCGTTATTCCGGACATGCGATTCTTCATTCGCTACAGTACCAGCGTCATTCGATGCGTCTCCAGCCTTACCCGACTTTTTTCCACGTATCAAGCCGGGCAGGTCAACGATTGTCCAGTGCATTTCGTCAGGGCCGGAGCGCTCAATGCGAAGGGTCGCATCGCTAAGCGTCAATTGCTTGGTGGACTTTTTGTCACCGAAGATACATTCCGTTGCCTATCGGTATTAGCAAAGACAAGGACCGCCCAAAGCCACATGCACCGACTTTATCTATAATCTCCTCCATAATCTCCGAGGTCAGCTCCTTCTTCTCGATCGCGAACTCCTGTACCCGCGCGAGAAGCTCATCGTCTTCCTCGGACAGTGGACCCGGGACCACGGTAGCCTTCACGGGAAGTTCCTTAGCCGCCGATGTCTGTCGAAACGAGATCTGAATGGGGAAGCGAGTGCACATAGTATCCTTGACTGGGAAGGACACCTCGGTGATCGCCTGAAGGACGGAGCTCTTGCCGGTATTCTGGTCACCGACGACGACGAGCTAATGACGACCGCGGATATCAGCATATGCTCCTACCTGACTTCAACCATCTTACCTCCGGTAGTTTAATTGTGTTACTGAGTCCAAGCGCCTGAAGCTCATCGATGAACGCGAGCTGCTCAGAGCTCTCGACTCCGACGAAATGGCGTACTCTCTTTCCCATTTTGGCTCGTATGATGCTACAGACACGGTCGCAAGAATAGAATAGAGGTGCAGCACTCACAGATATTGTGCGAGAGGAAAGAACGGGGTGAAAGGGGTTCCCATCTTTGAGGACTCCCTAAGCGCCGACCACCGGATAAACATGGCTGACGGGTACCTCGGGTCTACGGCGCAGCTGCATGCATTAGGGCATCCGCTAACGGGTACTTTATGGAGACCAACTACGAACCCCAGTCCATGCAAACTACTCCTATTTGTTAGACTCATTGTGATACACTGGTAGCGAGACGGCACGAGCAGGACGACTAAAGTATCGGGAAGAGATTTTCGCTCAGGTGGTTCAGTTGACACAGGGGTTCAGATCCATAGCTAAGGTGAAATTTCACTCGTCAAATCGCTGTACCTGTGCCCTAGGTCGAGGGGATATCAACAACGCCTTACATGCACGAGGCCCAATGGGGAAGCGGCGCTGAAGTTGATGTGGTATGTCCCATATCTAGCAGCGCCAGGGCTTCCGGTTCATATGTATTATTTTGTGTCGCACCCATACACCATTTGATCATGGCCCTGATGCGTGCTGTCCCAGGCTTGCGTTCACTTCGGGAAGTGATGTCCTGAATGGAGGCACGGCCATCGAGATGTACTCTTTCAATCAGGCCAACCCCAACAAAAACCCCGCGAAGATATGTAACGTGGAACAACCTTACATGGAGGCAACCCTTTCACTGACCCACAAGGCCGAAGCCTCCGCTCGAGTGCGATTATCGTCACCTAGAATCTTGGCATCTAAAAACCACTTCCTTCCCTCCCTGCTTTTGAGCCAGGCGTGCACGATAATGATACCCGGTGATTCTACCGGCGCACGATATGAGATATTCAGGTTAGCGGTATACAAGCGTGGTCGCGTCCCCGAGGATGCCGGTTCACTGTTATAGACCTGACAGGCCCAAGATTCGATACAGCATCCTAGCGCTTCGTCGAGAAGTGCGCCGAGTACGCCTCCGTGGACTGTGTCGCGGAACCCATTTCCTCCTGAGCCAAGGTGCACGAGGAAGACGATATCCGGCCCAATCTGCTGTCGATCGAGGTTCTCCCATTCGGGACAGGTACTTCTCAAGATCTCTTTCCTGATGAACGGAAGGATGTGCGGGAAGGTATTAGCTGTGTTCATTGTTGCGCCGAAGAACGTGTCGGATGTGTCAGTTTTCTTGTATCTAGATGGTAGTATTATAGGTTGGTAGGAGCTAGAGTCATTCAAGTATGGGCAGCTGCATGGTAAAGCGGCGAAGAAAGTTAAAGATGCTTTCTCTGGTGGAACGGTGGTGAGAATATCCATGAACTTCATATTTTTTGCAGGCTGCAATCCCTAAAGTATCCTGGTCGTTCTTCTTGCAATAGTACCAGCAATATATGTAAGTACATGTTGCTATCCGGCATGTTGCTTATATACGGGGGCTCTAGCAGTCCAGTCTCAAGGTTCATTTCCGGGCCTCGGTCCGCCAAATCACCGCACAGGGGGACATGTGAGTAAAGCTCGGTTCCTTTTGTACCAAGCTGATGTAAGACCGCCTCGCAGTCGATGGTAGGTTTACGCTAATGTAGGTACATACATACCCGAGGGCTCCGCGAGAGGCCATCATGCAATACGGGAGCTGATCTGGACGGTTAAGGCACGCAGCCGTAATAGATTAATGGCTTGTCCTGTCCATGCCATCCTGTTGTGGTGTACTCTCGTACAAGGGGAGCAATCATGTCCAATGGCCTTTGGTGGGCTTCAGATATATGCAGATGGAACGAAACCTGATGTCGGGAAGCGGTGCACAGTACAGATACCTGCATGGACTGCCTCGTAGCAGATGTGAACCGCGTCCTCGATGACTGCGTGTTCATCGCTTAACCTCATGCATTCAGTACGTATATATGTGCAGAATAATATTATGGCCCACCGAAAATAAATGCATCCAGAGATTCCTTTATTCGCCACTGAAGCAACCAAACCAGCCATCGTCCGTCCAATGACGCCTGTAGGTTGAGCTCGACAACAGGCTCATGGAACTCAATGACATGCTAATCTGCTAACAGGGGACCAGGCTAGGCAACCTCAGTTGATTGACCTTTCGCATATGCTACGTGGTTTCCATATGTGTGCTTCTAACGGAGGCCGCCAGTCGAAGAGGGAGCAACTCAGTATATCAACAATTAGGGTAGCATTGCAGCGACAGCTCTTGAACGGTGTTGCGTCCATTATCATCAGGAGCTGTTGGAAGAGAATACGTATAGAGGCGAGTAAAGATCAAAGGTTTTGTTCCTTCTCGCCGGTTTTGAGCATTAACAGAACCGCATCAAATACACGCCTTGAACAAAAACATCATTAACGACATACACTTTCAATTCGGATCATTCGTCTGATGAATGCCCAGCACCCGCATCAGGTCCGGGATCTCAGTATGATCCCGGGTTGTCTTCATCCGATGACACCATGTTACTTCCTTTTCGTCCTCGCCCGTCGTCTCTTCGTTACTTTTAACCGGTTCGAACAGGAACTCCCCCCCGATCTGCTTGTAATACCCGCTCTTGTGTGCCAAGCCTGATGGTATATACTTCATAGCCTGAATCATTGATTCGCCGACAATCCGAGCCATGCCCTTGCGAATATAGTCTGGTTGACTGCCAATGGCCAGCGAGCACATCATGTCAAGGTCCTGATACAGCTGCCTGGTGGGGTCCGTGTAGATCGGGAACTCGCAGTTGGTTTCCTTCGCATACATGTCGATCAAACCCGGATCACCGCAGCCTATGATTACCACCGAGGTATTTTTTGCCAGGGGTTCCAGGGCTCTCGGGGTGATGGAGGCGGACAACGTTCGCAGGAACTCTTGACAGCTCTGTGACGATTGGTAAGTGAGGTCTTCCTCCAGTGGACTTCATTCATTGCCGAGCAGCTGGCAAGAGGAAGAATAAACGTACGCCACAGAAAAAGTGTCGGACGAAGATCAGTAGAACCCGTTGGGCTACACTAGGCCCGGAATGAAGGCTCTTGAACGGATGAGACTCGCCATGCCTATCGAGCACGGAGTAGTTCTGGATTTTGCGTAGTGTTTCTACTGATGGGGGCTGGTCACTGGTCTGGACTTCTCCTTGGAAGCCTTGCAGGGCTTCACTGCCACTGGCCGCGTCGACAGCCGGTTTGGGATCGGCTATAGTGGACATGGCTGACTGTGAAATTATGTAACTAAACGAGACAGGGCGAGTATTAAATCACGTAGCAGGATATCACGCTAAACTCGCCAGGGTTTTCGAGTCTAGCACTCGGGATGCAGGGAAGGGGGTTGCGAGAGAACATCGGCGCGTAAGACGACCGACCTGGATATACAAACCCCACCTGACCCCACCACCATCAACATCAACCCGCCAAGATGCATTAATTACGAGAGTAAAGGTTCTAGACAACTCCACAAAACTCTTCCGGAGCCGTGCTGACACGATCGTCGAGGCTATTGCCCAATGCAGATCCCACCCCATAATTCAACGATCACCGATGAATCCCTCCAGAAAGCGCTTCCTACATGATAGTGGCCAGAGAGAACGAGGAATAGAGTATGCTGCACTTTGAATATCCTCAGGATTCCAATATGCACCCCCTTCCTTAGATCTTGACAAATATCATGGTGATCAGAATTGCTTTCCTCATCAGCCGAAGGACCAGCATTCCCCACCCAGTGCCAGGAACTAAAACTAGTACATACAAGACATCACTAGGGTCTGGTCCGTGGATAAATGTTCTAGTCTGCATTCTTTTCATCGTTCAGTAAAGTCCAAAGTTCTTTTCTTCACTCTTCTTCCACCCACATTATCGCATCCCATCGCTTACAAGACACAGGGCAAGGATGTAGGGGTCTAGCTAGACATACTACCGTCAGCATGAGATGCACCAGGTTGGGGAATGACGCGATTAGGGCTACCACAAGGATCTGGAGGTCGTATCTCGGTGGGGGCTGTTCGTTTCCAGGCATTGCTCATCCTATGGTGAGGCCTGGTAAACGCCCAGACGAGCTGTGGGTACGCAGAGATGGCGAACTCTTCAATGTCACAATGCGCGGTGAATCAACGCCGGGGAGGACAGTGACTTCATAAGCAACATCACATAGTAGACGAGACTACGTACAGGCACGACTGACTTCCTAACACCTGAAGCAGAGATCAAGTCAAATGAAGCCTCCACCACTCCTCCTTCCGCTTGAATGACTCATAAATGGTTTCATGGCCAACCCAGCCGTGGCCCTCACCCTCGAACTCAACCACCTCTGCTACCCTCCCACACTTGTGCATCGCTTCCGCCATCATCCGGGCTTGTGCAACAGGGACGACCATATCGGACGTACCCTGCAGCAAAAGGAGTGGTGCCTTCATCTGCGCCGCAAAATGGCACGGGCTGCGTCGGGTGAGTTCCGCATCTCTGTCCTCAGCCTTCGTCGTACTTAGTAGAATCCGGTCCACATCCTGGCTTTCAAACTTGTATGAATCGGCCTGTAATGCCCGGACGTCGCTGATGCCATAAGAACTGATCCCCGCCGCCCAAACGTCCGGATACATGTGCAGAGCCCGCAGGGTCAAATAACCGCCTGCACTACCGCCGTAAATTCCCACGCGCGCCGTATCGATCAACCCGCTTGCCACCAAGAAGTCGACTGCGCTTACAGCATCTCCAACATCCACAAGGCCCCAGTATCCCGAGAGACGTTCACGATATTCGCGACCGTATCCGGTGGAGCCCGTGTAGTTAACAGCGCACACGGCAAAGCCACGCGTGGTCCAGTATTGAATTTCGAGATTCAGCGCCGGGGTGACGCAGCCATTGGGTCCGCCATGAACGTAGACGAGTGCAGGAGGAGGGCCCCGATCGTCTGACGGATAATTGGGATTTTGTGGGGGGAAGTAGAACATGTGCACGTCGCCGTCACGCTGCGGTCCGTACTTTTGGGGTGCACGAAATTCCGTCGCGCGAGAGACGTATTCAGGATCCAAGTGGAAGGATGCAGTGGAAGCCAGTACGGTTCTTTGAACGGAATCGGTGGGCGTAATGGATACCAGAGCCAACTCCTGCGGCGACGTTGCCGTCGAACCAACGACGGCGAAGCTGGTCGGTGAAACACGGTAAATCCCATTCGCACGAGAGCACAAATCCAGGTAGGGAAGATCTAGCTGCCGCGCGCAGGATGTGGTGGTATCAATCAGCAACACTCGACTCGTGGCGTGAGTGATGACGGTGGCGACGATCGTCGTTGCATCAAGGGAGGTATACGTGGAGCTAGTCGGGGGGTTAGTTTGACCACATACGAAACGTGGAATCACTTGTCATACCTTCCAAGTTCCCATTCCGCTGTGGCAAAGTCTGCCTCTTCGAGACCCTTCAGCGCCAACGGACGAGGTGCGTCGTCATTCACGTTGAATGTATATAGCTGCCAGAACCCTGTCCTATCGCTCGCAAAGTAGAGCGAACCGTCCAAGCCCCATTTTGGCTGCGCAATACTCTCTTCCTGTGCTTTTCCTGCGACATGTCTCGAATCTTTAAGACCCCCATCTTCCCATGTCGCCACATAGAGAACGGTTCCGGTCCATGGCATGTCCGGATGGGACCACTGAATCCAAGAGACATACGTCCCCGAGGGATCGAACTTGGGGTGGGAGAAGAAATCGTCACCTTGGACAATCGTGGTTTCCTCCCCGGTATTGATGTTGATGGCCACCAGGCAGTTATGAACCATCAATGCTTGGGTTTCCGGAGTGGCTTCGCGATGGTCCTCCTTGATGGCAAGCACCCACTCTGCATTGATCGGATGATGGCAGAAATCCGCATAGCGGACACCTTTGACCCCTTCCAGGACCAAAGTGACTTTGCTCGAGGCAGGATCTAGCAAGTAAATGCTGCTAGAGCCTTCATCGGAGAACACGATCAGCCCGTCTGGTCTTATGGCAAGGGAACCACCACCGAGCTCTTGCACCGTGGCGTGTGCACTAAGCTCTTTCGGCAACACATCGCGACTTTCGCCATGCCAATGCTGGACGATAGCATGGCGGCCATCTTCTGTCGGGCGGCATTCCACGCAGTAGATGGCCCCGGTAGACTCCTGATTCTCATTAGTCCGGTGGCGAGTTTGGGGAGCCGGGACTAGGACTCACATTGACGACCACTTCATGCAGGGATATGCTACTGCTGGACAGTAATTCTGGGGTGAGTGGGCTCTGCCAGCGTCCGTAGGGTACGGTCATTGTGAGTCGTTGTCATATATCGAGTCGCAGTGGTTGTGGTCAACTGGTCCACACTTGCGACACGGGAGTTTCAGTTGTTCTTGATTTATTTCACCGGTCAAAGTATTTTTCCGTCCCAATTGCGTGTATCATCATTAGGTAAAATACGAAAACGGGCAACAAGAGGGAAAAGAAAACCTCGTAGGGTGTTATAGTCTGTCCAGCTGCAAGTCTGACGGATTACGTGTATTTGCGTGGCCTTGCTACAGTGACTGGAGAAATGGAGAGTTCTGGAAATACATCCCAGGTGGCCCTTGACCGACATCCTACTGTCTTTCGAGTAATGAAGGATATCGCCTGGGCATCTGTCTCGTCAAAAGCTTAAGCCACATGGAGATGCTGACCGAGTTCGGGAATCATATAAATATTCTTTCTCATATCGGTAGCGCACGGTCAATGAAGACCACCATAAATGTACGCTAATTAACTTGCAAACCCACACGCCGGAAGTAAATTGACCGGCAATGTTGATAGGCATGTTTGCTCCCGGTCCGATTACATTTGTTTACCTGTCGCCTGAATTGGCTGCGTTGAAGATGGATCGTCTACCGATAGAGATTCTCCTGTCCATCATCCATGAAATTCCCAACGCACGAGACCGACTGAATCTCGTCCAGACATGTCAGCGCTGGCGTGCGTCGTTTCTGGGAATTGCTTTCCGCTCGATCCGCCTGGAATGGCTCCATCTTCGGACTCTGGTCGTGGCGGCCCTTGCCAACTCAGCGATCAGGTTCTCCATCCGCGAGATTTCGATGGAGGTCGTCGCATGGAACGGTTCACCGGCCGCATTAGGCTCGGCAGTGCAGGACTTTCTCGATCTCATCAGCGACTCGCCCGTCGAATATGATGCATGGCCAAAAGCGCTGTCCAATAACCAGAGTGAAGCGTGGATTGCTCTTCTAATGGCCATTCTCCCCAACCTGACTGCACTTTCGGCACAGCATAGCCACCCACGAGGCTGGATTACCCGGATTGCTGCGAAGGCCGCGTGGAAGCAATTTCCTTTCGATCCCAGCACTCTCCCGGCCTTGCAGCGATTAGAAAAGCTCGACCTTGCCTGGCGTGGTCTCTCCACCGTTCTGAGCCACCGCGAATGCCTCCCCTTGTTCCACTTGCCTTCCTTCGCACGTTGCGACTCGGGCCAGTACAGGAGCTTCACTCTGCCTACAACGCAGCAGACCACCCCGCCTTCCTTCCAGTCCCAGGCTCGTCGCCGGTCGAAGACTTAGTCGTGGACTTCCTTTGCAACGGAAGACATGGGATGGCCGATTTTATTACCTCCTGTGCCAACCTGAAGCGCTTTGTATACCAGCATACGAACAACATTGCCTGGGTTTCACGACAGGAGGAGGAGGATTGCACGGGCGTAGACGCTAGCTTTCGGCCGTGGTGCTTCCATGAGGCGCTCCAAACACAGAAGCACAGCCTGGAAATTCTCCACCTGAATGATCTGGGCGATGCGTCCATCCCTCGACGAAGTCATCTCTATAGTGCGGATGTTGACCCCATCTCGCATGATCGGTGGTTCGGGTCGCTCGTGGAATTTCGCAAGCTGTGGCATCTACGTATCCGCCCCAGCAACCTGACCAACTTCTACCCCAAAGAGACAGAGGATATGATCCCGCTGGGAAATATTCTGCCGAGCAGCCTGAGAGTTTTACATATAGCCGATTGTAGCGAGGACAACTGTACTGTATTGGTCACCCACCTCGAGGATCTTCTTGCTCGGCGAGAGGAACAGTTTCCAAATCTACAGTCCTTACTCATCTCTCCTGAGCGGGAGGACCTACACGGAACGAGCATCTGCACTAAGGAGTCCTTCAGGAAGCAATGGACGACCCTTGGGGTCCTGTGTGACCGGGTTGGGGTTCAGCTGTCCCTTGGGGTTGGGGAAAAGATGGCAACAAATGCACAGCATTGGTCTCCGGGACGAGTTGTAGACGAGGCTTCGTTGAATTAATCTGACATGCACCCACCCTGCACAGGCCGGTGATGGCCTCGGCGACATTCCATACGGCCTATAGGTCTCTCCCATCATCTCGCATGCCGGTCCACCATGCCCGGATTTCCCGATACCACGTCCAGCTCTCCACCGCACCAACCCCAGCAAGAACAGCAATGAGGACTGTTTTGCCGATCTGAGTCTTGAAGCTGAGATCATACTTCCAGTAGTCCTCTCTCTTATCGTTCGGGTGACTATTTTTCGGGGTGTGGTCCTTGTTGCGTAGAACGTTCTGCGTTGAGAATGATGCTCTGGCCCGAGGTGGGCGGCTATGAATGATGCCATGGAAAGGCCTGACGCGTAACAAGGCCATCTCGTTCGAACTCGATGAGTCTGTAAAATAGATGCAGTCAATATTCACAGGGCCATACAGGTGAGGTCCGGATTTGTTTGTACTAGTAGTATCTTAGAGACAACAGCAAGAGATCAGGGTCTGTCGAATCCCTCCTCAGGCTTGTTTATCAGTGAGTCAGACCAAATCAATGGCGCGGGGTAAAAGCCTTTGGCCCTTAATTAGCCGGGAATTCTTGCTAAACCGGTATAGCCTGTGGAGGTGCAAAGAAACGCCGGTAAATGGTTCCATTTGAATCCGATACACCAGAAGGGTAGACCTCGGAAGAGTTTTCTCTTGGTGTTCAAGTTAATGATCTCTCTCCGTCAAGTATGGAACAGAATCTTTACTATTACTGTGTACTCTATGGGCTTCTCTAAGGTGTCATCGCTGTCCACAACGGGGCTCAAGCTTCTCCCTTGCTAGTCTATATATAAACACAGGGGGGCGGCATGGTTTCATCTGGCAGTGATAGAATTACTGGTAGAACCCTAACTGGATTAAACTGGCCAGAACGATATAGAGACATCATTCTATATACTTCAATTGCTGCAATAGCTTGCATCCAAACAATTCGATTAGGTTTGATTAAATCACGAGGTGCAGGACTAGTCCGGGTTGAGATGGACTTGTGAGGGGCTGCTTTCTTCTCTGTTTTTTTCTCTCTGCATTTCCTCGTCACACCGTGTCGCTGGACGCATTTGCGACGACTTTGTTTGTCGTCGGCTCTGCATGACAGCTGTCCCACCATCCGACCGTGATGTGCCTTGCGCGATCCCAGAATGCCCTCCTCCAGCCGGACATACGATGACTACACGGTTGGGTGGATCTGCGCGTTACACATCGAGCTGACGGCCGCCATGGCGGTGCTCGACGTAGTCCACCCCTCTCTTCCACCGCGCGATGGGGACGACAATCATTATACCCTTGGCCAAATCGGCCTTCACAATGTCGCGGTCGCGTGCCTTCCGGCCGGCCAGACTGGCACGACCTCCGCTGCCACGGTCGCTACCCAGATGAGAGCTACGTTCGGCTCCATTGGAGTTGGATTGTTGGTCGGCATTGGTGGCGGAGTACCAAGTGACTTGCACGATATTCGACTTGGAGATGTGGTGGTTGGAATGCCCGGTGTGAGATCCGGAGGGATCATTCAATATGACTTTGGAAAGACGGTCGCGGAAGGGAAATTTGTGCACACCGGGTACCTCAACACGCCGCCCGTTGCGTTGCTCACGGCCATGAATACTCTCCGCGCACGTCTGGAGCTATCGGGCGACGGTCAGGTTTTGAAAACCCTAAGCCCGAATTTACCCGACAGCTTTTCTAAGCCGTCGTCCGCGCCAGATCAGCTCTTCCAGGCGGAGTACGGCCATGTTGCTGGGGCCTACACATGCCAGGAATGCGATTCTAGCGAGGAGGTCGTCCGAGAAAAGCGGCCGCACCCGTCACCCATCATTCACTATGGAACGATCGCCTCTGGGAATGAGGTCATGCGGGATGGCCGAACACGCGACAAGCTCAGGGATGAGTATGACGTTTTATGCTTTGAGATGGAGGCGGCGGGTCTTATGAACACGTTTCCCTGCGCTGTTGTTCGAGGAATTTGTGATTATGCCGATTCACATAAAAACAAACGATGGCAGAGTTATGCAGCTGCCACAGCTGCTGTGTATGCCAGGGACCTGCTAATTATCCTGGATAGCACTGCATCTGCGAGTAAGTTCGATATGTTCGATTACTTATTCACTTCCTTTACGCCTTCCCTAAGCTGCACGGATCATTAACCAAGTGTCTGTTGACGAAAAGAGCCACGGAAAAGAAAGCCACAGCAAGACGAATGGAACGTCGACTCCTCCACGAAGAGGCGGATGTCTCAGGTATTTAAGGAAGAGGATGGTGATGATTCTGGCTGCATTGCACGTTTCAGTCAAGCATCTGGTATGTGTCATATACGGCAATGAAGCCGGCGTAGAATATAGCGCCAGCATGGAAGGGGTGTTGAGCTAATACTGATGTTTAATCCAGGGCGCGATCATTCCACAGTCGAAGCCAAGTGCCTAGCGGCATTTGATGTGTGCGCGTACAAGGAGCATAAAAATAGAAACGATCATCGCTACGAAGGAACCTGTGAATGGTTTCTCCAAGACCCCAAGTTCATTCACTGGAGGGACAGTGCCCAGTCTTCTCTGCTTTGGGTATCCGCTGATCCTGGCTGTGGGAAGTCAGTTCTGGCTAGATCGTTGGTTGACGGAGAGCTTCAGATGTCAACACAGCGTACGACCTGTTTTTTCTTCTTCAAAGACGACAATCCCGAGCAAAGCTCATTAGAAAATGCCCTTTGTGCAATTCTCCATCAACTCTTTTCTGCACATCGGAACCTCATTAAATGCGCGTTGCCTGATTTCAATGCGGACGAGGTCAGCTTTGTAAAATCAGCGCACAGGTTATGGGAAATACTTCTAAGTGCGATTAGCAATACAGATTCCACCGACTTGGTTTTTATAATCGACGCCTTGGATGAGTGTGAAAAGAGAGGCCGCCACGACCTGATCGAGCGTCTTACATGCCTCCACAGCGAGGCAGACAAACGATTCAGTAGAGCCAAATTCTTGGTAACCAGCCGTCCGCACTCGGACATCGAACGGCGATTTGAAAGCTGCCCGTCCATTCGTTTAGCTGGGGAGGAAAAGATAGGGAAAATAAGTGACGAGATAGACGTCGTGATCACAGAAAAGCTCAACCAGTTACAGACTTCTCTTGATCCAGAAATACAAAGATATTTGAGCGAGAAACTTCAGAGTGCAAAGCAACGGACATATCTGTGGGTGAGACTTATCTTCCAAATGATTGAGGAAGTCATTGATGAGCGATATTATCTTACGGAGGAGGATGAGGAGGTCAGGGAACTGTTCGAAAGCCTGCCGGCAAGCGTTGACCAGGCATATTCGAATATTCTCCAGAACACAAAGAAGAGCGGACCAGCGGTGAGAATCCTAGGGATTGTGCTAGCGGCAACGAGACCACTTACTCTGAGGGAGTTGAACGTTGCCCTCTCATTAAGGGGCAAAGAGTTCAGTCCCATGGATGTCCACCTTGTTCCAGAAAGGGAGTTTCGCATCCGAGTTCGAAACCTATGCAGTCTCTTTTTGACCGTCGTCGACTCCAAGGTCTACTTAATACATCACACAGCGAGGGATTTCCTCATGTCTACCGCTCTGCGAGCAGGTGCAGCCAGTAGTTGGAAAGGTTCAATTAGCCTGAGCCAGAGCCACCAGATAATCATGAGCCAGTGTACCCTTTACCTGCGGATGCCATTCTTTAACGCCCAGAGGATTATCAGGGATCAAATGTTAGAGCTTCGTCATCGCCCGTGGAGTGACGACATTGCCGAAGATACCCATCCGTATCCATTCCTGGATTATGCGGCGAAGAATTGGGTAAACCATCTTCATGAGTCTGGCGGTCTACCGTCAGAGTCTATTCTGCTCCAGGACCTTTGCCTTACACGGTCTCGTAGGTTTCAAACATGGTTCCAGATATACTGGTCATCTAAAAAGTCTCGGTGCCCTCGCGGCCTTACGGACCTTATCGCTGCTGCGTATTTTGGCTTTGCAGATCGTGTCAAAGCCCTGCTGCAACAAGGAGCGAATAAAGATGAGAAAGATTTAACTTATGGCCGGTCTCCCCTTCTCTGGGCTGCTTATAGCAACCAGTTTGCTGTGGTACAGCTTCTCCTTGACAACGGAGTGAATCGTAATCTTTCCGACCGTGATGGTCGAACAGCAACTTCGCTTGCCGCAGAGGCTGGCGCTGCTGATATTGTGGCAATACTGGTTCGCATGGATAGCGACTTAACCTTGAAGGATCTCAACGGCTGGTGCCCTTTGATGTGGGCAGTGGATAGGGGACAGATCTCGGTAGCCAAGGTTCTAATGGATCATAAAGTCGACATCAGCTCCCACGACCGCTACGGCAAAACATCTTTGTGGGTGGCTGTAGAGAAGGGCCATGATGTCTTACTGGAGGCTCTCCTGCAACAAGGAGCAGATCCGAACATTCGGGTCGGCTTCGATCAAACTCCATTATCCTCAGCTATCGGGAAATGCCAGCGGAGGATGGTGAAACTTCTCTTGGATCACGGTGCTGACGTCAAATCCACGATTGGCTTCGGCACAACCACGGTTTGTCTAGCAGCGGAAAGGGGGGATCTCGAGATAACCAGGCTTCTCGTCCAAAAGGGTGCTGACCCAAGCGCTCCCGACCGAAATGGCCAGACAGCTATTATGATTGCTGCCGAACATGGCCATGAAGGAGTTTTCAACTACTTGCTCCAAAAGGGTGTGGGCCTTGATTCTGGCGGCCAAACCCCATTGTTCGCGGCCTTAAAGAATGGACACGACGGCATCGCCGATCGACTGATTCGCAACCTCAAGGCAACTCCCTCCGGTGCAAGTATTATTAGAAAGACTATGCTGCAGGCTGTAGCTCAGGGACTTCAGAAAACTGTTGAATTGCTGTACTTTACAGCATTGGACATTGGATCCCGACAAGAATGTGCCATGGAGGCCCTGATGTCAAGTATATCATCGCGACATATGTCGACAGTAACATTCCTACTTGACCAATTGCTAGGGATCAACATGCAGGATTATGGGGCAATGGCTCCTATTTTCATGGCTATTGAGTATGGGAACTATGAACACGTTCAAAGAGTCTTTCAGGACAAAGTTATTAAGCACCACAACACCGACAACACCGAGGAAACAACCCAATTTGAGGAAACAGCAATTGATCGCAGATCGGCCATCAATGACCTCTTGCATCATGGTTGGGAGCCAGCCCACCGTGACAAAGATGGCAATACGATGCTAGAGGTCAGCATAATCCAGAACTGGTACCCAAGGATCGCCTGGGAACTGCTACAACTGCGAGTATTCCCAGTAGATGTTTTGGAGCGTTGCGCCCGTCGATGCGTCAGAGAAGGTCACGCGACTGCGTTGAAAGCTCTTCTGCAATACTCTCCTGACAAGATACTGGAATCCCAGATTATACCCGACCTTTTCAAAGAGGCAATTGACAAAGAAGATGTTGGTACAATTACCCTGCTTACCAGCTTTCGGGTCAGCAGCAATAGTAAACTTCGCAGTCTTTACCTCCGCGCAATAAAGGATGGTTTAGTCGACATGACTACTATTCAGATCGAAGATGAGGGGTTCTCGCAGTCTCAATTAAATGAACTTCTTTCAATCGCCTGCGTGCAGTCTCGGGCAGGGATAGTCAAGGCTTTGCTTCGCGCAGGCGCAGGCGCCAAGAAAGATAGCGACGATCCTAACGTCACGGAAGCGTTGAACACTTCCATGAAACATAACGACACCCGTATCATGCAGCTATTATTGAAAGGTGGGACATATCCTACGAAACAGCTGGAAGGGGTCATGCTGTGGGCATGTCATCATGGCTTTATCGAAATTGTGGAAACACTACTGCACGGTGGTGTCTGTCCTACATATGTGAACGAACAAGGAGATAGTCCTGTTTCCATGGCTTTAATGGGTCAGCACGATGATATTGTGAGCCTGCTTAGTACCTGGATGGATGGCCCCGCCACAGCTAAAGGGGATGAGACGAAAGCGAATCAAGAGCGAAGCAACCCCAAAGTCTGGTCAGCAACTTCAAAGAGTATGGGAATAGTGGATACCACGCGAATGGAGAGAGGCTACCGGGGGCAAACATCCATGATGTTTACAGCCATTCGGTTCGATAACCGCGATCTGATAGCCGACGTGCTACAGTCAGGGTTTGCCAATCTTGATCTTGATGACGATGATCGACGGACAAACTTGTTCACACCACTCACTTGGGCAGTGTGGTCTGGCAACTTGGACATTGTCCAGATGCTGCTCAATAGCGGGGCTAACCCCAACGCCTGCGGCTCATTCGGGGAAACAGCTGTTTCTCTAGCTATCCGTGCCCGCCAGGAGCTCATTTTAAAGGTTCTCATCGACCACGGTGCGTACTGCAACTTCCAGGATAAATGGGGAAAGACTCCGTTGGTTTGGGCTGCACGATATAATGCTCCTATGATTGCACTCCTACTGCAACGGGGGTTTAAGAATCCCGTACGATATATTTCATATTCCAACACTTAGCTGAAAGAAGACGTATGCTCAATGTTTACTGCGTTCTTTAAGCACCTGTTCAATGTTTCCGTTGTGGGTTGGCGGCAGTGGTTGGGTCGACCGAGCCTGTAAGTGTGGAAGTGAACCTGAGGTACAAGATGGATGTTGTGTGGGAAGGAATAAAGCCCCGGACAACAGCAGTCCAAGGCTGAATTTAGCGGCTGATAGATGCCACCGGAGCAGAGTATTTTGCGATTTGCCGTTTCTTATCACCGTAGGTAGACATCCATCATGCGGTAGACGGTCCCTGGGATAAGTTCGTGCTGACTCTTTCCTGTCTTGAGCATATCGGCAGACTGTGGCACATCATCGGCCCCGCTGTCTTAACGGATATGCCAGTGATGACAATGGCGTCCTTGCCAGTGTCGAGGTCCAAAGTGGAGGGTACCTGTTGTTAGGATGGCGCCTGGGATGAGAGCTGAGATTCCTCTTGGGCCTCCAACCGAGGCTTCACAAGGGTGAAAGGCGTGCCGCTTCCTCAGGAATGTACACCTGGCCATTTCCTGCTCGCCGCATCAAACTCGGAGATACACACCGTTGCGGGCCCAGAGTAACCAATAGGGGCTGCTTGTCGTTGATCATAACAGAAGGGACTGCGATCCAGTCACACAGCTGCACCAGAATGCCCCTTAGAAGCATCTCAGTCATACTCGAAGCCTACACTGTGCGATTAGTACTGATCTATATATGCCATAATGGCCATTGAATTGGTACATACGACCACAGGGTGTGGAGAACAGGGCTTCCCGTCCGCTCAGCCGTACTTAAGCCACACGCCGGGAGGTTAGTAGTTGGGTGGGTGACCACCAGCGAATCCCTCCTGTTGTATGTTTTTTTTTCTTATCCTTTTTGCTTCTGCCACCGGAACTAGGTCAGTCAGAGCGCAGCGGGGGCGCCTATGGCACAAAGGTCTACTACTACGTACGGTCTAGACGCGTGAGGCCGAACAACCTAGACATTGATTACCCTACACATTGAGATACCAACACAATCTGTAGGTAGGTGCCTGTGCTTCTCAACATGCTGGTGAATTCACAAAGAAACTAAAACTAAACTAGTAAAACTGGCCTAGATGTTGAATCTACCGCCACGGGATTGATGGAATAACAAAACACACATGGACACGCCTGGAGCACTCTCCTGCCTCCCTCCTAGATCCACCTCCTCCGAATGCTATCATAGGTTCTCAGACCATGGTATGCACCCGGGTGAGGGTTGATTCAATGCCGGACTCTAATTATCGGGGAACACAATCCGATCAGCGTCGGTAGATTGAGGCTCAGGTTCACGGGCTCCGAGACACTCAGCGGCGCTATTGTAGACACTGCCGTCCTCATCGGTGTAGGGAAACCTTATGATATCATTGGTACAGTAGTACTTGGTCCCAACGCAGCGCTCACTGCCCCGGTCGAAGGTCATGCACGAAGTGTCACTGTCGGGCGCGGGCTGACGGAATGGCTTCTTCGCCTTCGCTTCCGTCTTGGGTCCCTGAAGCTCTTCTTTCGTCTGGCGCTATTGATCAGCCGAGTACATCAACTATGGGTGGCAATTTCTACCTTGGATTCCGCAGGCGCATCCTCTCTGTCAGACAAGCATTCCTGCTCGTCCCGATATTGACCCTGTGGGTAGAGTTTCTCACGGCAGAAAAGTGCCGTGCCATAACATCTTTCCTCAGGAGTGAGCGCATATGCACAGTCATAACCGGTGCCTTTCATCCATGGGAGTTTAGGGGCGTCGGCGGGACGGCGTTCTCTTTGAGCGAGACACCTCTCACGAGTCCCGAACTCCTTGACGCGTTGCGCCTCGAGGTTGCACCACCCGATCGTTCCCATACAGTCTTCCGTCAGCGCCAGGCATACACTGCCCTTCTGCCAGGGTAGCTTTCCCTCCGTGGGCTGTTTCTGTCCATCCACTGTCAGCAGACTGTCCGGGGCATCAGCCTAGTTCTAGGAAAGACGAACCTGGGGGCCTGGGAGAGCCAGGGCGAGGGGCAACAGAGTCGAGAAAAGAACGGTCTTCATCTTGTTTGATCAATGAAAGCGGCGAAGCGTAGCAGATCAGATTGAATACTTCTGCGACTTGGATATGTGATGAGAATGGCATGCTGTAGAGAGATTACCATGCCATTATATATCTTTCACCGCAATAGACGTTGACCTCCGTCAAGGTACCCATCAGCAACATCCATGTCTTGCGGTAACCATCTGTGCCACTGGGTATCATCATGGCATACTTTAGCCTTTCGTTGAAGATAACAAATCTGGTAAGTTGCCGTGCGGTCGACCTGAAGGCCTTGGCAATGCACCCACGGCTAAGCCACACATTTACGTACTGAGTCGAGTCACAGCTGTATAGACGTTAGGGTCCTCGATGCTATACCTATTCTGTATTCGAGATTAGGTAAAATGTCTTAGAGTCGTGTGACAACAACCTCCGGTCGTGTCAGAGATCGTCGAGCCAAGTCAAACCCAAGCTTCCTGATGTGGCTGAGTGGAGAATTCCCCCTTCTGCAGTGTTCTAGAATGAAGAAAATCAATCCAGGCATCCATATCATCCCGTCTGCTCCACAGATTAAACTACGCACGCTAGCCTTAAACGTATTGGAAGGGGAAATCAGGTTCAGCTGGGCCTCACCAACCGGTACTGACACCCAGTCGGCCAAGAGTAGGCCTCATGCAAGCCGGATCTTAGAGGTCTAGACGGATGCTCTTTGCGCTTCGTGAAGGTAAGGGTACCTATGCATGTCGTGATCTACACGCACTATGTGCATATGATAACTTACCCCCTAGACCTGTTTGTGAAAAAGCCGCAATAAGAGAAATCGTGCGGGGCCAAGCCTTGGGCCCTAAATTTCGCTGTTAAGTCCTTGCTCGACTGGTATAGCTTACGGAGGGCCGAAGAAACGTGGGTTAATAGCTCCATGTATACGACTTTAATCTGATATAATTGTCACTTTTCGTTGGTGGTGTTCATTCTCATATAGCCGTTGTGGAATCAGCGTCTGCCCTAGATTTACGCTCAGGCGAACCACTCAGCCGTTTCGATCTCTTCTCTAGTTAAACACCATTCTCTCTGTAGCTTCTCGTCCAGCGCCAAAGCATACACATCCTTCGGCCACCACTCCCCCCAGCTCGTCAAAAAGATTTGCTCTGGATCAGGCGGGAGATCGGTCGCAGTAAATGCCCGAAGAAGGTTTTGGGCCCCTGGGAAACAGTCCATGTTATGTCGATTTTCTCCCAACCAGGACCATGTGGACGAACTTACCCTCGGGGATGGTTTTTGCATCGGGCATATCCATCGATAAACCCAGGTCAGTGGCCAATTTTGTGCTGGGGATCAGGCCGGGTGAAACGGCAATGATCGTGCAGGAGGGAAGCTCGCGACGCCAGCTCAATGCGCCCAGTAGCTGTACGAACTTTGACGCACTGTACACGGTCCTAATCCCTGCATTGGAATTTGCCTTAAGGTCCACGTCGAGTGTTGCTAATTCAGCCCAAGTTAGTTCACGTGGTAGGGATGGTCATTAATGCGATGCGTCGGAGAAGTGAGTTTACCTGGATTCTGGTCTCTCACCCTGCGGATGGCCCCCGAAGAAACAACGACAATGCGCGATTGCGATCTAGAAAGGGTGTCACGCAGTACATGTATCAAATAATGCTGCGCTATTTTGTTTTATGGTTAGCCACTTCTGTTGAATACCCTCCCAGTTCATCTCCGACCCACCCAAATGATTGACAACGTACCCCGAACACCATGGCGAGCCATTGGGTCCAGGGCCATCAGCGCTGTCTAGCATACCAGCACAAAGGAACAGATAATCGATCGCCTGGACCCCCAACCGAGAAAGGACGTTTTGTGCAAATGACTGCACACTGGAGAGGGATAGAAGATCCAGCGGGAGAACGGTGATCGTGTGTGTATTCTGGTCAAAGTCGAGGCGGTCATACTCGTCCTGGGCCTTGATTGTGTCCCGTGCTCCCAGGATGAAATTGTATGGCTCCGACTGCTGGAGCAGCTGTTTGATTGCTTCAAAGCCCTGCGTTATGTTAAAACGAACGGGTCGTAAGGGGTAGAAAAGTGAGCCATTACCAAGCCCGAGGATGTGCCTGTGGCAACCACTGTTTTGGCCATGGTTGCCAGGAGAGTCCGTTCTACTGTTGGGTAGCAGTGTGTGAGAGGGTGTGGGTGCGTCTTGATATCAACCGACACAGTCCATTTTTGCCGAATATTAGAACAAATTACCCCTCGCCGGGGCAGATCATGTGACGTCATGGGGTCCATCAAACTTCATTTCTGTAAGATAGCAAAAGATCGGACTCTGCCTTGCGTATTCCGCTTCTCTTTCGAGGCACCAGGATAGAGGAGCATTGTACCTTCACGGTGGGTTCGTGCTAGTACAACCAAATGCTATTTTTGATCCCGGCCGTGAGGTCCTCAATAGAGGAGGACATCGCCCTGTCTAGCCACGAAGGACCCACAGTATCCGAGGAAGGTCCATGTCTGGGTGTGGCTGCACTATGTTTCACATCTATTCCTTTGAAGGGCCAGGAGATACAGAAGCCTGTTACCAGCTTCCATACTTTTGCTGATGGCGTAAATATTTACATCCAGGTTAGATTAGTAGAGAAGAGAGCTCAGCCGTAGGTCTTGTTCTGAATTGATCCAAGATTAGCGCCCCAGTGGCTCCGTTGTCAACACTAGATATTATACTGTTAATATTGATATCGCAACCGTTTTTTAAGCGCGTCTCATACGCCGTTTCATTTCCAAGGGGCAGCATGTCAGAGATCGCGTGTTGAGAGACCCGCCCCGAGCATCCCCGACCTTATATTTTCGACCCGCAGGATTAACAAGTCCACCCTGACACGAACTAGAAAGGATCTGAGGAGTATACCCTCTGGTACGAGTAAAACTCTGGGTTGCCACCGACACTGTAAATGTTTAGGTATTGAGTTCCTCGGGTGCGTTTTGTCAGGATATTAGATCTGCCACCTGTAGCTGATTGGCCCCCAAGAAAATACATCTCGTAAGACAGATCATGGGGATAAGGTCTATGACTCGATAATCGGCACCAGTGCCAGGGCCGGAGGGAAAGACGCCTGTCGAGGGGATAGTGATGGCGCACTTGTTGATCAAAATTCTAAAAGGAGGTTGGAATCGTTTCTTCGGGCTTTGGATGTGGAAGTCACGCAAAGACTGGTGTCTATACCAGCACCGCGTCTTACTTGACTTGGATTCAAGAGGCAATTCAAGCCGAGACCCTTTAACAGTATCAGAGCATTCATCGCCCCGCCTGGCAAGAATTTTGGAAGGAGCGGAATTGATCTATAAATACAAATTTGTCAATAGTATCCAGCAGTAGATTCATTGTTCTGCTAATCCTCTATCAAATGTAATATCTGTACCGTGTATTCTTATTGTAGCTAGTTTATTATTCTGCGGTGATCTACCAGTCCCAGGGCCTGTAATACAACCTTTCAACGGTGATATGAACGTGGAGGCGTGCTTTCGACTTGTATAGTGAGTAGTACATCGAAGAACAGCGCTACCGGTGGGGGGAGCTTGGAGAAAATGAGCTCTTATATTGTTAGTCCTTTGCGGCAACTGGGTTTCAATTACTATCACGACATGCATCTATCAACGGGGAGAAACCTCTAATTAATATAACCTACTCACACAACCCCTACCGAGACCTCCGTATACGTTGAAATGTCAGTGGATTGTAAGACGAGGCCCAACGCGGATCCTTGCTATGTAACTGAGAGATGAAGTGAAGCCGCCGCAAACGAAGGTTGTCCTTCGTGGACAACCCTTCAACTAGAGAGCTCAGCCGGCCGTCGCGGAACAGCAGACACCTCATACACTGGTGTCGGTTTTGTGGTATCAATGTGTGGTAGTGCATGTGCATCATGCTGGATGGACTGGTACCGCGCTTCTGCCTTCTTTTTGCCCCAACAGTAGCCTAGCACGAGTGTGGCAACCGACAGAACCCCCATTGGAATTCCTATTCCCACTCCAATGGCGACCTTTGTAGACGTCGACTCGGGCATGTGGGTCTTATTGTCTGATGTATTTCCAATCGCGACCAGGGTGGGTTGGAGAGCGAAGGTATTCGTGGAACAGCACTTCTGATCCGGACCACAGCAATATGTTCCGTCTGTACATTTGGAAACACGGGCAGTCCAATTGGAATTTCCTGCATGCTGTTGGCTCTTAGTATGCGAGATCAAACATTCAATGATATTGTAGGGGTTGTCGGAGACTTACCGCAGCATCACAGATTGTGTTGTTTAAACAGTTCGGACTATTCCAGTTCTGATCTGTACAGAACACCCGCCAGTGGGTACTGGGGTAAATGCTGGCCGGGCTGGTTAAGCATAACCCATTCGGAAGACATGTATCTGGTGTGGTGCTGTTGAGATTACAGCACATTGATTCTACCCCGTCAATCTGAATGCAGGGCTGATATATTTGGTCGCTGATAATGGATCCATCAGGGGCAAAGCACTGCTTGGCCGCGAGAGCATAAACGGAGAACAGAAGGGCCAAGGAGGATCGGACAAAATTGGGAAGCATGGCGCAGATATGATCGGTGTGACCAGAACCCGTCTAGAGATCGTCAAGGCTGAGGAAGGCCCCGGGGTTTGTCCCTCGTTAAATACTAGCTCACCTAAGGTGAAGTCAAGGCTCAATCGGCCTTTGGTCCGTCATCGGTTAGTCGGCGCTTATCGACCTGGAGCGCCCATTCGCGAATTGTGAATCGTCCCACATGTAAATACTTAGTTGGAGTCTCTGATACCCTTGTCGATTGTGCCCTGATTTCATGGGTTGGGGCCAATGGAAGACCACTCCTATATCCCTGTACGCTTATATGCATAAGCGAGAATTGCAACCCTGCCAGTCAGTTCACATACCCGTAGTACTGTGCGGTTACCCATGTGGCCAGCATCGTCGGTATCCTTCATGGACAAGCTTCTTATTTCGCGATATCTCGGCGTGGAACAGTAGGGCGTGAAAGGTACTGTTTCTGTTCGTGCCTGCCATGTGAGCTGCACCACGCACAGACTAGGAAAATATATAATAGTCCCCGCTGTGTTGCAAAGTGACACGATGATCGTCTGTCCTCATGAAACCAACAAGGCCATAATATTATGCTCATATGTACTACGCTAGTGCGTCTATAGGTACTACTGATAGTGGGAGCTGCACTTCATCCACCGAACTAGGGCAGTCATGTTATTGTGGCTCCTATGCAATTCCTCTTATCTACTGGGCCCACCCTATATAATCCCAATACTTAGGGTTGGTTAGTACATACGACCATAGGGTGTGGAGAACAGGGCTTCCCGTCCGCTCAGCCGTACTTAAGCCACATAATACGCGCGATTAATAGTTAAGGAGCCCTTTAGTTAACTAAAAATCTGAAACGTGGATGTCAGAGCATTTAGTATGAGTACTGGCGATGGGGTGCTGACCTCAATACATTCGCAGCAGCAGTGATGCTG